AAATTCTTGCCATTTTTTGTTTTGTAAAGAAAGTTTTTGCAATTTTGTGGTTTGTAAAGAAAGTTCTTGCCAGTTTTCATTTTGTAAAGAAAGTTCATTTAAATATTAGGCTAATGTCAAACGTTGTTCAAGGTTTAAGAGTGTGAAACAGCACCGTTCTCGAGAGTTTTGAACGTTCTCAAGTGGCGGGAAAAGCCGATTTTCGAACAAAAGATAAGCAAACAGCTAGAGTCATAGGGTGTAGAGTCAAATATGACATTTTTAAAAGGTTTAAAGCTAGTTCAAGGTCAGGATAATGCTAGAGGTCTATCATTTTTGATCTTTGCTTAGGTGTAGTTTTTTGGCTTTGCAAAGAAAATTTTTACCATTTTGTTCTCTGTGAAGAAAGTTTTTGCCATTTCATGTTTTGTAAAGAAAATTTTTGCCATTTTATGTTTTGTAAAGAAAGTTTTTGGTATTTTAAATATTTTTAATGAAAGTTTTTGCCATTCCTAAAGATACGTATTAAAATTCTGGTTCTGCAGACTGGGGGTGACAAGTTGTACGACAATTTCTATTTTCTGTGACACAGCTAAAACTTATGTCGTTTTATGAGTTGTAAAGAAAGTTCTTGTTGTGTTATGATTTGTAAATAAAACCTATGCCATTTTTAATGCCATAAATACCGCTGCCAGTCATTTAATTCCAAAATGACATAATAACCATCGCAAACCACCCTTCAATCCTTCCCGATAGTAATTTGTTTGTTTACAACTACTTCCTTTAACCGTTCGTCTAAACGTCGAGATATTACTCTCGGGAGTCTACCTTGTGTAGATTCCTCGTCTGTGGTCAAGACGAGTTCAAGAAATACGGTGCTTGATCTGTGGGGGTGGTTTTTGTGAGGCAGGGGATTTTTATTGGTTTGTAAAGAAAGTTTTTGATATTTTATCATTTGTAAAGAAAGTTCTTGCCATTTGTTGGCCTGGAACGAAAATTATTGCAATTCTAAGCTCTGTAAAGGAAGTTCTTGTCATTTTATGTTTTGTAAAGAAAGTTCTTGCCACTTTATGACTTGTAAAGAAAGTTCTTGCCATTTTATAGCTTGTAAAGAAAGTTCTTGCCATTTTAAAGCTTGTAAAGAAAGTTCTTGCCATTTTATGACTTGTAAAGAAAGTTATTGCCATTTTATGACTTGTAAAGAAAGTTCTTGTCAATTTATGGTTTTAAAGAAAGTTCTTATCATTTCTTTGACTGGAAAGAAAGTTTTTGCTATTCTCTCTAAATTTTGAAAATTTCTGGCCATTGTAAACAAAGTTCCTGCACTTCTCCCTGTCCCAAATTAGATATGCTTTGCTCAGAAATAATAAAAAGAGTTTTGCAACATAATATACGATTGTTTACTCTGTTCATATTTCACGACCATTAGTGGTTGGATGTTGTGTATGTTTTGTCAACACATACGACGGATGTGCATATAATTACCCTCAGGGCCAAAGACTTTTGTTTTGTTTACAAATTCCGTTTCAAGAGGGGTTTTCAAGTTGTTAACAGAGGTTTCAGTGTTTGTGTGTCATTCATCTTTGGTTTAAAATAGACGCAAGATGGTATGGTGACATAGTAGGAGAGGGTACGGTAGACTACTCCTACCCTACCCTACCTCTGTCCTACTCTACCCTACCCTACCATATCCTACTCTACTTTACCTCTGCCCTACCCTACTCTTTTCTACCCCCACCCTACCCAACGCGATCCTACTTATGCCCTACCTCTGCCCCACCTGCGTCCGCCCTTGCCCTCAAAATACGCTACCCTTACTGCTACCTCCCCCCCCCCAAAAGCTTTACTTTAACCTACCCTAAACATACCCTGCCCTAAAATGATCTACACTATCATAACCTACCTTAACATACCCTACCCCTACCCGAAAATAGCCTGTACTTTACTTTATTCTACTCCACACTGCCTTACATTACCCTACCCTACCTATAGGATACCATTTGTTGCAATAACAATTACAGTATCCTACTATTCATGTGTATATGAGGCCACTTTTTGTCAACATATACCTTATTATGTTTTGTCTTCATAATATACCTCCTTTCATTGCTGTTTTCCAATACTGACATCAATTTTTGTTGTATTTTCGAGTTTGTAACCCCTGAATATTGAACAAATTTGTCTCATACCGAGTTGTAATATGATAGGAGGAAGTTTAATTAACTTTTATTATCATTTCGAGTCGTTCGACAGGCCTCCCCCGCTCATAAATCGCAAAACAACACTTTTGATTGGGTTTTGTAGGTATTGGAGGCATTATTGTATATTGTGATGTTCCATACTGTCCTTAGAGTATTGAGTTTAAAATGTTCTTGAAATGATAATGAAATGGCCTCAAAGCGCAAGAACTTTCTTTACAGACCATAAAATGACAAGAACTTTACTTACAGGTCTTAAAATGGCAATAACTTTCTTTACAAAACTTAAGCTGGCAAAAACGTACTTTACAAATCTTAAAATGGCAAGAACTTTCTTTACAAAACATGAAATGGCATTTCCTTGAATCCTCGTATAATTTGTCACCTGCAGGCTGCAAGACGCAACTTTTGGTTTTTTTAAATAAAAAATGGCAAGAACTTTCTTTACAAATCGTAAAATGGCAACAACTTTCTTTAAAAGGCATAAAATAGCAAGAACATTTTTTACAGAACATAAAATGGCAAGACCTTTCTTTACAGATCATAAAATGGCAAGAACTTTCTTTACAAACTATAAAATGACAATAACTTTCTTTACGAAACAAAAAATGACAAGAACTTTCTTTACAGTTTAAAGAACAGATTTTTTGAAATTTAACACTCCAATAACCATGAGAGTGTACTAATTTGCACCATGAAGAGCTCAAAGATCGATGTGTCGTGTTTATGTTATCCATGCGGATATACATAATGTAATGTGATGAGTAAAGTGCTCTTCTTTTTCGAAAAATATATTTTACAAATCTCAGCGTCTGGCCGTTCTGCAATCCAAGTTTTTCACGTTTTTACCATTTTTTTGAAATCTTAACCTTGCTTTGTCATAATGTCAATATTGTTACCTTGAGCTGGTTGTTTTTTCAGGGTAGGGTAAGGTAGCGTAAAGTATAACCAAAGATAGGTGAGGCATAGGTAAGCTAGGGATAGAGAATGAATAACTAGGGGTACAAGTAGGGCTAGAGATAGTGATAAGGTTTGGGTTACAGGTAGAGATAGAGGTATTAGTAAAGGTATGGGCATAGGTAGGAGCAGAAGTAAGGGCAGGAGTAAGGGTAAAGATAGGGGTAGTTGTAAGGGTAAGAGTAGGCTCATTTAGGGTTAGTGTACAGAGAAAACAGAGTAGAGTAGGGCAGGGTAGAGTAGGGTAGGGTAGAGTAAGATAGGGTAGGGTGGGGCACCCTAAGGCTAGCATTATCCTAGGAAGAACCTTTTATAATAATTTTTTTTCCATTTTTACGTGAAAATCAATTTTTTTTCAGTTTAAAATTAAAAAACTAAAATTTCAGACATCGTCGTGGATTCTTGACGAGCCTACACCCATCGTGCTATTTTAATATTTTCACTTTCCTACTCTATTTTAATATTTACTAACTTCAACGAAAGCTTTCTAACATTATTTTTCACTTTTCAATTTCTACTTTACTTGATGGACTTTCAACTTGTTATCTAAATACGACTACTAGCAATTGTGGTATCGTATTTTAAACAGAAATCATTAATCTACTACCATTTTCGAAATAAGGCTCCAAAAGCCTGGAACCGGCCCTGAGGCTTCAATTATACTTGGAATATACCCCAACAAGGCTTAAAATTGTAAAATCTATCCCGCCGAGGCTTGTTTTTTTGAAAAAAAAATAATAAAAGTCTACCCCTCCGACGCTTAAAATTTCAAAATCTACCCCGCCAAGGCTTGATTTTTGGAAAAAAATATTAAAAATCTACCCTGCCGAAGCTTAATATTGCAAAATCTACATTGCCAAGGCCTTAAAATAAACAGTCATCCACACCAAGACCTTCAAATATCTACCCCACAAATCAAAAAGATTTGAAAAAATCTCACCCCAGCCAACCGCAAAATTTGAAAAAATTTTACCCCCACCCTCGCCTACAGCAATATGCAAGCTTCGGCGATAAATTTCACCGTCGTTTTGGGCCTTCTACTAATATTACTGCTGATTTTGGCCGGTGTGATATTCATGGTATGTCGACAGACACAGGTCGACGACGTCTTCCCCAAAGGATCACTGGTGGATAAGAGTGGCAACTCGAGTGGGTCTATTCAAAGCCTACAGATTTCGGATGGCATGGACAAAATTGGTGGGTTTTAGACTTTTTTTCCACATTTTCTTAGAAGTGGGGGGGGAGGATGAAGCCAAGAAAATGGGTAGGGCAGAGTTTTCATACTGTAACATAAAAAATTCAAAAAAAAAGTTTTTTTTTCACTTTTTTTAAAATCTTGAGCCCTTTAACAAACTTTTTCAAATTTAAATCCATTTTTGTAGACCACCCGCTACCGAATCTACCAAAAATCATCGTGACGACGGCGTCGCTACGAGAGAAACATATTTGAAACACGTTTCACGCTTTGGGCCATTTATCGCAAACGAAAACTATGGGTATTTTTGCTATTTTTTTTGTTACTAACCATGATTCATGTCAACATAATAAACGAAATTTTACTTTTTGGCGGTTTACTTGATATTATACTACGATTGATATGAAACTTTAGCTGACATTACACTACTATTGATATAAAGCATGAATAAAAAGCCATATTAATACCTTAAAAGATATAAAAACCCAAAAAAAAAGTTCCAAAAAAAACGGCTTCATACCTATTTCAAACCTAATTTGTGATATTACACTAGATCAACAAGAATATTTATCAAAAACTGCAAATTCAACAAGAAAAATTACAAAAATCAACAACTTTTTGTATCATCAATAAAATACTACCCAAAAAAATTTTTACCACCATACCACTTCCTACTCTTCCATTTTAACATCAGTCTGTTCATCTTCTTGTGCATCAACTGAGTCCACGAGCTTGTCATAATTGACCTCAAACGTGTCCTCACACCTATCCAATATCCTGTAAATGGCTGTCACTGTTCGAGGAGATCCTATTATTCTAAAATGAATAGTTATAATGATTTGAAATGGCATTACTGCTTGTTTTTAACTAGAAATGGCAAAATTTTGAGCTATTTAGCAAAATCGTGACCTCAAGTACAGTAATTTTCAATTTTGGTATACCCTGAGCATTATACTGCTTGATTTACACCGCAAAATGTACCTAAAACAAGAGATAATATAAAAGAATAAACTTACAACACTTGCCCATTCATTCCAACCACCAATTCGCATTTAAACTTCTTCCCAATTAACTTCAGCAGTTTATCTTCGGGTTGAAGCAATCTTCGAGCATAATTTAGAGGAATGTGCACCACTATACCAGCATCTTTCATAATACCCATGCCTTCAGCTCGTCCATCCATATCAACACAAGACAGCTCCGGCTCAACGTTCTTCGACGCCATAACAACTTGAGCATAAACAAGTGATCCGACTTTCAATTGGGGACGATTTCTTTTTGTGGCTCCTGTAAAAAAGTCGTATTTTTAGAAAAAAAACTTCTGTAAATACTATTCAACAAATTAAATGTTGTCTATGTTACCAGTTTGCAAGAAAACGCGGTTTAAATCCAAAAAAAATATATTACACTAGGCACATCAAAGATGCTTTTAGTCATAGCTCTAAAACTATGTTCATCCTGAACATCCTCGTCAACTTTCGTCCAATTTTAAAAAAGATCCGACAATGTTAACATAACAAATTTTAGCGATATTATCCATGATACCAACATAAACCTTATGAGTCCAAATTTTCTCCAAGTTATCTTCAAATCCTAAAAATCAAAGCAAAAACAATAGAAACTTACCTTCAAAGCTCAGAAAACTCAACAAAGCAGACTGTGGTCCACCAATATCCACCTTGAAAAAGTCTCCAGTCTGTCCAATTACTGTTCCCACAATCAAATCTCCTGATTTTGGTAAGTATCGTGTCTCGTTCGACTCGACATAAACCGCATTTTCCGTAACTCTTAAAACACCAGCTACATTAGCTTGAAGAGTTTTGTCTGGAAGCACAATGATACCATTTCCGACCGTTTTCTTCTTATTTTGCTGTAGCCAAGGTGCTGGTATCGTATCGCCTGGTAACACAATTGAAGCCATCTGAAACTACAGTAACAGTTAATCCAGCTGATAAAGTTTAAAAATATTTATTTGCCTTTGAATTATCGAAAAAATTCATAAAAATATTAACGATAATATAAACAAATATCGAATTCGCTATATTATAGTAGATAAATGCCAAGAAAACCTAATTTTTGATGCTAAACCAAAAATTTATATAGTAAAATACGTAGAAATTCTTAACACTACAAAATTACATTACAATCTAAAAGTTACTTCACTAATTTCAACAAAATTCACCAAAAACTAAAATAATATTCTTGTGTCAAGTCTTTTTCTTTCATTTTGAGCCAAGTTTCTCTCTGTAAGTTATTTTACGTTCCTATTAGGCAGACTCGTTCGTTTATTTTTCAAATAAATAAAAATACTGTTTTAAAATGTAGAGACTATTGAAAAACGGTATATCAATTTAAAAATAATGTTTAAATTGGCAAGACAATGGAAAATCTGATAAAAAGTTTGTTCGTTGGACTAGCTGAAGAGACGTGGTAAATGGCGGAAGCGGGCCAATTGGCTAGTGGAACAGTGAAAATTTAGCTTACTGTAAGTTATTTTATCATTTTTACTAATTTACTGTACGATACTTGAAAAATTTTCAAAAAAAGGTTTTGTTACCTAAATTTTTTTTTGAAAAATATAATCATAAACAATATCCAAAAGCTCTATCTTATCCCAGAAACAATATTACAAACAATAAAAACCATATTCCACCGTTCCAACACCTAGAAACCCCAAAAACTAAGTGAATATACTGAAGTTGACTATATTATAGTAGGTTGGAGATCGTTTTGAAGCAGGTACACGTTTCGTTATGTCATGTTCTTAATCTCTAAGGGCTTGTCGTGCTACTGATTCCAGCATGACAGCTATGAGTTGATCACTATGGTCCAGGAGTCCTCTTTGCATGACCTTGGGGATGGTAGTGCGATGGTCGAATATCTGAAAAAATACAGTAATCCTGGAATTGAAATGGGTCAAAAGTGGGCTTATATTAAAGGAAATTAAGTTTTACATCTTCTTTAATAAGTAAAAGCCGTGGTTTCGTATGTTTACAGTCCTAAACGCATGAATATTGTCTATGATAATACAAATTTTAATGGTTGTTTTCGAAAAAATTGCTATAAATGCCACTTTCTTAAAATATCTTTTCCCAAATGCCATTTTAAATCAATCCTCATAGTTTTGTCAATCTTTTAAGCCCATATTTGTTCTACAACCTCTCTTTACTTTACCTGTAACTTCCTGAGAACATCGTCGATCACAGGGGGATTCCACTTGAATCGGTCGATAAATCTAATCTTTGGGTCTACAATCCATTGTCGACAAATGTATTGTCTAATGTCTTTCTTTGACTTGTCTATAGTTGATTCTAGGTCAGGCTCTTTTGAGGTTGAAGGCTTCTGCTTGTCATCGTTGCTGAGCATGTAGCTCTTGAGGAGTTCGGGTAGGAAGCCGACTTGAGCGTTGAAGTCGGTTTGAACACAAACAGCGTTATGGAACTCGCAGATTACCGTGCTTTCGACCTAAAATGAATTAAAAGAGTGAGAAAATAGTGAATCTTTTTGAAAATTTAAAAAAAATTTGTCCCCCTCCCTCCAAAAAAATTACCACGCCCAATTATTTTTTTCAAAAAAAAGAGAACTTGGCCCATCATTATCATTTTTACATATAAAATCTTTTTTGACCACCCCCCCCCCTCCTCCTTCAAAATTCAAATTTACCCAGGGGAAAAAAAGCACTTACAACATCCGTAACGAAATCCTCAAACTTTTTCGAGACCTCAATTGGACTGATTTGAACCGTCGTTAGCGTTGCATCCAACGCTGGGAACTGGAACAGCTCCAATACATTGTGAGTGAACCTAGCCGGAGGCACTTTTGCGCCCGGTTCCGCGTACAAATTCAGCTGTTTCAACACATCCCCAATCATCGCGTCCAAGCACAGCTCCACGGACGTGTTGTGACGCATTAAAAAGTTTCGGGTATGTTGTACTCGACATACTGAGGCCTTGCATTCGCTGAAATGGGCCGAGTCCGTGTTCATTGGAGCGCCCAGTTTGAAGACGAACTTCTGCTCAGTGTGAACACCAACGTCTTCGCATTCCTGATCCATGAACAGGTATTTGGACTTGCATGTGAAGAGGGTGTTGGCTTCGCGCATGTGGAATAGAGCCCAGGATGAGGCGTTGATTTCACCGTTCATGCAGGCCAAACTGATGCGTTTCGCGTCGAATTCGATTACCCCGCCCACTAGGGTTACGCCGTCTTTAGTCATTGGTAAGGGTAGGTATTTCTTTTTGAGCTGAAATTAAAAATTGTCATAAAAAAATACAAAAAGCTAGATAATTTTGAAAAAACGTAACTGAAGTCGTCTACTACCTACTACAATACCAAGACGAACTTCTAATCGAAAATATAATAAAATAGGCTCTAAAATACCCAAAAATGTTTCTACGTCCAATAAAAAGCCATAAAATTTCTTTAAAAACCCAAAAAACCACTAAAAATTCAAAAGTCTATTTTCCCGCGCATTTTGGCATTCCGTTCTATTTAACTATTTTTCCAAAATTGTATTAAAAATCAACTTATAAGATCTTTAAGATACTTTTAACCAATTTTTGAGTATTTAAAACAATTTTAAGACTGTTAAATCAACTTGCAACATAATGCCAAAAAATCCGCCAAAATAAATTTTTAAAATTTTTTGACAAATTTCAATTTTTATGCGTAAAAAAGTTAAAACACGGCTTAAGTAATCCACTCCTTTGGTTTTAAGCTCACTTTTGCGTTATTTCAACATTTTTGTTTAAATAATATTATATTAACCATGACTTCAACCATAAAACCCGAAGTTCCCCCTAAACCCCCACTCATGCCTCTTCTAAATTACCTGAATATCAGTCACCACATCCAGAATTCTCTGCCAATATTGTACATGACTCGAGTTTAATCGACTTCCATCCAAACTCGACCTCGATGTTGTTGTATCCGGCTTGACGGTGGTTGTAGTTGAAGTAGTTGTTTCATCCGACGAGATAGACATGTTATCTCTCGAATGGCTGATATGAGAGAAAAGATCATCTCCCCACACCATGCGACTGCTTTGGAGTTGTTCGTTGAAGAAGTTGGCCAGCTTTTCCACGATCTTCACCATGTCATCGGTGGTGTTCTTGGTGATGATCATGTCCAGCGCGTCCCATGAGCCATTGACTTTGAGCATGCAGACTGCTTCATCGACTTGGCCATCAGATTGGGAATGGAACTGCCATTCATCGTTTATGATGAGGCGGGGCATGGTAAAGCGGCCGATGAAGATGGGGCGGCTCATCCATTCGACACGGCATTCGATGGAGCCGAATTCTAGCTTCGCTACGCTTTCTGGGGGCTTCTGAAAGATATAGAATTAATATTGTAAGTAAAAACCCACCTCAGCCGATTTACAGTAACGTGTAGCGATCAGAAGCTTATTGATCTCAATGTCACCTGAGATGGCACCACCTTGAGCACTCAATTGTGAGTTCCTGAGCTTGAATCCTAATGAAACGGTTCGTTGACGTTGCGAATCGAGTTGAACATGTCCTCGTAGGATTCCTTGTCGCACGAACCATGTGGTATTACCCATGGTGTTGGACATTTGAGCGTTCACGTTCAGTTCCGACCATTGGATTGAGAAATCGACCGAAGCCGCCCATTCTGGACCGGTCTTTGGCTGGGGATCGACTTTGGGGGATTGGCCTGAAATTGGAATTTTAAGCTATGTAAGGAAATTTTTTGCCATTTCTAGCTTTGTAAAGAAAATTCTTGCCATTTTAAGCTATGTAAAGAAAGTTCTTGCCATTTAACCCATGTAAAGAAAGTTTTTGCCATTTCCAAACTTGTAAACAAAGTTCTTGCCATTTTACCCCAAGAAACCTCAAAAACTTACCATGAAACTGGCTAGCCGGCATAGAATGGGAATGTACTGTAGAAGTCGAGTTCTTTCGTTGCAGAGATTGTTCTCCAAAGAAAACTCGTTGGATCAGTTTCTTTCGATACCACGGCTTCGGGAAGGACAGTAGCTCACCCAGGCGCCTCATGTCGTAATTGAAGTCAGCTTTTCCTACGTTTGAGACGATTACTAGCTGAAAAAAGCAATTTTTAAAAAGAAAATTAAATTTTAGGTAACAAAGTTTTCAAATTTTAAAAATAAAAAAAAATAAAATTTAGGTAACAAAAATTTTCAAAAAACCAAAAATTTTATATTAGGTCGTTCAAATAATTCTGTGCCCTCAATTCCCAAAAATTTGCTTTAAGAGGAAGCACAGAATTGGCTAAATAACCTAATATGAAAACCATAAACTTTCGAAAAAACTCAAATTTTAAGCCGTAAAATGAAATTTTGGTAATAAGCTAAAATTTCAAGTATCAAAAATGTTAAAATTTCAAAATAAAATAAAATTTTAGGTAACAAAACTTTAAAAAAAACCAAAAGTTCGAACAAAAACCATATTTTAGGTAACATAATTTCAAAAAAAATAAAATTTTCAGTACTAAATTGATATTTTAGGTAGCAAAAACTCCAAAATTTTCAAAAATTCATACCTAAAAACCCAAAAAACTTAAAAATTTAATACCTATATCAGTGCACATCATCCTCAATTCCCCTACCTGAACCTTGTTTTTCTCCTCCTCCTTCGTAGGACACTTTGTTCTCGACGCTGAAATTGAAAATTTGTCCAATTTGACGGCCAAAGCATCATGACTGCTGGCTTGTTGATGAGGACTGTAGATGCTCAAGTCAAAGTTGGATAGAGTAGCTGATAGGTATATTCCTGCCACATTTAATGACTGTTCATTGTATTTTCGAGTCGACGCCATTAGTGTTAGACTGGGCAGGGTGAGTAGACAATCGGCAGCGGAGCTTGAGCGTTGTTGTTGACCTGGAAAAGTTAATTTTTTTTTAAATTCCAAAAAGTTGAAATCTCAAAATTACAAAAACTTAAATTTAAATTGTAAAATACGATTTGCGGTCCATTCTTTGTATCGCAAAATAAAAAAATCAATATTAAAGTGACGAATCACCACAAATTTATAGAATTAGCTTTTCTATACCAATGTTCATGACATTTCAGCTTTACTACCTACCCTACCCTCACTTCCCTACTATACATCATTTTATTCTACCCTGTTCCACTTTAACCTACACTAACTTCCCTACCGTCTACCCTCGTTACCCTACATTACCTTACCTTACCTTAGCTTACCTTACCATACCTTACTTTACCTTACCTTAAAATTGCCTTACCCTACCCTCCCTACCCTATCCTACTTGACACTACGACCTCTATACTACTTCTTCTACCCCATATATTATCATGCCCACCTTATTTATCAAGCTAAAAATACCTATGCTACCCTTCCCACCACTCTCCACACCCTCTCCCTTCCCAAAAACCCACTAACTCACCTTCAAACCTGATGACACTTGAATAGACAGTCATGTGGAAGAACACATCCAATGGTAAGCCACTTGTGTCCAGTACCACAATTGGTACTCCATCATCTTGTTCCTGTACATGTGACTGATTCTGAGTGGTTTGAAGTTCAAAAAGTTCATCAGGCAAGGGTTCAACCACTTGTTCGAGGAAGTCGGCCAAAGCTGGAGTGACCAAGGTCGGTTCCAGCATCTTGGCCAGCTCTAGTACCAGATAAAAGCACTTGTTAGGCTTGGGCTTGTTCTTGAAAGTGTTCCTCAGCTGTTCTGGTGGATGAGATCGACTGTCATCTGAAGTGTAAAAGAGTTTGGCATCCAGACTTGGCACTTGGAGGGTAGTGATAGATTGTGATAGGGTTTGTTGTCGCTTCAGGTCTTTGGCTGATAAGCGTTTGGTGAGGGTTTTCTGCGCGTTTGGATCACGTTGAGAGGGTTGGGCTTGATTAGCCCGGAGAATACAGTGACCTGTCTCGATTTTGATCTGAAATTGAGTTTCAGGTAACACAACATTTAAAAAAACCAAACATTTTTTAAAAAAAATTTTTAGGTAACAAAATTCCAAAACTGTAAAATTTTAGGTAACAAAACTTTCAAAAAAAACCATATTTTACAAAAAAAATGAAAGTTAGGTATCAAAATTCTAGGTAACAAAGTTCCAAAAATGTCAAATTTTAGATAAACACCTAAAAAAAATAAATTTAGGTAACAAAATTACACAAAAGCTTAAATTTTAGATAAAAACGCCAGATTTTGCCATATAAAGGAAGTTCTGGCCATTTTATACTTTGTAAAGAAAGTTTTTGCCATTTTATGTTTTTTAAAGAAAGTTCTTGCTATTTTTAAGCTTTCAGAAAGTTTTAGACACATAAATTTTATAAATAAAAGTTTAGGTAACAAACCCATGTCCGCTAGGCCTAAGCTCACCGTAACCTATAAACCTCCCCTTACCTGCACATCGATGTTCATATCCACACTCTCGACCACATTCCCCATTTTTGGTGGTTCTGGTTTCTCTTCTGGTACTGTTTGAAGTGTACTCCTCGGGCTTTCCCTGGTTTTACTGCTGACATCCGGCCGTTGGTCGACTTTGCGCTTCAGTTTGTCCAACATTGTCAGTCGGAATTGTTTGAAACGTGCCAGTTCAAGAATTCTGAGTTTTCGACGTTCCGTTTCAATGTGATACTCGGATGCTCCACAGTTGATAAGGTCTGTTACGAGAATCGATTGTTCGTGCATCTGAAAAATATGGGTTTGGAATAGGGATAGGATCAAGAGTAGAGGTAAGGGTAGCGATAGGAGTATGAATAGAGGTAAGGGTAGAGATAGGAGTATGAATAGAGGTAGTGATAGAGGTAAGAGCGGAGGTCAATTTTAGAATTATCAATCAAATTTCAATAAAATTGTTTAATCACCCATCACCTCAAAATTTTTTACCACGCCCAAAAAATTGTTTTTTTTAATTTCGAAGATCTCATTATAAATAAAAAAAATTTTTTTACACCCCGCACAAAAAATAAAAAAATTTTTTTTTACCACGCCCGAAATTTTTTTTTGGAAAACATTCGAACAGTCTTCAGAAACAAATTTTCACATATGCCCAACCGTTCCATCCCATCTCTTACCCCCCCCCCTCCTTAAAAAACAAAAAAAATTTTTACTCCTCCTCCATACCCTCCCCAATAGACCTGTCAAAAGATTATTTTCAAATATGCTTTGGTCCGACCCGATACCGAGCCCACTTTCTCCCTCCCCCCCCCCAAAAAACTTTAAAATCCCCACCTTTCTTTCCAACCATCGGATCTTCTCTTCATGTCCGACCAGTTGATTCATCTCATCAAACTTCATATTCTTATCATCGATCACATGTTCCAGTTCACTTAATGGACTTTCACTTCTTGGCACAGTCAACTCGGATCCCATAGTTTGGCTTCGGGCCGACGGCTTCGGAATTGAGCTGGCTTCTGACTCAGCGTACGGTGGATCGTCTACAGAATCGTCGCTGTTCGTAACCGATGATAAGGTCTTGATGCATTGGTTCATAAGTTTGCCGATTCTGCTGTCGAAGTCGATCATCATGCCCTTCATGTCGGACTGGATTGACAATACCCATTTGGCGTTGTCGTCTTCTTGTTTTGGGGGGTTGGCACTGGAACAGAAGTAGTAGGAGCCTTCGGGGAAGAAGATAAAGTTGGAGTGGGATTGTTCGCCCGTGTTTTCTTGAAGCCATACGTCGGATAAAGACTGAAAAATCGAAAAATTTTTAAAAATCCCGAAAAAAACAAAAATTACAGTACTTTATAGTAGTACTAAGAAAAGTGCCGGCCTCACTCTGATTGACTCCAAACTTTTTATACAAATAGATCATGTAAATATAAGACCTTCAGCAAAGAATTAAAGCGGGCTTTCCAGAAAATCTCGAGAAAATCGAGATCAAAAAGTTGTGTTTTTTCCCGCCAAATTGGCATTGTGTTTTAAGCTTATAACTTTGCCATTTTTTGACTTTTAGGATTTTTACTTGATATAGTAGTAGAAAACCTTTAAACGAACCTATATTTTTAAATTTGTAAGCGTAGGTTGTCTGGAAAGTCAAACAAAGTGCTTGAAACACAATGCCAAAAGTTGCCAAATTGGCAAAAAACTCAAGTATTTAAAATTTAAATACAATTGGATATCCATCTCACTGGAACCAAATTTCCAAAAAATAGGCCCAATAGACCAACAATTTTTTTAATATTCATCGCCCCCCCCCCTTTTTTAAAAAACAACACCTCCCCTGCCCATGTAAAAAATTTACGTTCCCACCCCTCTAATCAACGCTTCCCTAGTTCCATCATAAAACAATCTTACAACCAACAGTACCAATAATAAAACCTACATGTTCATCAAACGAATCCACGAAAGCGATTCTGAAGGCTTCAAACTTGGCATGACATGCCAGTTCCTTCTTCACGCAAACACTAACATCCGATTTTTGAAGTGATATTAGTAGAGCTGACATTCCGTACGAATCGTCGCTAAACATTGGCATGCAAATGTAGAGACCGCCTTGAATTGACAATGATAGGTTCATGTTCATATCGACTGGGGATTGCTGAAAATTGAGCTTTTAACTTTTTTCTCTGAGGGAAATATATCGTATTTTACCATTTTAATCAGGAAATAATATTTTTGATAATATAAAACCCAAAATTTGTATTTTCAGGTTTTCGTGGTGAGACCGAAATGTAAATCTATTCAAAGGATTTTACCCCTCCAACTTTTCAAAAAAATATTCTACCCTGCCCATAAAAAAAACGTTATTACAACTCCCAATTTTTCGAAAACAACATACGAACCCTGCTCATAAAAAGTAACATTTTATCCGCCCAGTATTTAAAAAAACATATTTTACCCTGCCCAACTCTAACTTTTCGAAAAATCATATTGTAGGATGCACATGCGAAAAAAACCCGTATTTTACCATTCCAACTTTTAAAGACACTAAATTTTACCCTGCCCAACTTTTAACTCCCCCCCCCCACCCTTCAAAAAATAACATTTAACCCCCCCCCACAAAAAAAGCCGTATTTTACCTGTGAATGGCTCTTGTGAGTCGATGATAGATGTGATTGTCGTTGAGTCATGACTTTACTGCGCTCCTCTCGCCAGTAATTGTACGTGTTACGGTAGTTGATCCACAACAATATAGCCTTATCTATCGCTGTCGCCTTTGCCAACAATATTGGCCGGTTCAATGTTATGATATAGTTGTGAATCGAGTTCTGAGCCACTTCCTCGTTTTGGGCTGAGATCTGTGTCATAAAAGTGGCATATTCCTGTAGTTCTTCCTTCGCCTCTTCGTACATGGCTGACTTGCATAGCTGGCCTAGCTTAACATTGAGCTGAACTTTGGCTCGGCCTAACAGTCGTTCTGGTTCCGAATTGGTCGATTTTGTGGTTTCGCTGGTCGATCTTTCGGCCAACATCAAACGATTCGTAATTTTGGCCGACGGACCGTCGATTGTGAACCTGACAGCGGTAGCGGTGGGAGTTGAGGCAGTTAGTTGAATCCATGGAGCTCCTTCGCCTTCGAACTGAAAAAATATGTGAGTTTATACCTAAATTTAAAAAATTTTACATTTTTCCACAAAAATTCGTCTTCGTGTTAAAACCGCAAAAATTACAGTTTCAAGTTTTCGTGTCGGGAAAATTTTAATTTTATGTTTCAAAACTGAAAATATTATTTTCAAGGTTTAAACGCCAAAAAAGTTCAAGTTTTTGTGTAAAAACCTAATCTTCAAAGTTCCAAGTAAAAATTTCAAGTTTTCGTGCCGGGACCCAAAAAATTGAAGTTTTCGAAACCAAAACTATGATTCTTAAGTTATAAAAGCCAAAAAAAAACCAAAGTTTTCGTGTCAGAACCCAAAAATCACATTTTCAGGATCCCAAAGCTAAAGAGTAAAAATTCCAAGTTTTCGTGTTGAGACCAATAAATGTGTAATTTTGAAGTTTGATGCCAAGGCCAAAAAATGAAAACTAAATATTTTGTGTCAAAACCCAAAAATCAAATCTGATTTCCAAGTTTTCAAACAAAATAAAAAATTTCAAGTTTTCGTGCCGAGACCCAAAAAATCGAAGATTTCAAAACCAAAACGATCATCTTTAAGTTCTAGACGTTAAAAAATAAAGTTTTCGTGTCAGAACCCAAAAATCACATTTTCCAAAGCTAGAGTAAAAATTCCAAGTTTTCGTGTTGGGACCAAAAAATATGTAATTTCAAAGTTTAATGTCAAGTCCAACAAATAAAAATTAATTTTTTATGTTAAAACCCAAAAATCTAATTTTCAAGTTTTCAAACCCAAAAATTAAAAACTTCAAGTTATCGTGCCGGGACCCAAAAAATTTATTATAAAATTAAAAAACTTCAGATAGACTAATAAAACCAACAAACTTACAGTAAGATCAAACAAAATCGGCTTCGAGTTCCCACTAATCAATGGTAACGGCGATGAATTTGACGGTCGTTCCACTGACAACCGTTCCAACAAGAACGTCAATTCGGACCTAAAACTTTGTTCAGCGAACAAAATCTGGTTCAGTAGGTCGGTCGAGAAGGTGTGCTCCATTGGTCCCATACACACCTTTACATCATGATACCCGCCATCTTTATAGACCAACAATGGGTTTGGACCTGGGGCGTTAAGGCCGGGAGAGCGACGATAATGGCCCGAGGCTTTGATGTATGGCAGGGGTAGGGTGAAGGTTTCGAGCGTTGTGGGGGTGCCTTCGCTTTGGGATTGGACCACCATGAAGCACACTTGATGGTCTACAACTTCGGCCTGAAAAATGTTTAAAAATGTTAAAGTCAAAATTTCGTGGTAGGACCAAACTTAAAATTTAAAAAAATGTAAATCTCAAGCTTTCGTGCTAATACCCAATTTTTTTATCCCAAAAAATGGCTTAAAATATATTTAAAGTTTTCGTGCCAAGACTCAAAACACATTTTTTTGATATAAAAGTATCAATTTTAAGTTTTCGTGTCGAGACCCAAAATCAGAAACTCATTTTTTGATGTAAAAACTTTAATTTCAAGTTTTCGTGTCAAGACCCATAAAAACTATTTTTAAATTTTCGTTCAAAGCACAAAAAACTTACCTGAAAATGCAAAAACTGTCCCGTCTTTCCGATCGCTTTGGCCTTGCTCAACTTGTACTTGGTCTTCAACGATGGCAACAACTGTGCGTCCAATTCTACACTTGAAATGTGGATTTCAAAGTTGATTTCGTAGTCCTTCGGCTTCTCCGGGATCAGTGTGGACGTGCTTAGCTGTGATGATGCTGCTGTTCGTGAAGGTGGTACTTCTAGGGTTGCGGCATTACTATTGACTTCGAGTTTGTTGACATTTGAATCAGACTTGGTTGTTCCGAAAATTACACTGCTTCTGTTTTGGCTACTGGAAGGCGTACGGTCGCGGGTTTGGGTTGTGGTTACGGTAGGATCTAAGTTTTGGCTTTTGGATACTGTAGAGTCTTGCTTTTGATTTCTAGATACCGTAGAATCCTTCACAATCGTTGTATTCGGGCCTTCATTAGCCTTCTTGACAAGTTTTACATTTTTGGCGTCATCAGCACCACTAGTCATAGTACCATCCCCAAATGAGCCTACAGAATCCCCAATAGCTCTTGTTGTATTCAGAGATTCATTACGATAATTCGAGCTTCTTGTGGCTTCAAATTGGCCGTCTTCATTACCATAACCATGGCCTGATGAATCTCCGTAACCCTGACCATTTCCACTGCCATATCCATTACCGTGCCCACTACCGTAGTACATAGAAGGCTCCACCGTGGTAGACAAAGTCGAAGTTCTCAGTTTCTCCTCGTCATCTTGACGTATTTTCGGGAAGTATCTAGGTTGCTGTGCCACAATACGATACAATTGATCGTGAAGCTCGGGTGCATGTCTCAGTACGACTTCGTGAATTGATTGAGCATGCATTGGTAAGTCGCCTTCAACATCGCCAAGTTGTACTACTAACTTTCGTACTGGGTGTTGGTCGGTGTAGAGATTACTGTAATTAAAAGGTTGAATATTATAGTGAGAAAACTTGTAAAACCAAAAAAAATTATTTTGATATTGTAGTAGATGCAAAAAATCTAAAAATTCACCTTAAAATCTAAATTTAGGCTTAATCATAGCTTTAATCATATTTTTAAACATAGACTGAGCCTAATACCAGTTTTAAACATAAAAATAAAATTTTAAGCTTACAATTATTAATTAATGTCTAAAGGTATCATCTTAAGCCTAAAAATAGATTTTTACGCCTAAAAAGTTTTAGCCTAGTAATAGTCTGTGTAAGCCTAAAAATGACCGTTTTTAGCCCAAAAATGGCTTTTTTAGCCTAAACGTCTTTTTAAAGCCAAAAAAAACATTTTTAGGTCAAAAACCAAACATAAACTTACACTTCAAACAGCCCAGAGCTCTGTTTCAACGAGCAATTCAGAATCTGTTTCGTTTCGGATTGCAGTTTTTGATGAGTACGATGCTCCGACAGTACCAAATTGGCTCTCTTTATGTCTAAACTAACCGAATCCGAGAGTTTTGGCTGATCTGATCCAGAAAGACTTCGTTTTGATGACTTTCTTGGTGATGCTAGTCCTCCATCCTTTTGAAGGATCCAATTATGAGTGTGGTTGGGGGTGATTCTCATGAATGTTAACGAGATAAAGAGGTCGGTTAACATGCATTCAAGTAGGAGAGATTTGAGGTTACATCCACCTTTGATGTTGACTGATAAGAGGCAGGAACGGTGGAGGGTTTTGCTTCTGAAATTAAAAGTTTAGGAAGGGAAAGCGAATAAAAACATCAAAAACAAAAAAATTTTAAATTCTCAAAAAAAAATTTTTTGAAGGCGGGGTAATTTTATTTTTTAAGGAGGGGGGAGGGAGGGGGGAAAGAGAAAGTAGGGTAAGAGAAAAAGAGAAAGAAGTTAAAAAACAAAATTCTCAAATTTTAAAATATAGTCTCTCCTCCTCCCCCCCCCCCATCCCTCACTCAAATCTACTCCTCCTCTTAACAAAAGCCCACTCTTCCTCCCCGTCCCTTCTCTCTAACCCCTCTATCCCCTTCCAAAAACCTACGCGTATCTCTGATAGTCGTGTAGTTTATCCATGACTCCAGTGATCCAGCAAAACTCTGTGATTTCCTCATTCAACGAGGACGGTAGCCGACTTCTGTATGTGTCACGGAACACGCTTCTATCCGCCTTCTTCTGTCTCGCTTCGACACACGCACTGATTGACATAGCCAGATCGTTTATCAAACAAACCGACGCTAATGAGGCTACAATCTTCACGGTTTGTACCTTGATATTGTAGTCTATGTCAAGGTGAAGAAGAAGCGGTCGTAGCTGAAGATCGTCGAGGCCTACATCGTACTTTATGTTTCCATTCAGTTCCAGAGATTCTAGGCTTCCAAAGTGATGATTTGTAAAGGCTAAGACTGGGCCTTCAGCAGAATTCAGCAGCTTTTTCTCTATGACATCCAGCTTGATTCCGTTCCATTGAAGCTGATAGTTCAGGGTCTTGTTAGTCAGCATTTTTAGTCCATCCAGTCCAGTCTTTTCCAACTGTTGTTGTTCGTATAATTTCCAGAAGAAGACGGAGAGCATCAGCTCCATTGGATTCACTTCGTGCGTGACTTCTGGATCCTTTTTCGGTGTCAGGTCGCGACGTTGCTTGTACTCCTTCTGAGCCCGTAGGATCCAATGATATAGATCTTCTTTTTTGGGTTGGGGTTCGTTGATGACTGTGGCTTGTGTGGCTGATGAAGGACCGCGACGATGGCCTGGTTGGAAGCCGGTTACCGTGGCGTTCGAGCCTTGGCGACGGTGGCCTGAAATTGTAGTAGGTCTTGGTGAAAAAAGCTATTTCTGATAAAAAAATAAACAACATTTAGATGTTTCTGTGGCTTCATTAAAGGTACAAAGCCTTCCTTCTACTTTTTCTTTGAAAAAATAATATTTTAGATACATAATGACCGCTTTAAAAGTTTTGTCGTCATTTCCCACTGCTTCCCACAGTAAAAAACGACAAGATTTGTTTTTAACGCCTTATTATGCCCTAAAACATCAAAAAACTAAAATTTTTGAAAAATCAATAGTTTAAAAACTTCAAATTAAAAAAAAAAAAAAAAATTTCAAAAAATCCTGTCCAAAAATCCGCTTTTTTACAAAATTACCCTACCCGAAACCCTTTGTGGAGTACTAGGAGCAATCTTCTGTGTTCCACTAGTGCTTGGACCCATTGGAGGTAGACTTCCAGCGGCTGATTCGAGTAAAGTTGATTGAGTTTGTGACATTTTCATGCCTTTCTCCACGTCTTTTGCGAACAGACAGTCTGTTGTGTGTGAGGTTGGTAGTAGTGGCTTGACTGGACTGTCGAAAACATTGTCTTCGTTTGTTGCTTGTGAGTTTTCACGGCTAGTCGATGGATGCATGTTGTGGTTGGCATTATTGAGTTGATTTTGGTCAATTTCACCTAAAATATACGTTCTACTGGCCTGGCTTTAGTAATCATTCTACCCTAAACTACATTGCTTTCTTTACCATACCCTAACCTACCCAATCCTACACTACCTTACCCTAATCTACCCCAACCTGCTATACCCTACTCTACGCTACGCTACCCTACCCTACTATGCCCTACCCTATCTCTTACCCTACCCTACCCTCCTCTACCCTACTGTATCATGCAATACCTTAATCTACAGTATGCCTTACTCTTCTATACGGTACGATGGTCTACTGTGTTATAATCTCCTTTACCTTACAGTGCCCTTCCCCACTTATTAAAGTAGAGAAAGGTGTACCACGCCTTACCGTACTCTGGAATGCCCTACATTACAGTAATGTACCGTGCCATCACTTAACCTATAGTATGCCTTATCCTAAGGTACAGTACAATAACTTACCATACTCTGTCTTATCCCACATTATCTTGCGCAACAGTACCCTACCCTACCTATGCCTTAGCTTACTCTAAACTACCCTACTCTACAATGCCATAAACTACCTTACCCTACCCTACACTATCGTACCCTATTCTACTGTACACTCACAACTATTATAATACCCTCTAAATCACCCTTAATATTACCTAAATTATGGTTGGTACTATCCAAATTCTCATTGATAACATTCAAGTTGCCATTATTTCCTTGACTCTCTTCGTTTTGTGATTCTAATGTAGCCATTTTCGAGGCTGAAGGTGACTTTTCAATTACACAACGATATTTGTTAGCTAGCAGGTGATCTACCAGCTGAATTTGACTACAGATCAGGGTTTGCCAATGACTTAACAATGTGATAATCACTGCTTTTCGAGTCTTTTTGTCTTCCAGGTCGTCCAATGCTATCAGGTGGTCGTACCAGTAGTCCTGGAGTTCAATTTTTATTTTTTTTTTGAAATAATTTTAAAATTAAATCTTTGTAAAATACGGTTATAAAACTTCAAACTTTTTATAAAAAAAACAACTCCTAAAAAAAAATTCAGTTCCTAAAGGCATAAAAAGTAAAATACGCTCTTTGAAATGGAAGGGTTCAAAAATTGCGTTTTTTTTTCTCACCAATGTCACAATTTCGTTGTTTCTAGACACATATCTTAACAGTGATGTTGTAAGTTTGCACGATGGGCAAGAATTGAAGTTCTTTCCGTTGATTTTGTGATCGTGCATTTTCGAGGCTTTGTCGATTAACTAAAATACTTCATTTTAAAAAAGAAAGCATTAAGTTTGTTGCCTAAATCTTTGACTCTTACAAACTCAATTTTATTATCTTACCAAAAGCACAACACGTCAAAAAATATTTTAACCCTCCCCCCCCCAATAAAATTTTTTTACCATACCCAAATTTTTTTTAAAAAAGGTTTTCTCCACAAACTAATAATAAGAAAAAAAATTCTATAAACCCACGTTAGAAACGGCCACATCCCACCCCCCCCCCAAAAAATTTTTTTAAAAAATTCACCCCGCTTAAAATTTTTTTTTATTTTGAAAAATCAATGCCGTGCCACACCTTTTGTTTCCCTGCTTTACACTACTCCCCTCAAATTACTCTACCATACCTTATCCTATTCCATTATACCTTGACGTACTCGAGCCAACTCTGCTCTACGCTACTATACCCTGCCTTAACCTATCGTATCCTACCCTAATCTACCGAATTCTATCTTGTCCTACCCAAGCGTATCCTACCCTACCTTAACCTACCGTATCATACCTTACTCTGCACTACCTTAATGACCTATGATATCACACGTTACATAACCTTAATCATGCATACGTATTTTACCCTGCCCTGTATTACCTTCTCTTCTTCCTTCCACCCACCCCTTTACAAGCCTCAACTATAAACTATATCAACCTTAAAACGTATTTTACCTGAGCATCCCTCCAATCGAGTGCATCAGCCAGTATTTTGATCAAGCCCACGTCTTCATATAGCTCCAACTTATCACTCATTTTGTCAATCTTATCCACCACCTTCTCCACCGTGCTGATCCATGAGTTTAGGCTTGGAGCGAACACTTCGTAGAAGGTTTGCTCCTCACTCTTCTCTCTGGCTTCGATCGGCTTCCCCAACAACCATGTGCAATTGAGTGTGGCAATGTCGATGACCAAACTGTTCGAGTCGTGCCCTTTATGGTGCTGTTTTGGCTCTTTAATGGTACTCTCGGCTCGTTTGGCTGGGTTGGTCGGGGTGGGCAAGTTGATAAGTGACAATTTGGGTCCGGTCGAGTGGAGTGGTGGTCGACTTGGCACATTGCCGGTGTTGAATTTGACTTCGATGTGAGGTAGGTCTAGATCGAACATTAGGCGAAGGTGCGATTCCTTTGGTTTTATTGGCAATTGGTCCCAGTTTGTGGTGTAGTTGGCCGACAGCTTGACACGATGTTGTTGTTGTGGAGTTGTGGTCATGTGGAGGTATTGGCAGTGTAGGGACTGAAAGGAAAAGTTTTTATAAATAGCATTTTTTTCCAAAAATCCACAGGGAGGACCAAGTTCAACTTTCTTCGGAAATTTTTTCTGGAGAGGGGGGGGTTCTCCTCCCCCCCCTAATTTAAAAACAACCTCCCAACCAATTTTTTATTTTTTGTCTCCACCCCCCATACCCCAAAAAAATTAACTTTTTTATTTTCACCCCTCTCCCAATTCCCAAAAAAAACCTTCCATCCTCTCCCCCTGTTACAGACCAAACCCTTACCTTCAACTTAATCCTAAACCCGCATTTCTCTCTTCTTGACTCCCTTTCGATCGTGAAGTTCGGCACGTTCAAACTGTTCAAATTGTTATTCTCATGGCCATAACTGTGGTCGATGAAAGCGGTCGTATTTCGTCGAACCGGCTGTTTATGTGTGTCTGATTGAATGGCATTTTCATTGTGAAAAACTGACGAATCTAGATGAATTAGACAAATTGAGGAGACAAAGTCTTCTAGATCAGCGGAGTCTTTGACTGTTGTCATTGCTGGCTCGGATTGGAAGAAGTTGAGGTTTAATTCTGGCAGATTGAGGAAGATTTCGAGTGGGAGTTGGGATGGATTGGCTGAAAAAATGGCAGTTTTAGTCTAGTTTTTGTAAAAATTTTTTATAAAAATTGCAAAAACTTTCTTTACAAAGCCTTTTTCAACATAAAAATATTGAGGTTTTCCTAAAAATTGCAAAAACTTTGTCTACAAAGCCTGAAAACGCTAAAATTTTACCTAAAGCTAGCAAAAACTTTCTTTACAAAGCATGGTTTAAATAAAAAATTGTAGAAATAGCATAAAAAATTGCAAAAACTTTGTTTACAAAGCCTTTCCATATAAAAAAGCTAAAATTTTAACCCAAAAATAGCACAAACTTTCTTTACAAAGCCAATTCTCTCCAAAAACGCTAAAACTGTTACCAAAAAATTGCATAAACTTTCTTTACAAAGTCATTTCCCTTAAAAACCCTAAAAATGTTACCTAAAAAGCAAACATTTTCTTTATAAAGCCATTTTTAAGTAAAAGATTGTAAAAATGTTACCTAACAATAGCATAAACTTCCTTTAATTTTTTAAAAAACAAAAAAATCCTAAAATTTGCAAAAAACATTAACGTTGCCGTATTTTACCTCTATCTTTAGCCAAATCCCTCGTCAATGGCTGTGAATGACCGCCAAGAGCGCATGAAAAGTAGATATTTTGTGGAACGATTGCTGGATGTGCCAATGTTAGAGCTTCGGTGAAAGCTTCTATTACTTCTTCGGCTGCCTCTAGGGCCAATGGTGATATGAAGACCTGAAAAGGCACGGTTACGTTAAAAAACGGTTGGAAAATGATAAAAATAGCAAAAAACTTGGCTCAGCTCGTAGACCAAGCCGAAAAAAATGGCCTGGCCCCTTGTACCTCTATTTTTAGCCAAATACTTCAAGCTAAGCCTCATAAAAGTTTATATTATACCTGAACATTCTGACCACAGATCCCAGAAATGCACAATGCACTCGCATCCTTAGCCCAATCATCGCTGAATCTCGCTTCAGAATCACTTGAATGTGAGCTGGACGTGCTTCTCGTATTGTTGTTCTCCTTTTTGATCAAACACACGTTTGAAATACCATCTGTGAGTTTCTTCGTCACCGTCGTATGTTGATATATCCATTTTGATATTGAGTCGACATGAGAAAAGGATGGGCATTTTGGTTTCGAGTTTTGAAAATCAGTAATTTCCAGGTATTTTAGATAATTGCTTTGCCGTTTGTCATCCGATGCTTGTGAATTGGCTGAATGGAAAGAGTTTTCACTCAGCTTTCGACCAAATTCTTCGTGATCCGAGTCTGTGTAGGAGATGTCGTCAGATAAGCGGATACCGCTGAAATTTGATTTTGAGTAAAAACTGTTAAAAATTTTAAAAAAAAAGTTTTAAAAAGAAGATATGATCATGCCTATAATATTCTACCTCTACTATCTACCCTACCCTACCCTACTCTCCCTGCCCTACTATATCATAATGTTTTACTGTACCCTGGAGCTTTCTGCCACGCTCTATTGTACCCTACCGTAAGCCTATCTACCCTTTCAATACCTTGCTCTTACCTTGCCATATACCGCTTCCTTCTACCTTACCGTATGTTACTATACTTTGTCCTAAATTACACCACCTTAGCTTACTGCATGCTATTTTTTAAGCACAATTTTAACTTAACCTTCCCATACTAATTTCCTACCTTATCCTACCTTACTCTACCTTATCCGTTCCCTTCCTTACTCTCTGCTAATACGCCTTACCTTACCCTACAGTACTATACCCTAGCCTTTACTTACCTTACCCTACCTATCACACCCTAGCTTTATCCTACCCCAGCCTACGCGTTACATTACCAACAACAACGACTCTCTATTCGTCATAACAAGCCTGTCATACCTCGAATCCCGATCCAAAATACTCTGCATGAACCCATATTGTTCATCATCTCCTTTCAGTACAATTTCGGCCAATTTTTGTGTGAAATTCTTGGCAAATATCTTTCCACTCAAATCATGAGCAGCAAAGAAATGTGAGTCTCCAGTACATCCGCAAGCCGCCTCGTCCATCCATATAAAGTACAGTCTCTTCGTTAGTCCATCGTGCTTCTTCAGGAACTTCTGCCGTTCCTGTGCCATTATACGTTCATGTTCCGCATAGGGTAGTCGAATATCCATGTCAATCTTCTTTACATCAATTTTTGCCGTTTCCGCGTAGATACCGCGACTCGGAATGTAAGTATATTGTTTTAGGTTGAAGTAGGGTAAGGTGAAGTTAATGTTCTCATTGAATGTGCCATTATGACTGTTACAAAACGAGAATCTGAAGAATTCTGTAGTCAATTGGGTAATATGGTTTCCACTGTGTAGTTGTAGATCAACACCGTCCAATGATACTCTGGCTAGCTTGTACTTTAGCATGTCTGAGCCAAAACATTTCACTAGTTTGTCTTTTGGGTCGACGTTGGTCAGGTTTGAGTGGGTACAGTTCTGAAAAAGTTAAGGTAGAGTAAGATAAAGTAAGGTAGGGTACAGTATAGTAAAGTAAAGAAGAAATGAAAAACTCTTTTTAAAGTAAACTACCGCTACATTACACAAGCCAATACCTACCTTAATATTCTCAAAATGATGACAAAGATTGTACTCCTCAGGCAGATGCATGGCTTCGTCCGGCATTAGTGCCAATGTCAAAAAAGTCTCAGTGAAGTGGATAATCGTAGTTACATTACTTGGCTGTAGCTTGGCATTAAACTGTCCTAGCGTTACCTCCACTTGCCACGCATACTCAACAACTTCCACCGCCCATGGCACCCCTTTGTCCGAGTATAAGCCATGCCCGCGGAACTGAAACGAGTCCAACGTCAGCCAGTCTGGATTGGTTTTATCACCCGTCCAGCCTGTTGTTGGTGACTTTTCATCGATAAAACTGGACAGGTTGGCTTGATTTTCCTTTTCCGGGAAATAAACGACCGTTGGTGCCAATTGAGCTTGTACCAAACACTCCTTGTGGTTCTTGGATAGCTCTACCGCGATTTGTTCGTTGATTAATATTGGGCATAAGTCAGGTGTTTCGGCGTCGGTTTTTGGTGAAAATGATAGACAATGAGCTTGAACGTTGTCGAGTTGAATTCTAAGTTTACAGTCCATTGGTCGATAGAGTTCTGGTCGTTTGAAAAAGTCGGATTCTATCCCTTTTATTACTATGTGCTCGGGTTTCTCCGCGTTTACGTCTGATATCTAGAAGAATATAGACTAGAATTTATTTTTTATCCAAAATTTAGATTTATTTATCTAAATTTAGTCTTACCTTATCATACTTTACTCTGCCCTAAAATATTACCCTGCCCTAAGCTACCCTACCTTTCCCTACCCTACCCTGCACTACCCTACCTTACCTTATCTTACCGTACCGTACCGTGGCGTACCGTACCCTATCCTGCCCTACCCTAACCTACATTACCCTACCATACTAAACCCTACTGCACCCTAACCTTCCCTTGCCTTACCAATATGTTACAGTATCATTTTTTAACACAGTCCTATCCTGTCCTACGGTATACCGCACCACATTCTACCATACACCACCAGCACCACACCCTATCCTGCGCTACCGTAATAAAACTTAGCTTTATAGGCTGCCCTGCCTTACCCAGCTATATATATATCTCACTCTTCCCTATTCTGCTTTGCTCTACCCTAAAATACTCTTCCTCGCCCCATTCTACTATCTTATGCTAAACTGCCCTACACTACCTACCGTATTCTTCACCACCCGTTTCTACTATCACACCCTTCCCTATGTTGCCTTACCCAACCTCGTAGACAATAAACACCGTTCAAGTCAAAATCGTATTTTACCTTATCATAGCTTCCAAAATAGTTATCCTTCAAATCAAATATCATTCGGACCAACAGTCCGCTCAACAAGATTTCAGATTCACTAAAGTTCATTTCGATTTCCAACGAATCCGGCTCCAGCTCGTTCGGATGTTCGATTTCTTTTGGCAAGTAGTCATTCAAGAAGATCAATGGTACGTCCGAATTGACTTTCGACGAAATCGGATGGTATTCATGATCAAACCGCACTGATATCGTCTCTGTTCTCCAAATCTCCACAAATCCCTACAAGAAGTTGAAACTTTTGTTAATTTTTGGAGCTTATTTAGCTTGGGCATATTATATTACCCATGTTATTCATGGATGATAATTATGTTATATAAACTACGTTTTTTTAACCTTTTTTCAAATTTAAAGGTATTTTTACAACTTATTTGTTTCGTAATGCAAAGTTTCAATGTAAATTTTCATAAAAACAGCTTGAGAGAAAAAGTTGACTCAAAATCGTCTTCGTTGAGTCAAGTCTTACGTTTGTGAATTAAAAGCTCTAAATGTTGTTAAAACTAAGTTACGTGTCTTTAGTTCTGCCAAAACTCAACGAATCAACCGTATTTTACATTCACAACTTATTTTTACAAAAAAAAATTAAAAAAACTAAGAAGAAAAACTTGACTCAAAATAATATTTTTTGAATCAATTGTTTCTTTAAAAAACCTTCGAAAAAGCATCCGAACAAAAGTATCCTACATTCCTACATCATTTTTCACAAATCTAAGACAAAAAAGTACGAGAGAAAAACTTGACCCGGAACACCTGGTTGAGTCAAGTCTTCCCCTCTGTCAAAGTAAGTCCCAAGACTTCCCGAAAGACCTGAACTAATGTTAAAATCTTCAAATGCTCACCTGCTCCGGGCCAGCCGTCACAAAAACCTTTGAATATTTCATTTTTGTTTTGTTGGCCGCGCTGTTGCACAATGCCAAAAACAATGGTTCGATGGTGCTTTGTGAAGGTACTCGAACACGAAGTGCCAGATCACTGAAGGCTTTGATTTCGTAGGCCACTTTGATGGTTTTTGGGCTAAATTCGGTAAATGGGAGAGAGAAGTTGATGGTGAGTTGATTACCCACAATGGCCGCTTGAGTGTTTTCGGCCGATTGGGCGGCTCTGAAATGAGTTATATTAGTTTAGTTTAAATTTATATGGTATGGACTAGCTTTCCCAATCAAAAAACAGTATCTTTTAAGTAATATACACCAAGTTTTGTCATTTTTTAGGTAAAAATCGTCGTTTTTTGGCCTAAAAACACGTCTTTCCTATATTATAATAGGCATAACAGCTCTTTCAACGCCGTTTTTTCTATTTCAAACACCAACAAACCCATTTCAATGCTTTATAAAGCCTTTTTAAATCCAAAAACGTCATTTCTACACCTACTATAACATCAAAATCCCAAATTTTGTCCTCAAACCCAACTTTTTCATCTACCTCAATATCTTACCCAGTATCAACCCAATTCTTGTCGTTCAACAACAAAATCACTTCGAATTTGTCAATGATATTGATGTTGAAATGCCATGTATAAGGTACGAAACGGCACAAATCTGACACATCTTCCGAGCTCCATTCATCGATCAGATCGGCCAGGAAGCGTTTGTGGTCCCAGAAGAGATAAGTTGAGATTTGATGGAGTTCCAGGCCAAAGTTCCATACTTGGTGAGCGTTATAGTTTCTTGGGAAGTCTACTACCAGGTTGAACTTGGCCGTTTCGCATACGATAAAGTCACGGAAGGGTAAACTTGTAGTGGCTTCGAGCTTTAGCAGGGTGCCTTTTGTTACTAAAAATTTTAAAAAGTTTTATTTAAAAGACCATTTTCGTTTTTACAAATTTTAAAATATGCTCGCATATTACACCCTACTAGCCTTACCTTACACTACTTTACCCTATCCTACCCTAGCCTACCTTACCCTACCCTACCTTACACCATTAATAGTATATCATATTCTGTCCTAGCCTACCTTATCCTATACTGCCGTGATCTGCTTTACCCTACCCTACGCTTAACTCCCGTACCCTAAATTACCCCAGTCCATTTTAATCGTCACCATGCCTTTAATTGTGCTGCATCATGCCTTACCTTACTCGATAGTACATCCCTCGTAAAGAAGCTACCCTGCTATATAATACACCCTAAGATGCCTTACAGTGTTTATTACATACCCCGCAAAATTTTGTTTCCAGACTACAATATAACCAGCCTTACCCAACTTTAGAGTACTCTTTACCCTAACTTAATCACCATTATTTCCTACCTTATCCTTACCATACCCTACTCATACTTACCCTACTCTCCAGTATGCCCCGCCCTAGCATTATAATATCTTACTCTACCATACTCTAGACCTACTATTCCCTATCCGGCCATAAAACAAACAAAACACCCCTACACCCTTACCTGAAGTATATCCATTCTCCCCGCAAATCCACGGCACAGTGCACTCAAACATCGACCCGGGCTTTACTCTACTGTGCATGGCATTCAACTCATCGTTTCTCATGAACCAGAAATCAATAGTGGCGTCACGAATGAAGGATACGCTCATTTCGTGTTGAATGAAGATTCGTTTTTCGCCTCGTTTTGGCATCTGAGTGATTGGTACGATACCGTAATCGCTTGGAAAGAAGAAACTGTAGAGTTCGGCGCGTCTTTTGTCGGCCCATGGGCCATATGATATGATAGTGTTCTTGTCGAGACGCCACTTTGTCTCCCATACAGGAAGGTTGGTTTTGGTGGATTGGGCGTCTTCTGATCGGACAAAACCTAAAATTCAAACAGTTTGAGTATTCTAGTGCTAAATAGTACCAGAGACGTAAAATTAGTACTGAATAGTGTAGTATTTAAGTACAGAAAAGCACTACCCACCCAGTATGTCCTGATGATAGAAGAAGTGGATCGTAGCGCTTTGAAGAATTGCGAACCCATCTCCCATCGTTCTTGGCGGATCTTCCCTCTGGCCTTTAAAGTTGTTTTGCTTTATCAATGAAATTCGAACACTTTCCATCACGGCCTTCATTCTGAGCATGTGCTGGTCTTCTGTGTTCGAGGCTCCGGTTATAAACAGTTTTGCTAAAATTTAAATATTTTTTTTTATTTTTCAACTTTTGAACTTAAAAATAAAGAATTTAAAAGTGAACAGTAAAGGGTTTGATAGGATAAAGTAAAAAGTAAACGAGGATAAGGCAAGACAAGGTAAATTAAGGCGTGACAAAGTATGATAAATTAAAATAGGGTAAGGTAGAGCAAATAAAGGTAGAAAATAGTGAGTCAAAGTAAAATAAATTTATTGGCATAGATCTACAAAAGTAAATAGAATACTGTACAGTAAGTCACAGTAAGAAAAAGTGCGACATACTGTAGAGGTCAAAGTAAAAAAAATAAGATACAATAAAGATATAGTAAGTTAAGTACTGTAAGTCTAACAGTAAGCGTATTATACAGTAATGTAGAAATGGTAATGGCAAGAGTAGTAGTGGGAGTCGGCGTATGGATAGGGTAGGGTAAGGTAAGGTAAATCAAGGTAAAGTAGAGTAAGATTAAATACCAATAACTTACACTGAAAATTCTCAACAACGAAAGCAAAAGCATATGGCATTCGATTGTTTCCAGCAATGATTCTGCAACTGTTCATGTCCAACACAATTACTCCAACTAGTCGCCAGAACTTGTCCCAACATGCCTCGAGTTGTTGTTCTTCAACTCTTTTTGCAAATTGAGAAAAGGCATTGTTGTCCAAGTCCTTCTTTGGATACTGTTCTTTCGGTGGTACAAAATGGCCGGCTGATGCTGAAGCGCCTCGCGCTGCTCGAGCAAACGTCTGATATACATCTAGGCGGTTGTAAAAGTGTACTTTTACACCGTTTAGTGATAAGTGTAGACGAGAAATGTCACTGAAAATTTTTAAAAAAATATTTTACAAATTATTTTAACGAAAAATGACAAGAACTTTATTTACTAATAATAAAATTGCAAGAACTTTCTTTACAAAGTTTGAAATAGCAATAACTTTCTTCACAATGCACAAATTGGCAATAACTTTCTTTACAGAGTTTGTTTACACAAGAAAAATACCAAAAACTTTCTTTACAGATCTTGAAATGACATGAACTTTCTTTACACAACATAAAATGGCAATAACTTTCTTTACAAAATACAAAAATCACAAAAACTTTCTTTCCAGTTTCAACAATTCCAAAAAAAATTTTAATTTCTCTTAAATGACTATAAAATCATATCAAAATACTTAAAACACCTCAAAAACCCCTTCCAAACCCACCCATGCTTTTTGTCCCTGGTCGCATCCAGTTCCTCCTTCCTCGGCACTCTTCTCCAGAACGAGAATATGACATAACCATCGTTTATCCTCACCGAATAATCGTCTGTGATGTACAATATGTCTCTGAACATGATCTTTCCGGCCAACAATGACACTGAGAATGATCCCAACGAAAAGTGTTGAAGTTGTTGTTGTTCACCCATCAAATATGGCAGTAGTCTCTTCAAGAATATGCAAATCAAGGTTCCGCACAGTCGACTGAAGAAGAATACTGAGAAAACGGCCCATGTTATGAAGAGAACCAGCGTTCCGATCAGAAGGAAGAAGTTGATTCCAGGCTCGTCACCTTGCCATTCTTTGCGAATGTCGGATTGAAACTGTTTTATTAGATCAATATCGGCTAGGTTGTCCAGAATCGAGACTTCTGTCGAGTTTGACATGGTTTTAGAGCGTTCTTTGCTGTTTTTTACTAAAAATATCAAATTTTAGGTAAAAAAAAACAATTTTTTAAAACTTATGGAGTTAAACATAATTTTAAAGCGTTCTTTGCTGTGATTTTGTTAAAAAATAAAATTTTAGGTAACAATTTTTCTTTTGAATTTTAATTTTTAAAATTTGTGAAAAAAATTTTTTTTTGAAATTTCAAGTTATCAAAAAAACTTGTAGGCTATGAAAAAATAAAAAAAGCGATATAAAAACAAAAAAAGAATTTTTTAAAGTATAAATTCAAAATTTACTGCACAGTGAAAACTTAAAACATTGCACCGTGCAAGTTCAAAAAACGTGCACTGTGCACGTAATGAAGCAAATTTTACATTAAAACCTGGATACACCGTTTTAAAATAAGTTCAAACATCCACTTTTAAAATATGTTTATTCTATGATCAAAATTGACTGCACAGTGCACATTTTAAAAAACTGCACGGTGCAAATTTAAAACATTGCACAGTGCAAACCCATAACCCATTTTACAAAACTTTTAAATTACAATTTCAAAGTAAAATTGAAATTAAAAGTAAAAATATATTGAGAACTTACCTTTCACCAATAAAATTATTCAAAAAAGTACCAGTTGTATTAGCAAAATGTAGAAATAACTTATCAAAATGTACACAAAATTAGAAGAATGTAAAACAAATAAATTATTTTCGAGAATGTGGTATCATTTCTGAAAGTAAGTTTATATTACATTTATTTTACATTACCTAGCTTTTTATAACAACTCATAAATTTCGAAAATGCATTCAAAAAGTTTGAAAAACGTTCAAAAAGTTTGAAGAAACGGTCATTTTTGAACAAACTTTGCCGTTTTTACATCAATATGATCCATTAAAGCCCAAAAAAGCATTTTAAAAATAAAACTTTAAATGTTCTATCTAGTTTTTGACCAGAAAGATACTTTAAAACCCTTCAACCTATCAAAAACAACCAGATATTAAAGTTTAAAAGTCTTGTCGCCAATTTACATGTATTTGTTTAACAAAAAACGACAAAACTTTTCCAACAATATAATAATATCAAAATCGCTTTTCATAATCCCATAATCTGTCTTTAACCCCAAAAAATCACCCTTCCCACCAAAAAAGCCCCAAAACAAGTTCAATCACAACATAAACAAGGTATTAGTAACGAATTGGTTAACGTATCAACGCCATCATCATATCTCTTTTCATTTTCGTATTTATATTAAAAATTCTGTACAATCGAATTTTAAGGTGAATAAATAAACAAATTAAGACAACATAACAATCGAAAAAGGCATTTTACAGTAGATAAGCCACTTTTAAGGGTATGTTATAGTAGGTAAGACACTTGAATGAGAAATTGTGATACAATCAATGTAAGTAGCTGTCGATTATGCCAATTTTAAGCGCTGGAAAGAAAGTTTTTGTTTCAAAAAATGTTGCATTTTTTTCAACAATTTTTAAAAACTAAATTTTTTTTGAAATTTCAAAAATTTAACATTAAAAATCTTTAAAAACAATGTTTCAACCCAGAAAGCGCAATAACTTTCTTTACAAAACCAAAAAAACTTTCTTCAATTTAAAAAAATGCAAAAACTTTCTTTCCACGGTCTAAAATCATTTAAAAAAAGTATCAAAACTAAAAACATTACAGTAGTAAATAGAGATATATTCAAAATACAATAGTTAAGAAATGCTTTAAATGAAGATTACGTTAAGAATTGACACGAGTCAATAGAAAAATGAATATAGACATCGATATATATATATAAAAGATGGGCACCTTATTTAACCTGTATTGTCTTTGAGGTAAAGACGGTTCAAGTATGAGCAATATTTCAAACAAAAAATTAAAAAAACATTAAAATGATCCAAAAGTTATAATAAAGGCTATGAAATATTAAAAAGTCAACCTTAAAATTCAAAAAATGGCCAAAAAAGATGAAAAATCAGCCTTAATACCAACCAAAATCACTTAAAAATCTAAAAAAGACGTTGAAAGTACTGTGAAGATAAACAAAATCAGTTGAAATCACTGTGTCGCCTCAACCTGGCACCAATCATTGCAAATGTGGGCCGTTCCGCCGGGTTTAGGTTCCAACATTCCGTCATCAAATCATTCATACTGGCTGGGCACGCTTCTGGCGGCTCCATTCTGTAGCCTCGTTCAATGTGTCTGACTACGTCTTGAATTGGCTGAAATTGTATATTATTATCAATAGTATCTTATAAAACAAACCGTATTTTACCAAAGGCAAGTATAAGTAGCAGTAAGAATAAAAGTAAGGTTAGAGGTAGAAGTAGGGGTAGCCCTAAGGGTGGGAGTAGACATATGGAATCGAGCAGGAGTAAGGGTAAAAATAGAAGCAGAAAGAGGATCAGAGCTAAAAATATAGATAAGAGTAAAGGTAAGGGTAGGATTAAAGGTAGAGGTAAGAGTACGAGACTGAAAGTAGGACAACGTAGAACGAAGGTAAGGGTAAGAGTAGGAGTAAAGCTAAAAGTAAAGCTTTGAGTAAAAGATGGGATAAGAGTAAGAGTGAAAATACGGGTACAGATAGAGCTAAAAGTAGGTTTAAGAGTACAGATAAGGGTAGAGGTAAGAGTAAGAATAAAGGTAGGAGTAAACATAGAAGTGAGTAAATTTTAAGATGTAAAAGTTAGAAACAGAAGTCCCGATAGAACCAAAACACCAAAATTTCCTCCAAAACCATCTTCACAAACCTAAACACCAACAAAAAATCAAAATTAACTTACAATTCTTGGGTAGGGTACCCTGCCGAACGAGTAGATTTCCCACAACAACACGCCAAATGACCAGACATCACTTTTGTTTGTGAAAGCCTGAAAAGAAAGAGAGAATAACATTACCAAATTTATAAACAAAAAGTGGCTTTGATAATTCCAATCGCGTTATATTAGCTATCAATCAAAATTTCGATTTCTTTCGACTTTTTGATCTCGATTAAATTAAATAAGCTAGTGATCAGGGATGTCTTCGGGGTGACTCCCCCCCAGAGCCGATCCGAAAAAAAATCCACAGGTAGGTGGTACCTGTACGTGAAAAAACAAAAAAAAATTTCGAAAAATTGGTCCACAAGTGACCAAAAAAATTTTTTTTGGGTCTCCCCCCCAAGAGAAAAACCGTAGCGACGTCCCTGCTAGTGATTATCATATAATTCAGAAAGATTAGCATAGTGATAGGATTTTAAAAAAAACACACATTAAAAGTTAATATCTATACCTAAAACAATATTTTTCATATTTCCCCTTAAAAATAGATATAAATCTCCTTCATTTTTCATTAAAACGTCTAAAAAAACTATCTAAAACATTATCATTTACATTATATTACTTAAAAACCACATCTTTTTCAAAAACCTCCCAACATCAACGATAATCTCTTACCCCTTCCCTCAACGCCTCAGGCGCAGTCCATTTGATTGGGAATTTACCCCTGCCTCGGTCCACCGATTTTTGGTCCACTTTCTGCGCCAGACCAAAGTCACTAATCTTGGCATTGTAATTCACGTCCAAAAGCACATTCCTGGCTGCCAAATCCCTATGTACAACATAAACCGACTCCATATAAGCCATAGCATCAGCAACATTAGTTGAAAACCTCAATAATTGTTCTTTCTCAACTTGATGTCGACCTCTTGACCTTAGAAAGTCCACTAGGTTACCATTGGCCATGTATTCTATTACCATTAGGACTTCGGAGCCGAGTTGGTCTATTACTACACCTAGTAGGTTTACTAGATATGGGTGTTTCAGACCTCTAAAAAGGTACATATTAAGATAACTTTATGTTTTAGGACTTCAAAAAGTAATTTTTACATAATTCTTTCCAAGTTTTATATTACAGTACCTTCAAAATAAAAAAAAACCCTAAAATAGCTCAAAAACCTACATCATGATCCTAGCCTCATTGAGAAGATCGATTGACAGCCCATTCTTCAGCGTCTTAACCGCCACCCGATTTGATTTGTAGAATCCGGCAAGCACATCTAAACATATAACAATCAAAACAAATGTTACTTACCTCCAAACTCTCCATGACCAACAACATCGCCCAGTTGAAGCTCGTTCCTTGAGATTACCACACCCGCCAATTCGAATTCGGTTAATCGCTCTTCTCGATTTGCTGCTTCACATTGAAGCCGGAATGCTTCAGATACCTGTGGAGTCACTAAACGATGACATAATCCATCTGCGTCTCGTTTGTAGTGCTAAAAAGTTGAGTTATATTGTTTTAGGTAGGTCAAAGTAAAATTAATATCAAAAGTTTTAAAATAGTTAAAGAAATAAACAAAGTATCTTTGTTTTCGCTTTATAATAACTTATTTTGTAATTCCAAAAAATATATGACTCACCGATACAAGTTGAATCAAGTTATCAAACAATTCTTCGTGGTCACAAGTGTACTGATTTTTGACCAAGTATATCCTGGAAAACAGCTCGTTAACTCAAAACTACAATCCCAATACCTCTTAATCACAACAAAATTTAAATCCGTTTTATCGTTTAAACTTTTAAACTCAAAATCAAAGAACAAAAACCAGTAATTACCTGTAATGTTCCACTTTCCCCTTGAAAGACACACATAACGTGAAATCGCCTGGATAATTTGTTGAATTTCGTATTAAAAACGTGCCATCACTTCGACCTCTCAACAACCTAAAAATCAAACACTATAAAGAAAATATTCACTTACCTTTCGGTTTGCTCTCGAGTGATTTGGCCATGAAACCATGGCATTTTGGAGTCATCACCTGTCGATGTTGGGAATGATCCATTTCTCATACTCATTATGCTCTACATTCATTTAACAAAGCTGCATTAGTTCTAAAATAACATTGTTGAAATGATAAAGATCCGTTATTCATCTATGGAAGAACCGCGAATTGAGCCAAAATGTAAATATTCTATATTATACTTGACCACACTCGTAAAAATTGAAAAACCGTTCTAAATTTAGACTTTACAAACGCAAAAGTGTTATCACAGCCCTGATTTATCATTCATCTCTCTTCCTACAACAATATTTAAGTAATAAACAAAATTATTAACGCCTTTTCCATCAAAACTCCAATCCATCTTAATATTCACCCAAAATTAACAAACCCTCAACAAAACACAAACAAAATTCGAACCGGAAACAGCATTATTGCCCTTGCAATTAATATATACACCACCATGTTACACTGCTCGCGTTTGGCGCCTACCTGCCCGCAAAACAAGTTAATTAGATAAGAAAAAATTTTGTCAAGACCAGAGCGACCCAAAAACTTTTGATGGCGCCGGAAATGCTTTCAAGATCGCTAAAACACAATGGAAAATACGACTTTTTGCCTCTCGACAAGAAGAAGATCGAGACTTTATCCCCCCAAGAGCTAAACGCGAGCTGCAATTAGCGATCAGGGCGCTAGATGCGCGGCAAAGATAATATAAAGCTAAAACAATATTTTTCTAGTAAAATTTTTAGTTTTTATTCAAAAAAGGCAAAGGAAGGTTGAGTTTACTTGTTTACTATGTAAATCTTGACCAGAGATCAAAACCTTTCACGAAAAGCGGCAAAATTTTATAAAAACCAAGACGCGCGCAAAAATCTAAAAAATATGTCATAATGAATTATTTTTCCGCTGTTTTAAACGTCGTTTTTAAAATCTATGTTAGTAAGAAGGCATGCTTATATTTTTCTAAAAATTTTACTCTTTATCCTTTTAATAATATTGTCTAGAAAATAAATCATCATGACGCATTTTCTAGACACGGCTAAAATAATATTTTTCAATCTACTTTTTCAGCTTATTGATGAATCAAAATCGAACCTAGCATTTATTTTTAGTCGTTTGTTTACATTTTCAACAGTTTCCGATCAGATGATCAATTAATTGAGTATTTTTCGATTTTTTACAACGGAAACCACGATTCGCTACAAGCGCATTCCCGGTATCCCTGAACTTGATGTACTTTTGCGGGGTTTTCTAATGCATGAGTCACTTATAAGTATGAAATGTGATGAACATGATTGATATTGATGTGCTGATATGTTTCTCGTTAACTTTCGATTTACTTTTATTGCTTTATTAATAAGATTAAAGTACATTGTTATAGACAGCAAGATGGCTTCATTGGCAAAAATGAACTTGGAAGAACGGCTTGATTTGTGCCGTAAATATTTTATAATTGGATTTTTTGCATTACCTTTTGTGTGGCTAGCCAATGTCTTGTGGTTTGGGCCTGCGATTTGGAAGAAAAAGCTGGTAGAGATGGATAACATAGAAAAAAGGATGATCAAGTGTAAGTTTTTGCTTGATTGAAGTGTTTTTATTGTTTAGGAGTTGCTGCTTGTTCAAGACGTGAAGTTTATACGTTCTTCTAGCTTATAATGTTTGCTGGATATTAAAGTCAAGCTTATATTTGGTGAAACGCATCTAAACATCTTGTTTTAGACCTCGTTCTCTCCTTCATTGGTTTCATAATGTGGGCAATTGGATTATTGATATGGACCTACGTTTATTCACAAGCTAGAGTTAACAGAGAGCAATGGGCCGAATCTCTGACGTTTTTGTTCCCTATGGGCCGGGTATAGTTACATTTCCATCATCTTTCATTGATCTCAACATTAATTTATTACAAAACTCGAATATTATGACTATTTGTTAATAAATATGGTACAATTTTAATAATTATTTTTGTTTTCATTTTAAAAAATATTATGTTAGGTTGAAATGCCACAAATGTAGAATATTTTCGAGAAATTTAAATTTTTTTAAAATTGATGGAAAATTATCCATTATATAACACATCTTTGATGAGTTGAATTGTCCTCAGGTCTGACAAAATCGACATATGGTCAGCTTTTTCTATTTCGTGAACTGTTACCTATAATATTGTTTATCAGCTTGACAAGTAGAATATTTTCCAAAAGTTTTAAAAATTAAATTCACCAAGGTCATTTTATGCTTTGTAAAGAAAGTTTCTGCCACTATAATTTTTTAAAGAAAGTTATTGCCATTTCATCATTTGTAAAGAAAGTTCTTGCCATTTCATGTTTTGTAAAGAAAGTTCTTGCCATTTTATGTTTTGTAAAAAATGTTATTGCCATTTCAAAACTTGTAAAGAAAGTTCTTGTCATTTCAAGTTTTGTAAAGAAAGTTCTTGCCATTTCAAAACTTGTAAAGAAAGCTTCTGCCATTTTATGTTTTGTAAACAAAGTTCTTGCAATTTTTCAATGTACCATGCCTAAAACAACATTTTCCTTAACCAAACCTACCAATTTCCCCTGATTCTTCCCCTTCCAGCCATCACAAGTCTTCAACGATCGTATGTTGACCGTGCCATCACCATCGCCATAAACGATGGTCGGTTGATAGTCTGGGAAGTATCCTTTCGCCCACGACAGATACTCTGAAGTCTGGACTTGATGACCATACATGCAGTGTACTGTCACACCCGGAGCTTCCAAGGTTTGGGCCACATTGGCTTGTAGGTATTGTTTGTAGCCCATTGGGTAGCCGATATCGTTGAAGAACTCTTCCACGTTGCCTGTAGTGTAGTTCTTGGCATCAGTTTGGGCAAAAGTCTCGTTCGCCGGCCAAAGAACGTTGGACGGGAACAGCAGACCAGAGCTGGTCCAGCTTCTTTGCATCGCCCTGAGTTCACTGGGCGGTAGAAGGATACGGTAAAAGTCCATATTGTAGCCAGAGGCATAGAGTTTGACAATTTGCATCGCTCCACCCCATGCTCCGGCTAGGGATATGTGGGAGTGGATGTATTTGTCTTTCCAGGCCTATAATAATATGCTTTCAAATTTGTAGGGTAGGGTTGTGTAGGGTAGGGTAGAGTAGGGTAGGGTAGGGTAGGGTAGGGTAGGGTAGGGTAGGGTAGGGTATGGTAGGGTAGGGTAGAGTAGGGTAGGGTAGGGTAGGGTAGGGTAGGGTAGGGTAGGGTAGGGTAGGGTAGGGTAGGGTAGGGTAGGGTAGGGTAGGGTAGGGTAAGGTAGGGTAGGGTAGGGTAGGGTACAAAAATCTTACCTGATTCACAAAATTGTGGTAGAAAAAGTTCATTACTGGGTTCCCCATGCTGTGCGCAAGGATGATGATACGCCTTTTGTCATTGTACAGGTAAGTGGTTTCTATCAACGTCTTTAGAGATATGTAGTAGTCGGTTAGTTCGGCTGAAACGAGGCCGGTACTAAATGTTTGGCCTAGACATAAGAAACGGGCCGGGCCAGACCAGATTTTTAAAAACAGGCCTGACCGGGCTTCAAAAGTCTTCCCCCCCCCCGCCCCCCCCCCAGCTAAATGCCAAACTTACGCGGCGACTTTCTCCAATCATAAGGAGCCCCAATGACATTTTTCGACCGAGTGTACCCCCAAGATACCAATGCGTCAACTATGTAATTAAAGTATCTTCCAGGAAAGTAGGTGTGCTGTCCCGGGTCCAGCCATTCTACCGTATCAGTCCCACCAAAGTTGGGAACGCGTACCGTGACTCCAGGAGCATCTTCTGAAGTCAGGGTGGTTTCATTGAAGACCATCTTCATATTGTCCGCCCAACAATCGACTTTGATCGGGGCGAATGAGGAGAGGTCAAGCCAGAGATCAAAGTAATCGGCCGTTTTTGAATCGCATAGGTAGTGAACGACTGAGGGTTTCCCGGTTAGGTTCGCTTCTAATTGACTTCCACCGTCTCCGGGGACTAAAATGGGACAATTTTAAAATGACAACGTTTTAAAAATTAAAAAAAAAATTTTGCTTAAAAAATGTTTTTTGAAGTCATTTTAAGCCTAAAAAAGTTTTGTTAAAGCCATTTTAAGTATAAAAAATTCTTTTCTAAATTATTGTAAGCTTTAAAATTTGAGCCATTTTAAACTCAAAATATTGCGTTTAAAACCAATTCATGACTAAAAATATGGTTTACAAAGCCATTTTAAACCTAAAAAATTGTTTTTAAAGTCATTTTAAGCCTTAAAAATTAATTTCAAGCCCATTTTAAGCCTTACGAATTTTTTTTCAAAATTTTTTAGCTTTAAAAAACACTTTTAAAATTGTTTTTAAGATGCATTAAGCTTTAAAAATCAAGCTTTAACAAACTTTAAGCCTAAAAAAATAATTTTTAAATCCATGTTCAGATTGAAAAATTGTTTTTAAAATCTAGTTTAAACTTTAAAAATGGCATATGAAGTCATGTTAAGCCTAAAAAATTGTTTTCAGACTCATTTTTATCTAAAACAATGTAAAACCTAAAAAAAACCTACTCAGAATGATAGGATTCGAAGCCCTCTTAGGGTCACCCGGCTGTCTCTTATAAGGCTTATGCTTAACCGGCTTCCCACCCTCCGGTGCCAATAGGGCTCCCCAAGCACAGCTGATTAAGGCTAGCCGTAAACATATCTTCAACATGTTTTCCACGACCTTATTCTAGTCGAACGGCTGAATTGCGACGCCGCTTATCATTGTTTTGTTTAAAGCACGCGACGCGTCTCCCCCTTTGACCAGTCGTTTCGGTTACGTCAACGTGACATTCTTTGAAATGTCAGCGGTTTTTGAGGCCTAAACTTGTTGTGGAGGACTGAGGTTATTGGAATAGGCTTGGGTGAGAGTTAACGTACTGTAGAATAAGTTAGGGTGTACTGTAAGGAATTGTAACTACCGTGTTCTACTCTGACCTTTATAAGTTAAGGTTACTGTAGAACATTGTAGAGTAAAAACCTAAATGATAAGGCCATAAAAACTTAAATTACAGTATATTGTAGTAGCCATTCAAGAATCCACATAACTAACACAGCCCAACCTTCACTTTGGGTTTTACCAATGTTAAAGATATCGTATTCTCGTATTCTTGAAGCCAGGTTTATTCTTACTTTTAAGTAGGGTAGACAAGAGTAGGAGATGTTATGAGTGATGAGATAGGGTAGAGTAAAGTAAAGTATGATGAGATAGGGTATAAAAAGGTAAAGTACGGTAGAGTAAAGCCGGGTAGAGTAGGATAGAGGAGGGTAGGACAATTTAGGATAGGGTAAAGTACAGAAAGATCAAGCAGGATAGTGTATGGCATCTAAAGGTCGTAAAAACGTTACGGAAGGTAGATACAGCAATTTCTTAACCTTAGCTTGAGCCTAAGCCAAAGATCTTTTAGTAAATTTAATTCATGCTAAAGTAAATGATTTATAATCTCTACCTTGTGGTAGAATCTTTAAAAAAGCTTATGAGCTCCACTTTGCAGTTGAGCGTTCCAAAATTTCTCTTATCAGCCACTGAGAGTTCAGAGCCGAAACATGAGCTAACCTCAAACTTGGGTTAATAAACCGAAGATATTATCCTTGCTTCTGCTCTAAAGAGAAAGCTCTATGTCTTTTCGAGTGAGTTTGACTCGTCTTTTGGAGTTGTTCGGGCGATCTTCCACTCTCTTATATTAACCATGAGCGCGCTAATGGTTACTTCTCTCTCTCTATCTCTGTCGTATATTAAAATGATGTATTGGAGAACAGATACCTATTTTCCCAGAGATTTAACTGTCTTTAAGCGTACGAGAGAGAAAGAAAGGGAGATAAAAAATCATTAACGCGCTCATGGTTAATATAAGAGAGTGGAAGGTCGCTAGAACAACTCCCAAACCAAAGTCAAACTCACTCGAAAAAACATAGAGCTTTCTTTTTAGAGCAGAAGCAAGGATAACATGTTCGGTTTATTAACCCAAGTTTGAGGTTAGCTCATGTTTCGGCTCTGAACTCCAGCGGCTGATAAGAGAAATTTTGGAACGCTCTATCACAAGGTGGAGCTCATAAGCGTTTCTAAAGGCACTTGTACGAGATGGAGCCTATAAAACGTTTTCGTTACTGTTAGCGTGATTTGTATTTAGTGTGGAATCTTTGGCTTATTGTTAGGCTAAAGCTGATTATTAGTCAACAATAAGGTTACTACAGCTTAATCACCAAGCATAGTAAACGAGTATAGTAAACTTCTATCTTTTTATTTTATAAAGTCAATGTTAAGAATATATTATGTCTTTGATGATTTGTATTGTACGTTGGTCAAAAACCATTGATAAATGATCTGTGGCGTCCATTTCATGTATAACGACCTAAAAATATTCTTTGGTAAAATTTTTAAATTTCCTTTACCTTACAATTAGTTCTATTCCTAGTCTTAACCAGAGCCCTAGCCCAGAGCCCAGAGCCCAGAGCCCAGAGCCCAGAGCCCAGAGCCCAGAGCCCTAGCCCTAGCCCAGAGCCCTAGCCCAGAGCTCTAGCTCAGAGCCCTAGCCGAGACGCCTAGCCTAGACGTCTAGCCCAGAGCACTAGCCCAGAGCTTTAGTCTAGAGCTTTAGCCTACAGATCAGAACGCAGAGTCCTAGCCTTAATCTAAAACTTAGGTTAAACCCTAGCTTTAACCTTAGACCAGCCTAGTTCCAGCTTCTAGCTATAATATTAATTATAGGGTTGTTCAAATAATTCTGTGCTTCTCTTAAAGCAACTTTTTGGTGTTAAGGAGCACACAATTATTTGAACAACCTAATTTATAATAAAACCTTATCTAACGGTTGAACCAAAAGTAATGGGACCCTTTTCATTTACATTTTAATTTAAAGGTGACCCGACATTTTTCGTTCAACAATATCTGAAATGCCATTTTCAGTCTACTTCTATCTATCTAACTCACCTCTTTCTCTTTGTTATTGCCAATCCATTTCTTACAATACTCTAAAGATCTAGCATTAACCGACAGATCGCCTCCACCATAACCGTCAGCCGGCTGAGTGTCAGGCCACTGTCCTTCACCCCACATCATTACTGATGTTGTGGGTTGACTTAACGTGTAGATACAATGAATATCAACGCCAGGTGGATCGAATGTAGTACCTTCTTTCGCCTTCTGGTACTGTTGGTACCCTTCTGTGAAGTTGACATCGTTGAAGAAGGCTTCAATGTCATGAATACTGTAGTTTTTGTTTACTGTAGACATGATGAATTCATCTTTAGACCATAGTTCAGCCGATGGCATAAGAAAGTGGGTACTGCTCCAGCTTCTTAGCACCTGTCTAAGCTCCAGAGAGTGGACTAGATACTGTGGCATTCCCATATTATAGCCGGAGGCTAGACCTTTGGCTGCCACCACTGATCCACCCCAGGGGCCGGCTAGTGATATGAAGGTCTTGATATACTTGTCTGTCCAGGCTTGATCAACAATGTTGTTTAGAAAGTATTTTAAGACATTGTTACCCATACTATGGGCTAGCATTACGACTTTTGTGTTATTGTTGTTGTGATAGGTTTGTTCTATCAGTTGTTTTAGGTTTTTGTAGTAGTCTGTGAGTTGAGCTGGAATAATATTCTATGTATATATTATAATACTGCATTTGATGTAATGTAAGCTACATATGCTTCCTAACTATAGCCCGTCTGTAACCTAACCCGAAGCCTTAGCCCTAGTTTAAGGCCTTGCTTAAGCCCTAGCCTAAGCCCTAACCTAAGCCCTAGCCTAAGCCCTAGCCTAAGCCCTAGCCTAAGCCCTAGCCTAAGCCCTAGCCTAAGCCCTAGCCTAAGCCCTAGCCTAAGCCCTAGCTTAAGCCCTAGCCTAAGTCCTAGCCCAAGCCCTAGCATAAGCCTTAGCCTAAGCCTAAGCCTAAGCCTAAGCCTAAGCCTAAGCCTAAGCCTAAGCCTAAGCCTAAGCCTAAGCCTAAGCCTAAGCCTAAGCCCTAGCCTTAGCCTTAGCCTGAGCCTAAGCCTTAGCCTTAGCCTTAGCCTTAGCCTTAGCCTTAGCCTTAGCCTTATTCTTAGCCTTAGCTTTAGCCTTAGCCTTAGCCTTAGCCTTAGCCTTAGTCTTAGCTTTAGCTTTAGCCTTAGCCTTAGCTTTAATTTAAACCTTAACCCAAGTCTTAGCCCAGGTCGTAGACGAAGCGCTAACCAGGCCATTTTTACTATTTATACCCCTAGTCTAATCCTATCCCTAGCCTTAGATATCCTACCCTATTTCTAGCCTTAAAACTTACGTGGAGCCTTTCGCCAATCATAAGGCGCTGCCAGTATATCTTTCCCCCTCTCATATCCCCAACATCGAGTAAATGTATCTACAATATCATGAAAGTACTTAGAAAGCCACGTCACATAAGGATTCATATACTCAACACCATCAGTTCGACCAAAGAATGGCACATCAATATCAACACCCGGCGAGTTGTCGGATTGGTTTGTAGTCTGATTAAAAACTGTCCGTATGTTGTCAATCCAGCATTCTAGTATAGCTTCTGTAGTAAAGGTTTCGATAGCAGCCCAAATCAGATACCAGTCCCATTTTTTAGCACAATAAAACGGAGTTGACGCGGGTTTGTAATTGATTCTGGCGTACAGTTGGTTTGCTGCATCGCCGGGAACTAAAAAATTGACCAGGTAAAAATTTAGATACCCTACCTTATTCTACCCTACCATACCATACCCTACCCTACCCTACCCTACCCTACCCTACCCTACCCTACCCTACCCTACCCAACTCTACCCAACTCCCCTACTCTAACTTGTCTTGACCCGCCTTGCCTTGCCATTTGCAAGTTTACACTGCTTTGTTCTGTATTATCTTGTCCTGTTCTATTCTACCCTGTCTTGCCCTATTCTGGCCTTTTCTACTCTATCTTACCCTGCCCTTTCTTAATCTACGCTTTTTTACTCTACATTATTCTACTATACTTTTCTCAAAAAAAACCATGCCTTACTTTAGCCTATTTTTCTTGATCTTATTTTACTTTGGCCTGTCTTGCCATACTCTAGTCATGTCTTTCCCTACCCTAAGAACAGCCGTTAAAACCAAAAGAGGCATGAAAATCCACTGCTCATTAATATAATGTGAACCCTCCGCCTTACAAAACTGTTAGTCGCTTACTTATAATAACAGGATTTGAAGGCCCATCAACAGGTTTTCCAGTAAATGAACTACAATCGATGACACTTCTGTTTCCTCTATGGGTTTTTGCAAAGTAATTTTCAGGAATTAGCGCATTAGTATAGTGAATAATTTGTCCTAGTATACAGCATATTACAATTAACATGTCCCTATTAATACATAAAATGTCTATACTTCTTTAACATATCATGTCTTTATATTTAATATCATGGCCATATATACGTTTTACATACCATGGGTTAATGTTTTATCGTTATATGTCCATTTAGGTATGTTTTACATAACAGGCCTGTCTATATATACGTATTTTGCATATCATGTCAATATATGTATGTCTTATCATTTCAAATCAAATTTACATTGCTCTAGGCCATTATAAATTCATATGTATGTGTAAAATACGTTATTAAAATCATTATTATATAGTACATTTGGTGGTTCATTCAAATTCAAAACTAAATACAATCTTCTACATTGATTATCAAGTTTATTAACCGAGTGAATCAATTCGAAGGTAAAATACTGTTCGAAATAACTGAAAACGTATATCAAAGAGTTTTATCACAAAAAGAAAGTCATCGCTCTTTTCAAGCGACAGTTGACATTAATACGAGTAAGTGTAAGTAGTAAAGGGAAACAACTTTGAAATCACTAATTACAAAACTATGTAACTACTTTTACTATGATAGATATAAACTAGTTTTACTATGATCGATATATAACTAGGGTATTAGCTAACAATGTTTTTAAAATTTAAATTTAAAATGAAAAAAGAGAATAAAAGTACAGTTCTGTATGAAATAAAATTTGAGTTATAGTATTATGATTGATGTTATAAAAAGCAGAGAAGTCTCTACAGGGTTTTGTAGGAGAGCAAGATAGATACACCCCCTCTCCTCCTCTCAATGACGTCCCTGATAAAAAGTCCAAATTTTTCGAAAAATAAGACAGATTTTATAAATTGGGTCCTTAATATTGTACAAAACGTAGCATAGATAAAAAGGTCGAAAAAAAGTAATATCCTAACTAAATTATGTAAAAAATAATAAAAACAAGATCAAGTTTAGTTTAGGTACTGTTTTTGTTAAAAATGGCATGAGTAAAGTCATCTTGTAACATAACTACCATGCTCTACTAGTACCACTTCCCACATAATAGTGATTGCGAGTTGTATTACTACTACTACCATACTATACTAGTACTACTTCATAGTGCTAAAATTTTTTCGTCCACAGGTAGCCTGTGGACCGATTTTTCAAAAATTTTTTTTTAGATTTTTCGCGTACAGGTACCTGTGGAAATTTTTTTGGAATCGGCTCTGGGGGGGGGGGGGGGTGGACCCCCCCCCTAGCGACGCCCCTATTAACATCCCATTCTAGCAAAAACGTCGCTAGGAGAAGAGGGGAGTCAGGAAGGGTAAACCCACTATCACATTGTAATTGTACGTACAATTTTGCAAAAAACCATTTTATAGTACTAAGTCCCAAAAAAAGTACTATTTCACAGCACCATTCCCAAAACAATTACCATCCTACAATACCATTAACCAACAAAAAACAGTACCTCCTAGTGATAGAGACAAGTTATTCCGTGAGTGCCAACATTTATTAGTGCGTTAGTCGGGGGAGGATGGATGCGAATATTTTATTACATTTAGTCGTTAGTCCAGCCGCAGCTGAATGTCGCTGTACTCGAGGGGGCGGTCGGTTCGATGAGGATCAGTGTCTGATGGATCGGCAGTGGTGATGGTGCCATCGACGGGCGTTTTTGAGCTGGACGATTCGTCCGGCGATGCGAATAGGCGGTCCATTTTCTTGCGTTTTCTGAAAGTTTTGAAATTTAAAATTTTGAAAAAAAAATTTAAATTTTCAAAAAATTTTTTTTTCCAAAGATTTTAAAATTTCGTAAAATCTTCAAAAACCATACTCAGAATCGCTGGACTTGAAGTGAGATCGGCGGTCAGTGTTGCGCTGACTCATCAACGGCTCGTTTTCCTTCGGCTCTTCACCTTCTGGAATCGACTTGTTTCGCACGTGCCGTTGCGGGTTTTGTTTTATCGCTGAAAATGACATTTTAGGTAACAAATATTCAACAAAACGCATTGAAACTTAGTCCTTTCACCTCAAAAACTCATGCGAAAAACAACCCAAACATAAAATAATCCAAAACTCAGATGTACTCAAAGATGAATAGGTCAAACATAATCAGACTAGTTTGGTTAAGATGTTAGTGAGGAAAGTAGGGAAAATTAGCTTTATTCTTCAAACTATTATGTTATAGTATTGCAAATAAAGTAACTGTATATTAGACTGTAAGTACGACGAATAATATGACATTCTTCATCAGCTGATGCATCAGTCTTATGATTAGATAGTTACTGTTAACGTTAACCTGTGCAAAAGGTTTAAGCGTGATTGGATAGGGCAACGTTTATGAAAGTTTACGAAAAGAAAAACATTCTACTTTAAAAATATTGATGTACTAACTATCAATGCTAAACAAAACCCCCAAAGAAGAAAGACACAAACACCTAGCCAAAACCTTGCGTTAGACAGACTATTTCTACTTGTAAATTATAATAATCTTATCAAATGTTAAGGTATCTAGTATGGTTCAAGTAATGCAGGAATGAATTGGACCTTTTCAGAAACTCTATGAAACGGCCTTCTCATCACGTTTTTCTCATTATAATCCTTTGGGCAAAATATGTATAAATTTGAAATTGAGAGTTCAAATATTCATAAGACAAGATGAACAAAAAGCGTTACAAGTACAACCTGATCAAAAACTTAGAATCACAAGAACATGAATTCAAAAAGAAACAAAAGATGAACTAAAACGAGAAAAAAAAGATAAAAAGCAATTAAAACAAGAACCAAAAGATGAAAAGCAAGTAAACAAGAACCAAAAGATGAAAATTGAGTAAAGCAAAAACTCAAAAAGAAAGCGATGATAAACTAAAACAAGAATCAAAAGATCAAAATCAAGTAAAGAAAGAACCAAAAGATGAAAACAAAGAAAAACAGGAACAAAAAAGAAAACAAAATGATAGATGAACAAAAAAATAAATCAAAAGTCAAACTCAAAATTGAAAATAAAACCAAAACCAATGGAAATGAAAAATAAAGCTACCGTGGAACCTCTGTATAACGAATCGCTTAAGGAATTTAAATTTTTTTACAGATACCCTATAGGGAGGCCGGGCCGATTTTTCGGCTTTCAAATTTTCTTCAGCCTGGCCCAACCCGGCCTTGATTTGGGTCCTGGCGAGAGTTCCCACGGGCTACGGAGCCGGAGCGAAAATTTAAACAAAGGCGGAGCCTGAGCTGCCAATTTGGGAACTCTGGTACCGGCCTTCAGGACCACGTGTGTCGCCCCCCCCCCAATTTTCTTCGGCCCAGCCAAGCCCTCAGCTGAGAAAAGGCCAAGCCTTGCTGGGCCTCCTTTCAAGTCTAGTTATTAACGACTTTCTGTATAAGAGTTTTAAATGCACTATTTAACGTTAGCTAAGGCTTCAAAAGTTATTCGTTATACGACACTTTCGTTACACAAGTGTTCGCTATACAAAAGTTCCACGGTACTTTGAATAAAACGGAAAGTTTTCTCGGTACTCACCCAAGTACGAATGCACAATCGACCGGAATTTGTTGGGATGTCGCGAGAATTGTGCTTCGGCTAAAAATCCACGGGGTAAAAAACGTTTTAGGCTTTGCGAGAAGTAATAATCGGTTCAAAAATGGGCACAAACTGGTCACAAAAAAAAACGTTGGCCGACTACAACAACACGATGCCGAGCGTACGAACGGTTTCGAAAGGCGCAAACTTAAAATGTGAATAATACGGTGAAGGCGAAGCGAACTGAGGATGACAATATAGAGGTTTCGACGAGGTTACGACACAACGATCAAGCAAGTTTTGTTATTGTTAGCTAAATTGTGGTTTATTTTTTCATAAAATGTGGGTTTTTATTGTTTTTTTCATGTCTTCTTTGTATTTATTATATTATAGTAGGTGCGAGTAAGTAACCTGTAATTCTGGTAAGGTATAAACCAAAAAAGTTTTTTTCTGTGAACCCATTTTTCGTGAATTTTTTCCGAATCGGCTGTACGGAGGAAGTGAGCCCACCGCCATTTACCCGTCCCCAGGGCCGAAGAAGAAGCCCCAACTCCAATCATAGAGATAAAGGCCAGAATTTTTTTTTAATTTTCAAAAATCAACAGGGAGACCAAGCTAAAATTTTGTTAAAAATATTTTTTCGGAAGAATGGGAGAGTAGTGACCAATGCACTCCAGTAGATATTTCCTGCCGTATCGAGCTCAGTTTGTCTTACTTAAGCACGGTACGGTTGTATCCAAGCTCTCAGAGCAAATATAACCCAAAATCCTTCCCCTTTCTACACCCCCCCCCCTTTTTTTCTTAAACCCTTCATTTTCAGTCCTAAACTGCTCCCAAACAACAGTTAACTTCCCCTACTACCCTGTAATTTATTTTTTTATACTCCCCCATATTTTATGACAATCCACATGAATCAACATGAACGACCCATTACATTCACATGAACGAACAGCACCATAAGAACGGTCAAAAAATAAAGACGTGAAAAAAAGACAAATAGTGCGTGAGTGCTTCAACATTTCCAAACAAAAATGTTTGTCTACTGATACCAGCTGTCAAAATTGTTATTCATACTAGCTATAAAAGGTGAGTTAGCTAAGCCACAACCGTGTTCTTGTTGCTGTAAATTTGGATTTTACCATGAAATTTAGAAATTTTTTGAAAAAATCACCTTCCTTATAGCAAAAGTTACTGTAACTCAAAAACAAGCAATAAGTTTTAAGATTTCTAAAATGTGTTAAATACTATATACACCGAGGTAACTTGTCCAAAAATTTCAATCATTTAACTACTTTCAGTAAAAAGTTATGGCAAAAAGTTTCAAAGTCAATTTTAAAACTGTATAGTCAGAAAAATTTACTGTAACCCAAAAAGTAACAATAATTTTTAAAATTTTTGATTTGCAATAAATACATTATAAACTAATGTTTCTTTACCAACAATTTCAATCTTATACCTAATTGGTCTAAAAAGTTATGGCAAAAAACTTCAAGAAATCATATTTTTTTCAAAATTTTTCAAAATTCAACCCTTTTTTTCAAAATCCAAGCCCAAAACCCCAACCTTATCATCAAAATCCCCCCTCAACTCCCATTATCTACAGCAACAACCCATGCACAGTGTTAAAAAGTCTAATCCACTCATGTTAGCTCACAGTTACCACACTAGGTTAGTAAATGTAAACCCGGCTCCCACCTCTGACAAACACCTTCGTGGCGATGTAGCCTTGAAATCGTTCGGCGTAGAAGGAGGGGTTGTGGACTGAGATCGAGTCCCCATCGTGGAGAATACTCTTCCACGTGTGTTCCAGCTTCTTAAATAGTCGATAGCTTTGGAGGATGTCGATTACACCGAGGAAGAGGAGGAGACGCTCGCCTTTGTGGTTGCGGGCTGGTACTCCGCCGGTCCTGAAATAAGTAATGGTATTTTGAAAAAAAAATTTTTTCACGCTTCCCTCCCTTACTCTGAAAAAACCTGGCCGATGTAAACTACCCTAATGTAATGCAAAAACATCCTAAAAATCCAAAAAAACCTCAATTTTTTCAAAAAATTAAGTTCAAAAAAGTCTTGTCGTTTTTTCCTGAAAATACATTCAAATAAACGCCAAGACCTTATCTACTTCCCAATATCATTCCTCTTACTCATAAATAGGTTTCAGAGTGCTGAACTCCAAAAACAAGATACTTTGCAAAAAAAAATTTTTGTCGTTTTTCCCCTTGCAAATACATTCCAATAAACGCCAAGACTGTCTCACGTCTCAATTTTGATTCCCTCTTACTCATGACTAGGTTTTGGAGCATTAAAGTCCAGCTGAAGTGCCCTCCAAGCTTCTGTCCTCGCACTGATCGGCTCTTTCCTCTCCGTTTCGGCCTCCGAACTCTTCTGTAGATCGTCAGTAGAAGGTGACGTTACTTCTTGTGTAGCTATCGGTGCTTGATCTTCGTCTTCACGTGCCGTCCCCGCTTCTAGATCTATGTTATGAATACCTATGAGGAATGAGTAGTCCATAATTTTAAAGGATTCTAGAACTAAACAGTCTCGTTTTACTATGTCCATCAAGATATCGTATGTTTTTGGGTCTAGTGTGATGCCATTTGGGTATTCCTCGTTAAAGTCCAAGTCTTTGAGGGTGGGTGAGGCTTTGGCTCGTTCCGCTCGACTAGCGTAGCGTTTGTAGGTTGAGCCTTTCAGATCGAACTTGTGATGCATGTGGATGCTTTGAGGTAACAAGTTGTTCATCACAATTAGTCGAATGTTCTTCCCTAGGCTCTGAAAAGCAAAAAATTTTTAAAAATGCGTTTGAAATACAAAAAAAACTAAAATGTTACCTAAAATAAAAAAATATTTCCAAAATCATATGAAAAATCTCAAAATGTTACCTAAACTCCTCAATATTAACCTACTTGATAACAAAACAAGCCAAAGAACTTGGGTAGCATTGTTCGTGGGTTTTGTTGGAGATTCATGTAGTAACCGGGCAGTAGTTTGCACAAGAAGTCGGCCTCCTTGTGTTGAACCGTTTTTACAATAAATTTGTCATCGGCTGAGACGTAGAACACCGATCCTGACGCTCCTGGGTTAGACAACTCTTTCAGGGGTTGGGTGCAAAGTGAATTCTGAAAAAAAAAGTTAAAATGAAACTTTTAGGTATAAAACCATTAAAAAAATTTAGAATGACGTTTTTAGGTATAAAAATCAAGTTTTTTCATAAAATTTGATTTTCGATAACAAAATGTTACCTAAATTCCAATTCTAACAAAAAGTGTTACCTAAAATTTTTCAAAATCAAAAAATAGTTCAAAACTAATAATTTGTTACCTAAAATTCTATCCTATCAAAATTTTACTCAAAATTTCATTTTCTCGGTTTTTCAAAAACTCACTAAAAAGTCGGCGGCTTGAATGTGAAAAATGTCCCTAAAGTATCGGAATGCCAATGGTGCAAAGGTTTTGAAGCGAAAGTCGCCGTAGTTGTGTGATGGTGTTGTTGCACTGCCTTCGCTGAAAAAAATTCAAATTTTAAATGGAAAAGGAATTTGTTACAGTACACTGAAAGTGTTACTGTAGGGACATAAGGTAGGGTAAAAAGAGGTAAAGTAGAATTTTTTAACCACCCCATCCCAAAAAATATATTTCACCACCCCGACACACAAAAAATTGTTTTCTTATCTACCCCTATTACAATCTATTTTTTCACCATCCCAAAATGTCATACCTCGGAAAGGCGACCATTTCCACCAAATCAAAGTCCTGAACTAGAATGTCGCGCATCTTGCGGTGCGCCAACGAGCCGATCGAGTTGGAGATGCCCATTTGGATGGCACCCATGAGGTTGTTGGTGGGGACACGCTTGTACGTGACCCCACCCTCACGATCCGTCCGCCGATGCCCAATCTTCTCCTTGTGTTTGGTGGAGCCGTCTTTCGCGTGCGAAGCCGAGGCCGGCCCGCCGCCATGCAAGTCGTCGTCTGTGATGTCTAAAACAAGGTATGTTAACATAGAAATGTTGTGTTTTTAGTGGACACTGTTGAAGAACTAGATTATACCTACTATAATATGCTTTAATATATCCTTTTTTACCTTTTTTATTTATCAAAACCTAATTTCCAACCTCAAAAAACACTAAAAATAACCAATATATAACCCTAAACCACCTAAAATCTCACTTTTAAGCCAAAAACTTCAAAAAACCGCAAAAACTTTCCTTCCAGAATGCCAATCCTTCTACCACCCTCACTCGCAATCTCTTTTTGTATAATCAAAATTCGAATAACATAAAGTGTTCATATCTTTTCAATAAATATAATCGAATATTAATCATGATGAATAAGTCTCAAGACATTTTTATTCCAAAAAATATGTTCTTGTTGTTTTTTCATGCTATACAATTTATAATATTTTCAATATGAACTGTCTTACTGTAAATCTAGCTTGCTTTGATTTAGTTTTTGATCATTTTTGAGGTTTTAAGAACTAAAAAGCAAGTTTTTTATTGAAGAACAAATCTTTTTGAGAGTTCGGCTCAATTTTTGTATATAAATCACGGTTTAAAGTTGATAAGTTAGACTTTAAAAGTTGCCTAAAACCTTATTTTATTTAAAAATTACCATTTCAAAACAGTATTCGCAAAAGAACTTTAGTTATCGCTCGAAAAACCATCTTATCCCTCACATCAACAGCTCTCCGCTCTTTTGCCCTGAATTTTCTTATACTTATATATCATAAAGTTAAAGAAGTTACCCTTAAATCTTGCCTAAAGCCCTATTTAATTCAAAAAATACCTTTCAAAGATTGTACTCGGCAAAACTTTTTGCTAGCGCAGAAAAACACTACATTATCCATCACAGCTCTTTCCTTCTCCCCCTTTACAATTATACCCCCATTTTAAAACCACAAAAACATTATAAAATCAGTAGCGACGATTTGCATTCCTCATTCCGCGTCCAATGTTCCTAAAAACCGAAAAGAAAAAACAATGGAATCATTCTTACCATTCAGTTGGGAATCGGGCCGTGTGGTTTGGACGGCGACAGCTTGTGGATCGGGCCTGGTCGAATAGATTTGTCGCGATGTTGAGGGACTGGCCGCGAGGGGCGGCGATCGGTTGTCGGGCATGTTAGCAACTCATAGAACAAGCTGGAATTTATTATTTATTTATATTATACTTGATATGATTCTTTGTAACGAAATTTTAATTTTTTCACGCGCCTCGTGAAGAACATAGAACAATAATACATGAATATTGTCAAAATATGTCTTTCGAGTCAATTACAATTACTTTTTATCCATTAATTTCCGTTAACTTCAAATTACAGACTTTTGTATATTAACCATCGATAACAATATAATTCCAAATATTTTTAATAGAAAGTCCATTTCAAAGCCCACAAAACAATATGAAAAAGTTTGATAATCCAATTTCAAGCCATATTTTATCAGATCAGCCCGCTTTTCCATTATACTCGAAGCAAAACGTCATCTATTATATTATAGTAGATATCAAAACCAATAAAAACGTTTTCGGAACGTTGACTTCGCACGTCAAAGCAGATTTTTTTATAATTTTGCCGGACTTTTCATAAATTAACTAAAGAACAGTATTAACTACGTTAGCTATCCCTAAACAGTAATAGTCTGCGATATTGTTGATGAGTAATACAAAATTATAAAGTTAAAAGATCATTAATATTACTGATCAAACTAAAATGACGTAATCAACGGGAGAAAATATCAGTCATTGCTTTATGTGCATTCCAGACATTTTTCTTGGTAATAAACAATCTTTTTCGAGGTCAAAGGAATTTTGTTACCTAAAACAATATTCAAAACTTAAAACAGTCTAAAAATATAAAATATGCAAAAATTTTAACTACCAAACCCTCTTTTTAATATTAAACAGTTTAAAACCCTCAAGGCTCCAATAAATCCCGAAGGAAAGGGCAGATCCAATGTTGTGATAGCCCAAGGAAACAAAAATAGACCAAAAACTGGTGGTTTAGTACATAAACAAGGTTCAGATAAGAAGCCAGTGCAAAGAATCGGCCAGGGGCTTTTGTTTGGCGTCGAAAATCCCATGGAATAATATATTCCGGACGGAAACCGACGAATTATTTGGAAATTTGTAAAAAATTCCCGAAAAGCTATTGTTTTGCGCGCGCGCTGCGGCCTGAGATTAGAGAGCACGCGCTGCAGGCTGCGGTTTGGGTTAAAGAGGAAAAGTTGTTAAAAATGAGGTTTTTTTGGTTTGTAAATGATAGTTTTAAGTTTTTAAATGTGTTTTTAATTTAAAATACGTTTTTTCATTCTATAATACTTGTAAAAATCTTTATATTGCTTTAGATATATCTAAAACTATCTTTCAATTAAAATTTTCATTTTTCAAAAAATTTTAATAAAAAAACAAAAAAAATTTAACATACCTTTAATAAACCCCCAAAAACCAAGAATATAAAATATCGGTTCATAAAACCCGAAACAAACTCGAAAAAACGCTGACGTACTGTTGCACAAGTACGAAGTTCTCAGCACTTACTCATTTCATATTCCCCTCAGGGGGCACGATTTTATCCGATAAAACTCAAGCCCAAAAAAGGCCCAAAGGGAGGGGGGAATTTTGTTCCGGCCGCCGCAAAACTGTGTTTTGTCTGCGCACTCTCCGCGTTCGTCGTGCTCTGTCGCGTCGAATCCGAAAATCGAAACAAGTATCGTGTGCTTTTGTTTCCTGCCTTCTGACAACATGCACTTGGGTTGACGGATGGACTGATAACATATTTTATGGGGTTATCAGTCTGCGAATGATAGTGAATTCGGAGTGATAGTGGAGATGAGAGAGAGATAAAAAGTTTGGCGAACGAATGGATTATGAATTATATATTGTTCTTTGCGGATTGACTTTTCTGAGTTCAAAAGTACTTTTAAAGATAGTTTGACCTTTAAAAGACTTTCAAAATTATAAAAATTTAAAAAATGATTGCGGTATCATAGAGTAAGACCTATAGTGAAAGCTAGATTTGTAAAGGGACCGGGTTAGGCTTAGTGATTCTCTTTTGATCCATAAAAAAGCCGGATTAGGCCTAAGGGGGCTCTTTTTTAACATAGTTCAGGAAAGAAAAAGCTAAGATTAGGGTAGGACTAGGGTAAAAAGTAAAGCTAAGAGAAGGCTGGTGTAGTTCTATCAAGAGGATTAAGAGGCTATTACTATGGGCTTAACGAGGACTCTGGGCTAGGGCTCTGGGCTAGGGCTCTGGGCTAGGACTCTGGGCTAGGGCTCTGGGCTAGGGCTCTGGGCTAGGGCTCTGGGCTAGGGCTCTGGGCTAGGGCTCTGGGCTAGGGCTCTCGGCTAGGGCTCTGGGCTAGGGCTCTGGGCTAGGACTCTGGGCTAGGGCTCTGGGCTAGGGCTAAGGTTAAGGTTCTGGGCTAGAGCTTTGGGCTAAGGCTCTGGAAGGTCAAAAAAAGTTTAAAATTTTTTAAAATTTAAGTTAGAAATTTGTTTTTTCGACCAGTAAAACCAAAAAAAAAGTAGGTTTTAGAATAACAAAGAAAAAGCTAACGCTAGGACAAGTCAAAACACCAGCCCCAGTCAGTTAATCAAAAATAAAACTGAAACTTCAGACGTTAATCCTGTAAAAAACAGCGGAATGGCGCTGATAATGCCGTCGAAATTCGGAAAAATTTTTCGCAAAAAAAACGCTTAATATTGGACACGAAAAGTTCCGTTTTGGAAGCGGAAGCTCCTTGAAAGGTGTTCTCTCTGTTTTCGAACTCACTAATCGCTTTGGGAGTAATTAGGGCTTTCAGTAGGCCTGAGAGGAAGGAAGGGGGTTTTGAGATGAGTACCAAAAATTAAATTATTTTTTACAATGACAGTAGTGCTATATAGCATGGATAGTACTTGACATTGACAACCTTTTGGAAAAAATTAAAAAAAAGTAATAGGGGAGGGGGATAATAGACACGTAGTAAGTTTGGACTTGGATGGAAAAAGGCAAGGTGAAATAGGATATGACAAGGTAGGGTATGGTAAAGTAAAGACTTGGATAAAGAGAAGAGTAAGATAGAATCGGTAGGATAGGGTAGGAAAAGGTAGGATATGCTAAAATGCGATAAGATAGAGCTGGGTAAAGGGTAGGGTACGGCAGGGTACAGTAAGGTAGAGTAAGGCACCATAAGGTACGGGTAGGTTAGGATATAAATATAATATTTGGGTAAGGTAAGACAGGGTAAGGTAGGGCAGCTTATAGTGCGGATAAGGTAGGGCAAGGCACAGGCAAGGCAAGGCACAGGCAAGGCACAGGCAAGGCACAGGCAAGGCACAGGCAAGGCACAGGCACGGCACAGGCACGGCACAGGCAAGGCACAGGCAAGGCACAGGCAAGGCACAGGCAAGGCACAGGCAAGGCACAGGCAAGGCACAGGCAAGGCACAGGCAAGGCACAGGCAAGGCACAGGCAAGGCACAGGCAAGGCACAGGCAAGGCACAGGCAAGGCACAGGCAAGGCACAGGCAAGGCACAGGCAAGGCACAGGCAAGGCACAGGCAAGGCACAGGCAAGGCACAGGCAAGGCACAGGCAAGGCACAGGCAAGGCACAGGCAAGGCACAGGCAAGGCACAGGCAAGGCACAGGCAAGGCACAGGCAAGGCACAGGCAAGGCACAGGCAAGGCACAGGCAAGGCACAGGCAAGGCACAGGCAAGGCACAGGCAAGGCACAGGCAAGGCACAGGCAAGGCACAGGCAAGGCACAGGCAAGGCACAGGCAAGGCACAGGCAAGGCACAGGCAAGGCACAGGCAAGGCAGATTACGGTAAAATAAGGTAAGATAAAGGAGGATAGGTTAATACGATTAAAAAATTTAAAAACACAAATTTAAAAAATTAAAACTTTTCTAAAGCCCTTTGGCATTCCGTAGCAACGTTTAGAAAAACCCGTTTTTCGCATCGGAAATTCGGTTTCCACAAGCACTTAAAGCCGCCACGAAACGGCCGAAAGACAAAGATTCCGTTTTATGAGAGAAAAGACCTTCTGAATTCCAAGTTCTTGAATAGTGTTCGTTTTCTGTTGTTACAGCTGCAAACAGAAACGTCAAATAAAACGGAAGCGGAGGGATTTGGTGACATCTGAAGCCATACGGCCCTTCGTCAGTGTGACATTCGGTTATTGATTATACCCTACCCTACCCTACCCTAAGATACCCTACCCTACCCTACCCTATCCTGCTATATACTGCCTTGTTCTACTCTATCTTACCTTGCTCTACCGTAATCTTGCCTTCTTTTGTCTTTGGCAACATCATCCTCACCTCTCCCAGTCCCCCCCCCCCCTTCAATGCTATTACACATTACAATGTATCACCTATAATAATAAAGTTCAAAGCAACTTAAAAAAATATTTATTCAATTCTCCGTTCGCCTGGATTACTATACAACGATATGATCGAACGTCGCGGCCTTCTGGGCGGATCGAAGATGTCAGCTTCGGATTCTATTGAGTGTTGGCCGATGGATTCGGTCTTCGGCTCAGGTCGTACGTTCGGCTTCGTCCTGCAGTTAAAAGACATTGACGTTTGACATATAATGACAATCTACTACAACAATTTTTGTGAAAAGGTCCGCAAAGATAAAAATTTAAAAAACTTTACAGTGGTTTGTCCAAGAGCTTTTGGACCTATTAAACGTTTAAATATACAAAACAAGCCTTAGAAGTGATAGTAGATAAGCCAAAACGAATAGAAAGCTCACGGTTGAGAAAAGACGTCACGAGTGAAATAAGTGCAGTGAATTGATGGTGAAGGTGGTCGTGATGGTATACCTGGTAGGCGGTCCGTGTACCACAGGATAATAAAGATAAACAGCATGGCTATGGTTACTATTCTAAAGTTAGATATGTTAAAATACGAACTTATTAATTTTTATTGTTTTTTTGTTTTCAATTAAAAAAATTTTTTAAAAAATTTAAAAATTTCAAAATTTTTACAAAAAAAATATTTTTTTGATAACAATAGGAGTAATAATGTAATGATTTAAAAAGAAAGTCAAAATAAATCACATACGACATCACCAAAGCCACTATAAGTAACGTAGAGTTCAAAGAAGCGGCTTGAACGCTTTGGTCAACTACATGAAGATGGGCGTCTGGATCCTGGAATTACACAGGTTTTTAGTTTATTAACCTATTTTTTGGCTAATGAAAATAATAAAAAAAGGAAACAATGAATTTTTTGAACTAGACTATAGTTAGGATAAGGCTGACATAAAGAAGCAGAAGTAAGTCTAAGGTAGGCAAGTGTATTGTACCAGTAAGACAAGAGTAGAAAATGAAAAATGTAAAGCATAATAAAACTAATAAAGGGCTATAGGCTGTGACCTCGCAAAGACAAGAGTTGTGGTGCAGCTAAGGCTAGATTGGTAAGGCTTAATGGGTCAAGACTCTGGGCTTTGAACTGGAGGCTCTTGACTAGGGCTCTGGGCTAGAGCTCTGTCATTGGTTAGAGCTGAGCTAGAACTCTGGGCTAGTGGTTTGGGCTAGAGCTCCAGACTAGGGCTCTGAGCTATGGCTTTGGGCTAGGGCTCTGGGCTAGAGCTCTGGGCTAGGGCTCTGGGCTAGGGCTATGGGCTAGGGCTCTGGGCTAGGGCTCTAGGCTAGGGCTCTGGGCTAGGGGTCTAAGCTAGGGCTTTAGGCTTGGGCATTAAAATATATAAGTAAACGTTGTGCATACCAATAAAACCTTGACATTACAGCCCTTTTTGCTGTTAATCATCTTCAATACAGCTAACCCATCATCACTCAAAGCAGCTGATGTAGAACACTTTGATTCTTGATCAAACTTCTTCGAATTTCCATCAACTTTCAAAGTCGTATTCTTCAGTTCAAAGCTGGCTACGTGGCCAGTGATAACGTTTGATACATCTAAAATATCAGAAAGTTTTAAAAATAAAAAACTGAAAATTTTCAAAATTAAGGTAACGTTACCTTTGTTGATCACCAGAACTTCACCACCAGGTATGTCGGTCTTAGCAATTTCATACACAACACAATCGTCTAATAGCAGTTTGAAGCTGCAACATATCTAATATACATAATACATTAAATTACTAGGTTGTTCATATAATTCTGTGCTCCACAACTTCTAAAATTTGCTTTGGAACAAGACACAGAATGATTTGAACAAGCTAATACATCAGAGAAAAAGTCTTGTCGTTTTTCGCCGTCCAACCAATGTATGTTGGCGACAAGACTTTTTCTTTTAAAAATGTATATAATTTATTGATGTTTTAGGTCGTTCAAATAATTCTGTGCTTTAAAATCTCAAAAATCCGCTTTGAAAAGAGGCACAAAATTATTTGAACAACCTAATATTGTTGTATTATATTTTATAAATTTACACCTAGCTTTCTTGACATACGTCTATAAAATACTATGTACATAGTATATCGCTCAAGTTTACAACAATTTTAATGGCACTCGTATTTTACCTTTTGTTAAGTTTTTTTTAAATTATTAGTTGAGAAACGCATTTTACCTAACATCCCCTTTGCATTCAGCAGAAGTGTCAATGTCGACTGTGCTGTAGAAGTTGTCAATAGCTTTGAACTTAAGTTTGAGCGTTGTTTCAGAACATTTTGCGTTTATGTTTCTAAAAACAACATTAATTAGCTATGGCAAGGGTGAAATACGGAATGGCTACTAGTTAGGACCACAAAAAAGTTTTTATAATGCCAGAGTATAGATAGAGTAAAGCTAGAGAAAGGCGAGGATAAGGGTAAGACTAGAGTAAAGCTATTATTCAACCAGTTTCAAGCTCTGCAGAATCAAGCAAAGCCAGGCCAGCGGTGAGGCTTTGTAGGAAAAGAGACATTTCTAGTCAGATAAAAGCTATACCAAAGCTAGCTAAACTAAAATCTCTTACATAGGATTAACGTTAATATCCTTTGGCGCACAATCTTCATTCCCAGCTGTTACTGGTACATTGTTTGCTATAGCTGGAGCTTCTGCATTTGAATTTGCGTTTACTGGAGCTACAGCAACATTAGTTTGAGAAGCTCCGGTTGAAGGGAGTACTGGTGGTGCCGGATTGGACTCTTGACCGTAGGTAAGGGTAAAGACATAACATATAATAGTCGTAATGAAAAATGATTTAGTCATCATTTTGAGCTAGCATATAGTTTGGTAGTAGAATATTGTTATTGTAGAGCAGAGTATGGTATCTTTGAATAGGTTTTACAGCACTTCTAGTATGACTTAGAGTACCAAATAGTAGGTATGAAGCTTGGTATGTTGGTATATACTTTGGTAAAGCAATTCTTTAATATTATGTAGTATAAAATTTTGTTACAGTAACCCACAAGTAACTTAAAATTATAAAAAGTTATGTCACAACAACCAGAAAACAACAAGTTTCAAGCCTGTAACCTTCGACCCGGATACAACCTCAAGGCCTTTCGTAATGAAGCCAAATAATGTCAATTCGAGGCTCTGAAAATAATGAAAATCCCATTGTTTGAAATCGAATAAAAACAAAAAAGCGGTTAAACAAACAGCAAATAACTGCGAAACTGATCTCACACGACCTCATGGATAACAACAACTTGCCAACAAGATACATAAAGCTCTATCCTCAGCCTTAGCTCAGAGCTCTGGCCTAGATCCCTAACCCAAAGCCTTAGCCCAGAGCTCTAGTCTAAAGCCCTAGCTCAGAGACCTAGCTCAGAGCCCTAGTCCAGAACCCTAGCCCAGAACCCTAGTCCAGAGCCCTAGCCCAGAACCCTAGCCCAGAGCCCTAGCCTAGAGCCCTAGCCCAGAGCCCTAGCCTAGAGCCCTAGCCCAGAGCCCTAGCCTAGAGCCCTAGCCCAGAGCCCTAGCCTAGAGCCCTAGCCCAGAGCCCTAGTCCAAAGCTTCAGTCTACAACCCGAGTCTAAAAGGTTAGCCCAGAGCCTAGAGCTTAGCCTTATTTTTAGTAACAAAAGCCTGGCCCGAAGCCCTAATCTAGAAGCCTGCTTCAGAGCTTTAGTCCAAAGCCCAAAAAGACTTAAACTAAAGCCCTAGCCTAGAGTCTTAATTTTAGTTTTGGAACGCTAGCCAAGGTCTGTGGTTCAAAGCTTTTGTCCAACGTCTTCATCTAAGGCTCTAGTCTACAGCCTTAGCCTAAAGCCTTAGTACAGAACCCTCGTCCAACCACTGCCCAAGTCCTACTCTTGTCCAAGTCTTCTCTTTAGCTCATCTCTATCCTTACATAAGCTCAACTCTTACCCAAACCTCACTCTTACCCAAGCTCTACCCTTACCCCAGCCCCACTCTTGATCAAGTTATACCTTCACTAAAACTCTACCCTTAACCTACCCTTCACTTCTTATGCAAAACAAATGTTATTGAATAAACCGATTTGTCATTTTAGGCAAAGAAGCGAGTATAATATGGTTTGGACACTGAACTGGCCATGAATACATTTGCATAATTTTATTGTATTAGCCGGTTGAATTTTTAATATGCTCTGAGATTATGATTATAATCAATTTAGTTTCGTATTTAGCATATTTGGCAAATAAATTTATATGTTATAATAGATAGTGGTTTTAAAAATTGTAATTTTCACATACATACAATAGCTCTGATATTATAGTAGCGAGACGAAGGGGTTGACGTTTCAATCCTGTGTAGTCGATTTGTTAAGAAGAGTTGGTTAGTAAGTTGTGGTCGGTTAGAAAGTTAAGCTGGAATGCAGAACGGTGAGTTCGAATCCTGTCGGTTTCATTTTAACGCTTTGCAATTATGCCAAGAAGTTTTGGCTAGCCAAGCAACGTTTTGATTAAAAAATGATTTTTTAAAGCTTACTTTTTGCTTCTATTTACGTTTTGAAAAAAATATTAGTCACAAAATATTATTTGAGAAACTTTAATGCTATACCCTTTGAACATATACAGTGGAACTCCGGTATAATGAACTCCTCTATAACGAAAATCCCGTATAACGAACAATTTTTGAATCTTTGTCTATCACTGCACCGTGCATTTAAAACTCATGTATAACAAAACTTCTTTATAACAAACAAATTTCCAATCCCCAGGCGATTCGTTATACACAAGTTCCACTGTAATATTATTCAGCGTACTGTAACTCGCTAGCCAAAAGCATTTAGAAATTTTTAAAAACAGTTTTCTTGGTAACTTTTTATGCTCCTTAATCCTATATAGGTCTTGTTCAAAAAGCCGAGGGATATTTTATGACATTCCGTAGTAAGTCTACGTCAACCACATAAACCCTTGCGATAGCCGGGCCTTAGACCTAGTTTAACTCTATTACAGTAGAACTCCTGTATAACAAATCGCTCAGGGATTGGAAATTTGTTCGTTATAAAGGTGTTTCGTTATACAGGAGTTTTAAATGCACTGTGCAGTGATAGACAAAGATTCAAAAATTGTTCGTTATACGGGATTTTCGTTATACAGGAGTTCCACTGTATTACTTTTTTATATTCTGTATTTGCTCTGACTTTGTCTTGAGTTGTCTCAACATTACCATATGTTTTGTTGGTAAAATACGAAGTAGTGTTGTAAGGCTGCTTTGAAATGTTTAAGTTTACATCTACATCACATTTTGGAAAGTTTACAACATTTTTACTAGGTGTCGACATAAAGAATCCGCCATACTTTGTTTGCACTTTCCTGTAAAAAATGGCGGGTTCTTTATGTCGGCAACTAATAAAATTTTAAGTGTTACCGTAATTTAGCAACAATAAACTTCTTTACCGTAACAAAATTTATTACTATCTCCACCAATTCTTCATGACATACAGTACAACAACGTGTACTAATTCCCTCTCTAAAGGCCATTCAGTCAAACCGGAATTCTTTGGCGGTTATTCATAATGTTATATATAATTTATACAAATTAATGGTACTTTGGCGGTGTCGGAAATGATAAAAGCCCCGAAAAAGGTGTGGCGATAGTAGTTTCCGTGGTCTCTGCCGAAAAAGGCCTCGAGGCAAGAGCGAGCCCTGAGGCCCGCTGATCAAAAGACGCCTCTGACTCAGACCCTTCATATAAACGCGTCGTGTACAAGGTTGTGTGTTACAAGAAGAAGGCGAAACTCGCCACGGATTCTGACTTTTATTTTCGAAATGGTTTCTATAGTTTCGATTTCGTTTCCTACTGATAGGAATTTAATTTTGCTACTGATGAAGAATTTTTATTAATACTTATATAATGCTACCTTTGTTACTGGTAGAAATTTTGTAGCTAATCCTGATAGATTAGCCCATTTTGGCCTAATAAAAAGATTGTTGCTAATACAGTATAGCTGTTGTTTAAAAAATCTCTTGATTTTTCAAATTTTTTATAAAGGGCTTTTAACATAAAAGAGTTTTAAATGCTCTGTGTAAAGTTAGACTGACAAGGAAAGTGCCCAACCTGCTCCGCTCTGATTGACTTCAAACTTTTTATATAGAAAAACCATGTAAATGTAAGATCTTCAGCAAAGTACTAAATTGCGCTTTCCAGGAAATCTCGGAAAATCGAGATCAAACTACTGCGTTTTGAATTTCCCGCCAAATTGGCATTGTGTTTCAAGCTTATAAATCTGTCATTTTTTGACTTTAAGGAGTTTTTCTTTGATATAATAGTAGAATAACATTAAATAAAGCTACTTTAAATTTGTAAGCGTAGCTTACCTGGAAAGTCAAAAAAAGTGCTTGAAACACAATGCCAAACTGGCGGGAATCCAAAATAATTTAAATTTAAAACTCAAAAGCGCGAACTAAAACTTTTTATAGGTACTATTGGTGGTACAAAGAATTCATATAAAAACTTAGAGCTGAATCCGAGCGGGGCAGGTAGGGCACTTTCCTTGTAAGCAATTGCAAAAATTTGTTAAGTTTTTGTACTCTATGGCGCTATTAAGGTCGTCCGGTTGTTGTCATTTTTTACATTCTATTGTATTTTTACTATCGTTTATTTGAAAACTTTGTGCAAGCTTTGAACTGATAATAACAATTTTCAAATTTTTTTCGTTTTTTTTTGTTTTTTCTTACGCATTTTAGGCTTAACAACTATAGATTTGCTTATTTTTAGGTGTTAAAAGCTTGATCTTTTATATAATTTTAAAATAAAAACTTTGTTTTTGTTTTACAATTGTTTCCATATTATATTATAATAGAAAGATAAAGGTGTTTATAATATTAAAAAGGATTCCAACATCGATAAGAACGAGTTGTATTTCCCCAAAGAACACTTTCAAATGTATTATTCTTTTTTATTTGAAACCAAGAATTCATCAGAATTCAGTCCATAAACGTTTTTTTATCTATATTATTTGGAATCATAGGCGAGGGCAACGTATTTTACCTACTACAATGTAATTTTCACCTACTACAATGTAATTTTCACTTACTACAATGTAATTTTTACCTACTACAACATATATTTTTATTAAAATGTATGTTCTTCTAAATCTACTACGTTATTTTAAAACCTTCTATGTCATTTCACTGTATTACAGCCTGTTCGAGTAGCTTTTGGCCATTTCCTCATATGTCGCATTGAAAATGATGGTTAACTTCATATAGGAAATGCGTCACAAGCGATTTGGACAGGCTGTTAATCAAGTTATTACTACCTATTACTACAAATGCTTTGTAAAGAAAATTCTTGTTATTTTATGTTCTGTAAAGAAAGTTCTTGCTATTTTATGGTTTGTAAAGAAAGCTCTTGCTATTTTATAGCTTGTAAACTATTTTTTGCTATTTTGTAATTTGTAAAGAAAGTTATTGTCATTTTAAAACTTGTAAGGAAGGTTCTTGCCATTTTATGTTTTGTAAAGAAAGTTCTTGCGATTCTGTGATTTGTAAAGAAAGTGCTTGCTATTTTATGGTTTTTACAGAAAGTTCTTGCCATTTTTTCTTTTGTAAAGAAAGTTTTTGCGATTTTATAGGTTGTAAAGAAAGTTCTTGCAATTTTATGTTTTGTAAAGAAAGTTCTTGCCAGTTTTGATTTGTAAGGAAAGTTCTCGTTATTTTATGTTTTGTAAAGAAAGTTCTTGCCATTTTACGTTTTTTAAAGAAAGTTCTTGCAATTTCAAGTCGTCAACGTTATGATCATTTCAAGCACCTTTGAAATTCAGTACCCTTATGGTCACAAAACAATTTAATATTTATTCAAATTTTTAAAATTTTACACTTACAATTTTTTTTAAATTTTAAATCTTAAATTTGTCATTTTGCTTGAATAACGTGTGAACAGCGGTTGCGCTGTCATTTGAGTGTTGATTCGAGTATTCCAAATGGCCCCATCAGTGTCGGGCGATGCCAAACCTTCATCGTCGTCTCAGTCTTCAACCAAGCCATCTTCACCATCGTCCACGGCCGTCAACAACAACAAGACCACCAAGAATCCGTCGCCGTTCAGGTAAGGTAGAGTTGGATTGGCTAAACTAGACTGGGTTAAACTGGGCTAGACTGAGTTAAACGGAGCTGAGCTGGATTTGGTTTATCTTGACTGGGTTTGGCATGGCTGGATTTAGCTAAGCTTGGCTGGTATTTGCTGGGCTAGACTGGGCGTGACTGGGCTTGGCATGACTGGGCTTTTCTGGGCTTGGCTGGGCTTGGCTGAGCTTAGATGGGCTTTTCTGGGCTAGATTACGCATGAATGGGCTGGGCTTGGCTGAGCTTGGCTTTGCTGGGCTTGGCTGGGCTTAGCTGGGCTTAGCTTGGCTGGGTTTGGCTGAGCTTGTCTGGACTTGGCTGAGCTTAGCTGGGTTTGGCTGGGCATAGCTGAGCTTAGCTGGGCTGGGCTTGGCTGAGCTTGTTTGGGCTTTTTTGGGCCTGTCTAGGCTCGGCTGAGTTTGCCTGGGCTTAGTTAGGCTGGGCTCAGCTGGGCTGGGTTGGGCTTGGCTAAGCGGTCTGAGCTTAACTCGGCTGGGTTTGTCTTGGCTGGCTAGATAAACTTAATTTTGTCATTTTCAGTTCACCCCACCTCCCCAAACATGTCATCACCTCACCAGTCATAGCGGCCGCGGTAGTTCAGTCCAACGTGCTCAGTGCTTCACATCCGAACGGACCGCCGGCTAATGTAGCTGCAACGAATGCAGCTGTAGCTTCGGCTACCGCACCAAAGAAGGCTTCTGAAGCTACGAGTAGTCCACCGCCAGCTCCTGTACCTACAACGGCTGCTGTGCTCACGTCGACGCCTGGAACAAACTTGGACGGAACGTTGAAGAATTTTAGGTAACAATTCACTGATTTTTAAGTATTTTAGGTAACAATTTTCACTTTTGACCTTACTTTAGGTCAATTTACGCCCGTGAAATTCGAGAACAGTACTTCCAATTAGTGCACCGTGAATCCGTATCATTTGCTGAGCACTTTGTAGCCGGTGGTATTGGAGGTTGCTTAATGGTATTGACTGGACACCCATTTGATACTGTTAAAGTACGACTACAAAGCATGCCCACCCCGGCCAAAGGACAGACACAACTATATACGGGCATGATAGACTGTGTGAAGAAGACTTACAAGGCAGAGGGGTTTACTGTAAGTTGTAGGAGAGGATACTGTAGGTAGGGTGGGTAGGGTAAAGAGTTGTTGTTGGAATGGTAGATAGGGGTACTGTAGGTAAGTTAAATGTTTTGAAAAAGTATTGTTATTACCCTACCCTACCCTACCCTACCCTACCCTACCCTACCCTACCCTACCCTACCCTACCCTACCCTACCCTACCCTACCCTACCCTACCCTACCCTACCCTACCCTACCCTACCCTACCCTACCCTACCCTACCCTACCCTACCCTACCCTACCCTACCCTACCCTACCCTACTCTACCCTACCCTACCCTACTCTACCCTACCCTACCCTACTCTACCCTACCCTACCCTACTCTACCCTACCCTACCCTACTCTACCCTACCCTACCCTACCCTACCCTACCCTACCCTACCCTACCCTACCCTACCCTACCCTATCCTACCCTACCCTACTCTACATTTTCTTAGATTTTCTTACACTATCCTACTGTAGTATGTACAAGCAGTAATACATGCTTGATATGCTTTATACAAAGTTTAATATACCGTATTTTAGGGATTTTTCCGAGGCATGGGCGCGCCGATTGTTGGTATAACACCGCTCAACTCGATATTTTTTGGATTGAACGCGGTTTGCTGCGAGCTTCAACAATCGTATTTTAGGACACCAAATTTAACGTTATGGCAGGTATGTGCACTTTAAATTTCATGCTTTTTTTCAAATTTTTGGGCTTTGAAATCAACCAATAACGGAATGTCAAAGTTATAAAAATCGATGCCGAAGTGTCACAAATCAATTTTAGTGAAAAAAATTGGCTGCTATTAATTTTATAAAAAAATATCAAACTTTGAAAAGCTTATGCAAAAATGTAAAAATTTTGGAAAATCCAATAACGGAACGTAAAAATTTCAAAAACCGATGACGGAATGTCACAAACCAATTTATATAAAAAGGTGTCGTATGTATATCAATAGCATGACCAAATATCAAACTTTGACAGCCTTATAACGAAATGTCAAAAGTTGAAAAAATCCAATAACGAAATGTTAAAATTTCAAAAACCGATGACGAAGTGTCACAAGTTTGTTTTTATAAAAGAATAATGTATGAATATCAATTTCATGACGAAAAATCAAACTTTGAAAGTCTTATCACGGAATGACAAAAAATTTAAAAATCCAATAACAAAATGTAAAAATTTTAAGATTGAAAAAAATTTTAAAATGTGATAAAAATATTTAAATTTTTATCAATTTTTTTCAGATTTTCAATGCAGGAGCCTTCTCAGCAGCCGTGATGTGCCTATTTACAGCTCCCATCGAACGGGTCAAGTGTCTTCTTCAAGTCCAAAGCAGTATGGGCATTACCAAGTACAAGGGGCCGATGGACGTGGTACGAAAACTGTATAAAGAGCATGGAATTGGAGCTGTTTACCGCGGGTTTTTGATCACTTCGGCAAGAGGTCAGGGTTGAAATTTAATTTTTTTTAAATTTAATTTTTTTTTTAATTTTAAAGTTTTTTGAAAAATGCCATTTTTAATGAGATAAACTCCATTTTTTTGCAGATATTCCGTCATATGGTACGAAAATGCTGGTCTATGAGTATATAAAACGAAAAATGGTGGATCCGACCAAAAACGAGCGCATCTCACCGTGGGCAACCTTGATGGCCGGAGGCATCGCTGGAATCTTTTTTTGGCTGGTAAGTCTGCTATAAATGTTTTAAAATTTAAAATTTGATGACAATATTAAAAAGAAAAGTTAGGGATATGGTATAGTACGGTAGGGTTATAAAAGTTAAGGATAGGGTAGAGTAGGGTAGGGTAGGTTAAAGTAGAGTAGGGTAGTTTTAATTCAATTTAAAATTCAAAATCCATTTCAATTCAACTTCAGGTATGTATTCCCCAAGACACACTCAAATCGTATCTCCAATCAGCACGAGAAGGTCATTTCCCCCGAGGCACGCGGGACGTTTGGTGTGTTTTGATGAAGGAGGAGGGCCTGAAAGGCCTGTTCCGAGGCATAGCACCACTAATGGCTAGGGCATTCCCAGCCAACGCCGCTTGCTTCCTGGGCGTAGAGCTGACCATGCTAGCCTTTGACACCTTCTCCGGCCCGCTAAAACCCGTAATGGACTGGCCTAGCTTCGTGGTCGAGGACCAGGACATGACTTCGCTGAAACGAAAAGATAAAAGCAAAAAGACGGAGAAGAGCTAGACAAAATGGCACTAGCTGACGAATAAACTCTATTAGATGTTGTTCTAGATATTGTGTTAGGTGAGGTGTTGATAAAAAATGACATTCATAGAAAATAATATTATCTTGCCTTACCCTACCCTTCCCTACCTACCCCACCCTACCCTACCCTACAATACCCTACCCTACCCTATCCTACCCTACCCTACTTTACCCTACCCTACCCTACTCTACCCTACCCTGCCCTACAATACCCTACCCTACCCTAGTAAGTTCTGCCTCGCCTAGCCACCCAAACCCTGTAATATCCCTACCCTACCTTACCCTACCATACGCCACCTTACTCTAACTTACCCTAATCTGTCCTATTTTACCCTACCCTACTATACTCAATCCTACCCTACCCTACTCTGTCCTTTTCTTTGCATGACCCTTCCTACCCTTGCCCTACATTTGTCCTACTCATATCCCCACCATCGCTTACATACTCTTACCCTACTCTTTTCATACCTATCCTATAAATGCACTCGTATTAGTAAATAATATTATATTATACTAGAGGTAGAAGTACTTGACTCAATATTTCAAAAAAACGTGCAACTTTTTCGTCTCCCGTTTATATCGTACGTGTAGCTAAGATTCAGATCTTTCATTTGAGCTAAGATTTACAAAATTTCATAATGAAATTTTTAAGTTATACCTAAAAATGCAACCCTTGTTAAAAGGAAAAAGCCCATTTTTTCAAAAAAATCCAGTAAATTTCGACTTTTCTAGCCGTTTGTTATCACATTTATGTTTTCAAAACAACAATTATAATATAGTTAAAGCACTTATGAGTAAAGGAAGGGAGGAACAATGCGTTTTCAAAGGCAAAAGTCTTGGCGTCAATGTACATTGATTTGGACGGGGGAAAACAACAAGACTTTTCCTTATATATATAGCATATATATATGTATATATAACTTATATTAAGTTGTTCACATAATTCTGCGCCCCCGTACCCCGCAAATTTGCTTTGATAAGGGGCGCAGAATTAAGTGAACAACCTAACATATATGAATATACAACAATAAGGCCGTTTAAGACAAAATTAGGATAAAATATCAGATATGAGTTAGTATTTCTATTCACAACGTCGAAGAAGCTTCAGTTATTACCTAAATTTATAAAATTTTTTGATTTAAAACCGTTAAATAAATCTTGTCGTCATTTTACAAGTAAGGAAGTGAAATAATAGGTAACAGAAAAAGCAGAATAACAAACTACTAAAGGCTACAATCACAATATAAAGGCTAGTATGAACATTATTTTGGGATATGACGCGCCATTCTTTCCGAATCAAACATTTTTTGGCATTAAACAAGGTAGACGCCGTTCTTTTCGCCTCAAAACATTGATACGCCATTCTTTTTGAATCAAGTTCAAGATACGCCATTCTTTTTGCATCGACATCATTACACGCCATTCTTTTTACATCAAAAATAGAATACGCCATTCTTTTTACATCAACAATATAAAACGCCATTCTTTTTACATCAAGCTTATGACACGCCATTCTTTTTGCATCAAAATTACAATACGCCATTCTTTTTACATCAAGATTATGATACGCCATTCTTTTCGCATCAAAACTGTGATACGCCATTCTTTTTGAATCAAGTTCAAGATACGCCATTCTTTTTGCATCGACATCATTACACGTCATTCTTTCTGCATCAAGTTCAAGATACGCCATTCTTTTTACATCAAAAATATAAAACGCCATTCTTTTTACATCACGCCGTTGTTTTCGCATCAGAATTACCCGCTAGCCTCAGAAGAAACCCGTCGCGGCCTGGTCGACTCCCCAAAGCCGCCTTCCTTCTCCAATTTCGGTGGCAATTCGTTTTTCAAACTCGAATGGCCGCTAGAACTTGATGAAGATGATGAAGAAGATGAAGAACTTGACGAGGATGAACTAGAAGCAGGTCGAGGCGGACGACGAGCTTCGGTTTCCTATAAAAATATATTGTTTTAGAAAATGATATTGGAGTTTTATATATGTTTGAATTGTTTGAAGTAAGAAAAAATTGAAAATTAGGTATTAAGTGTACTTGAAATGTCATTTTTTTCATTGGACGAGTGGGTAGGGTAGAAAAAAGGGTAGGGAAAGTCGAAACGAAGACATGGGTAGGGTAGAAAGTAAGAAATGGGTAAGGTAGAAAAATATGTGAGGGGGGGGGGGGGGAGGTGAAGGTAAAAAAGCCAAAAATAAAAAAAAATTAAATAAACAGAGGATCAAATTTAAATTTTTTAAAAAATTTTGGGCGGGTTAAATATTTTTGTTCTAAAGACAGAGAAATGCATAAAAGAAGAGTAAAATCGATTACAATCGAACCTCTTTAGTATAACACCAAATAGACCGGACCAAAGTGCCATTATAAGTAGGGTGTCACTCTATACAAGTAATCTTAAGTAACCTCGTATAAAGTGTCACCCTGCTTACTTGATATAAGTTCTATTACAAAGGATGGTCAGAAAACTGTCCTTATAAAGACAGTGTCCTATTATCAATAAACATACTAAAGATGTTTTACTGTACAGCAAAACGCTGCCAATATTGACTGTAAAATGTAAAGTGTTTCAGTTGAAACCTTAGAAAGTGTTTCAATTAAAACCTTTCATATCCAAGACCGATAGACTAGGCAAAAGAAATTTATTATTATAATAAAAAAACGAAAAATTTGATTAAATGTTAAATAAGGCAACAATTAGACGAGTAAATATTAATTAGACAAGCAAAAAATAAAGTTTTTGGTTCCCGGACTAGTCTTTTCGGAATTCAAAGTCAAAATACCTTTTTGTAGGCCAATATCACGTTAAATCAAGTCCAGAAACCAAGACCATCTTTGTTTTTAAACCAAAAACATTAATATCCATGACCAGAGATCCTTGCTCCCCTCCCCTGACCATTGATAGACCTCCTTGTACCCAGGCCTTCAGAATCTCAAAGTATCAACGCAGACCTTCAGAATCTCAAAGTATCAACCAAGACCTTCAAAATCTCAAGTTATGAGCCGAGACAGTAGACGCCCAGACTGGAGACGGTGCAGATTTGCCTACCGATTCGCTACTGATCTCCAGCGGACTCAGCGGTTTCTCCTCTTCCAAGTCGATTACATTCGCATCGTTCTCGATATCTTCATAATGTTGTCCACTCGGTTCTGGCTCACTGTCTGATGAAATTGCCTGAGGTTCGAGTTTCTCAGGCTTTGTGGACTCGTCGCTTTCTGACGAGATTTTGGCCGCTTCTAGGCTTAGATCCGGCTGCTTTTTCTTCTTTTTTGGTTTGGGTTTCGTTGTTTCTTCTTCGGACGAGCTTAGAGGTTGAGGTGATAGAGATTTTTTTTGGGTTTTTTGCTTCAAAGATCTAAAAAATTGTTATATAGGTACCAATTTTATAAAAAATAATGAAAATTTTCATTTTCAATTAAAAAAATTAAAAATGCTATTCTTTTTTAAAATTTAAGACTCAAAATGCTCTGCTTTATCCATCCTATCATTACAAAACATCAACCATTTCAAATCACCTTATTTCAACGTCTTAAAAAAGTCTTGTCGCCAAAGTACACTACCTGCCACGTTAAAAAATGACAAAACTTTTTTTTTCCTCTGATACAGATCCTTAAACTCTACTTTTGAAATAAATATCGTTATAAAGTGTCATCCTTCCTAAACTTCTAAACCACCTCTCTCATCGTAACCAAAAAAGTCATGTCGCCAATTTACACTACCTTCCACGTTGTAAAACGACAAAACTTTTTTGCCACTTCAATATATAACCTTTACATCCACTTTTACAATAAACATTTTAACCAAACCCTACTTTAGCTAAACCTTACTTAAAAGTAGAAGCCGAGCTGCTTGAAGAAGAACAAGCTGATGATGAACTTGAGGATGATCTTGCTCTGGCCTTTTTTGGCCGTTTTGGTGGGGTTGAACTCTTATTTACATGTCTTCTGTATGCCAATGGCTTTTCGCTTTCTTTCTCAGTAAAGAAGTCTTGTACTTGTTCCTTTGTTGGGTTTTTACTGAAAAAGATCAACATTATATTAACCATGGTAATATAGCCAAAGTTGGCCTTTTTAGCTTTTCTAAACGTCATTTTTAACTTTTTGAAACCCTTTGTAGCCCCATAAAGCTAAATATACCGTTCTGAAGTTAAATATTTGACAAAAAAGTCATGTCGTCAATTCGCTAACATTTACACAATAAAAAACGACAAGACTTTTTAAGCCCTAATATCAGCCTAAAACAATATAAAAAAGCAAGATGTCTTCAAAACCCTCAATATTCATCTCAAAATGACACAATTGCACTAAAAACTTACTGTGAAAAACCAGCTGGACTAACACTTCTGGATAAGGATCTTGACTTTGATCTGGATATTGACCTTGACTTAGACCTTGATTTCGAGCCAAATTTCCGTTTTTTCTTTGGGATTCGAAAATTGGACAAATCCGCGGCCGATGGCTCCATTTGGGCGTTGGCTTTCACGTTTTTCAGTGTTCTTCTAGCTCTAAAACAATATTTTTTACTTTAAAGCAAATAAAATATACCTTATAGATAATATAATTGCATGATTCTGATTCAAATCATAAATTCCTTTCACCTCAACCTTCTCCCAACTAAAACCACTCATCAAAACTATCAAAACACCATTTTCAACCCCCAAATTTCCTCAAAACCAGCTAGATCTTACGGTGAAGGAGGTCCAGAGGGTGGTGAAGGAGTCCTGGTTCTGTATGATGATGTTCTACTGTAATTTCTGCGTCTTTTTCTTCTATGAGCATCTGATGACCCTGAGGAACTTCTTCGTCTTCGTCGCCGATATCGTGCTTCTGAATCCATTGAAGATATTGAAGATGAGCGACGATCTCGGTTGATTTTTCGACTAACGCGGTCTTTTCTTAGTGGTTCTGAAAAGTTTGAGAGTTAAAATTTTTACAGAAAAAAGTAAATTTAATCTATAACGTTTTTAAATTAAGTTTTGATCCTAGGTTTTCAGTTTTCTTTACAAAAGAGGAAAAGTTCATGCTTCCAAGCGGAATCGAACTTTTTTGAATTTTCGCCATTTTTAAACCATCATGAATCAGTTCAAACTTAATATAAAAATATGAAACTTGTAGAATATATACTTCTTTTTATGCTTTATAAAATGTATGTTTCACTTTCTTCATGAAAAAATTTTAAACTAAAAAAATTAAAAAATATGCTTTTGTTTCCAAGCGGAATCGAACTTTTTTCAATTTTCGGCCTTTTTAAACCGTCATAACTTTGTCAAACAAATAGGTGATAACCGGATATTTGCAGAATATATACTTCTTTTTATTCTTTACTTGTATGTTTCATTTTTTTCAAAAAAAAATTAAATTCAAAAAAAAATCTCAAAGAGCTACAAAACGCACCATAATTTGAGTTCTTCTGCCGTTTATCTCCACCACTACTAACTCCAAGAAACTTTTTCCAATGTTCAAGTTCATCTCCTTTCGGATGCCTAAATCTACAGCCATCTGACCATGTGCAAGTTCCGCGAACAAAAAATTTGCATATTCCTGAATCCTCCGGGCGGTTCGTTTTGAAAGCTCCGAATTCTGTTGGTGAGTTAAATTGAGGTGAGTTTCTTTGGATTGGTGAGCCAAAACGTCGATTAATGTTTGGTGAATCGGTCCGGCGAAGGTTTACTGGTGAATCTGTCCGGCGCAGATTTATTGGTGAATCAGTGCGGCGAGGGTGGGTTGGTGAACCGGTTCGACGAATATTGACTGGTGAGTCGATCGACCGACTTTCGATTACATTTGAGGCTTCTGGCTTCGACGCTACTGAAGCTTCGACAGTGTTTTCGGCTTCGGAATCGGTTTCCAATTCACCGTCTTCGAGCTCGCCTTCTTCTTTCACTGAGCCGTCCGTGGACATGATTCTGAAAATAAAAAAAAATACTTTTGAAATTTTAAAAATTTAATTAGTTGACAAAATACATTCTGTATAATTTAACAAAATTTCAGGTTTCTAAAAATATTCTATAAAAGGTTATGGCAAAAACATTTTTTTTTCAATTTTTCATCAAAATTCAAAAATTACCTTTTAAAATCAAAAAAATTAGAAACTTCCCATTGCCCACAATTTTACACTAACCGGAGCAATACTAAATTTCAATCTCAAATAGTCTTGCGAATTCGAAAACGCAGTGGAAAAAGAAAGAGGAAAAAACGAAAAAGGTGCGCTGGCAACGGATTCGCGAGTTGGAAACGTTTTCCTTTTTCAAATAAATTCAATACAATGAAACCTTATTTCCAACTAATCGTATCTTAATTTTTAATACTTTTATCTAATTAAAATACTATTAAAAAATTTAAAATGAAGTTTTCAGGACTAAAACTTCATTTTACACTTTTATGCTTCAATGTCTTGGACGTCAACATTTTTAGCTAAAATATCTCAATCATCAACAAAGTTAAAAATTGATATTTAGCGCACAAATAGCTTAGACTATTCTCTAACTATCTGTAAAGTTTAAACAAAATCCAACAATTACTGTTAGAGAATTGGCTTTAGCTTTGACTGATGTGATGTATAATATAAACCTCAAAATTTCGCACTGTAAATTTTAAAACATGCTTGAAATTAGCTAGCATTGAAAAAAAACCTTTTCCTCCTTCTGACATCCAAATCAACCATTCCCACGTAACGTTCACTAAGAAAACAACGAAAATATTATCTATAGTATTAGCTACCTAATAATATCTAAAGTTAACCAGAACAAATAAATCTTAATTTCTTTACATCCTCACGGTATTCTAAAAGATGCTCCATAGTATTTTAGTACTTTATCAACTAAGGAATTAAAGTTTCAAAGTAAAACTTCCTCAAGATCGCTAATTACCTTATCTTCACCCATCAATACCCATTGCAGAACATTTTAATCCCTAACCACAGCTCATTTAAACTTCCATACCTCGTTTCCCATACCAACACACACACAATCCATTTCTTCACAATCATGTCTCTAAATTCAAGAAAACAATAAAAACATCAAATTCCTCACCTGAATTAATCAATCTCCACTTCCACGTCGCAGCCGCCGGGCAAACTGACCTCTGGCTGGTATGCAAAGCCAAATGACCTGGAAATTCGTAATTAAATTCATAAACCTCCACAATACGCATCAAACTAGCACAATAAACAACATGAAAAAAAGTGTTGGCAATCTCTCTTACGCTTTGATATAGGTTTAAGTAAAGGAATAGCAAAAATTTGGGTAAAATACGGAAATTTACATTGGCTGAGCATATTAACAACAAAACCTGGGCTTGTTCAAGACAAACGCTTTCAACAACAACAAAACTATGCGTCGAGCTTCGGAGAGCAAAGTTTTTGTTGTTGGAAAAGATTTCCTCGAAACGCGAGCCGAGAGCGAAGATTTGCAAGCTGCGAGTGACAAATTATACGAAAATATTTAAAACTGTAAGTTTATTTAGACGAATTTAAATAACAAAACATAAATTAAAAGAAAGTAATATATTTAACAAAAAAAAATTGACATCAAAACAATTTATTAGTTCCGAATTTTATATTATAGTGGGTATTTAGCCCTCAAAAGTAAATCAAATTGATTTTTGTTTTTCTCGTTGGTTGTTTTTTTTTGGCCGCTCGGGCGCGGGTCGTTTTATTAATATAATATAAAAGCTGTTGCTTATAACGGGCCTCTACAATGTTAAAAATATCTCAAAAACAATAAAGTATATATTTTTGGGCATCTTTTTAAAATTCTTTATGAGAGTATTGAATATTTGGAGTTTAAACTTAAAATTCCCTTCAACTTCTTTATGATAATATAATATTTATTCAAAATTATATTTAAAATTAAAATTTTAGGCTTTTTCGACCATGACAACATTCGGTTTTGATTCTTTTTCCACCATAACTACTTCAGGCTGGTTTGAGGTTCTCGGCGAGTTGTGGTAGGAAGGTGGGGGTCCTGGATATGGCGGTGGAGGGTCGACAATGACTGGCGATCCATACACGACTGGTTCTTGCACGTAGATTGGTTCGGCGTATGTACCGGAGCCACATGACTGAAAATGGTTTAATAATTTACAATTTTTAAATTTAAAAATATTAAAATTCTGAAAAAAAAAATTATTTGTGTTAAGTATAGTAGACATTATAAAGCAAGACCAGACTTACCATGAGAACACCGGCACACCATAAAATGAAAAATATTGTGGCAATAAGTAACAGTGCTCCGAGGATAGCTCCACCACCAATGAAATGCGCTAAATTAAAGGTTATGCCATTTTATATTGCACTTGGTAAAGGTATGCTGTACCAGTTATGAAACCTTGAAACTTACGTCTGTAACAGCTCCAACAAAAGCCAACGTGAGCGTGACCGTACTAAAATTCATTTTAAAATTAGGTTTCTTAATTTTTTGCCCTGCCCTGCCCTGCCCTGCCCTGCCCTGCCCTGCCCTGCCCTGCCCTGCCCTGCCCTGCCTTGCCTTGCCTTGCCTTGCCTTTCCCTACCCTACCTTACCCTATACTACCTTTCTCTACTCTATGCCTTAATTTACTCTATTCCACTTTACCGTGCCAATATCTGCCATACCCGACCTCATCTTACCATAATTTTCTACATGTACTCAAACCCCATCCTACCTTACCTTACTCTACGCTACCGTATCCGACGTTACTTTACAATACCCTACCCTAAAAAACAAAAAAAACATACGTAAGGATACCCATAGTGACCATACCCATATCCATACCCAACATGTGGATGTACATGAACATGTCCACCTACATAAGGCCGACGATAACCACCACGGTAACCACCACGATATCCACCGTAACCACCGCCGCGATAAACACGCGCTTCTGTCATGAATTCAACACACACTACAGTCATCACTGAAATATTAATTTTGCTTTGGAGTAATGTAAAGTATTAGGAATTAAACACAATATGAAAATTTTAAAAAATTTTAAAATCTTACAAAATTTTTTAAAAATTTGAAATTTGTACTATAATAGTGAAAATGCTTTAAAAATGAAAAATAAACTTGCAAATAAGTAACATAGCCATCCTTTGATTAATCATCCTTAAAAAGCCATCAAAGTGAATACGGCCGGTAATGTAACAAAATGTGATGTAAAAATAAAAAATTTTTTTTTTAAAATTTTTTAAAATATTTTCTTACCTTTTGGCTAAAAAAAGTTGCTAAATTCAACAAAAAAAAATAATCAAATAAAAAGTTGATATAGACCTGAAGCCATGTGATGATTTTGTCCGTTATGCTGTTGGTAGATCCGAGCGGGTATTTTTGGTCTGGGGGCAAGGATAAAAAACTTTTTTTTTCAAAAATTTATATGAAGGGCCACGTTAAAGTTTTAAAATTTTTTTAGAGAAGGGGTTACTTCCTCAACAAAAAGTGATAACGGTAAACTCTGGAATAGGCTAAGGCTTCAGCTAAAGTTATGGTTGTAGTTAAGTCTAAGCCTAGAACTAGAGTTGGGGTTAGGGCTAAAACTAAGACTATAGAACTAGGATCAAGTGGGCTAACGCTAGGACTAAGACTTTGGGCTAGCGCTTTAAACTAGGGCTCTGAGCTAGGGCTATGAGCTACGGTTCTAGGTTAGGACTCTGGGCTATGGCTCTGGGCTAGGGCTCTGGACTAAGGCTCTGGGCTAAGGCTAGTAAAAATGTTAATGTAGTTAAGAATCTTTTTACTGTAACTTTGATTGGTTTATTACTCTCATTGAGCTTTTACATACCGTATTCTGCTTATTATTCTAGAACAACCTTCTATTATGTGTAATATAACGTCAACATCTGTTGGAGTTGAAGACGACGTCATGTATTAAGTGATATAACTTTGAACACATGTGTTTTGGATTCGACGGTAATTGAGAAAGCGAAGGTGCATAATGATGCTTGTTTATAGAGTTACTTATGAGATACTTGTATAGAGCAAACTTGTTTATAAGGTGTTAGCTTTTACACAAGTTATTGACCAAATAACTAGTGGCAATATTAAGGTATTGCTATAACATAAAGAATAATTTTTCTGAAGATATTTTACTTTTTTTCTTGTTTAATGTATTTGTAATGCTAGTTAAGTACAATCTGAATTTTGTGCACGCCATCTAATGCATTACTATTTAAAGTTGTTACAAAACTAATCACAAGGTATTCGCTTTTTAAAATATTAACTTTGTGTTATAGTTGGTCTTGTATTTGTACATACTTATACTAAATTTGAATAAAAGGGGGGGGGGGCAGTGGATGGGTAAGAGATAAAGAAAGGTAAGTTAGGGTAAGGTAGAGTAAGGTCGGAAAGAATAAGAGGAGAAGGAGGAGGAAGGAGGGGGTTACCGTACTTACTATCCTATCGTAACATACTCTACCCAACCCCACCTTACACTACCCTATTGTTCCATACTCCACCCCGCCTTATCTTACACTATTCTGTCGTGCGCTACCCCCCATCCTATCTTACACGATCCTACCGTGTCTTACCCTACCTTCGCCCTATCTAACACTATCTTAGTGTATCCTGCCCTACTCCACTTTATCTGACATTTTCCTACCGTACCATACCCTACCACACCCCACCTTACAAGATACTACTGTACTCTACTCTATTCTGCCTTATGTTACACTATCGTATCGTACGCCACCTTCACCTTATCTTACATTGCCTTACCGTATCTTACCCTATTCCAGCTTAGTTTACTCTATCCTACCGTACCATACTCTACCTCACCCCACCTTACACTACCCTACCGTACCATACCCTACCCTACTCCACCCTACCTTACACTACTCTATCATACATACCTTACGCCAAATTCGCGGCTAAGATTGCACAGTGACTTTAAAGCTTCTTTATAACGAAACCTTTTCATAACGAACAATTTTTATTTTTTAAACCCCCCTAGCGATATGTTATACCGATGTTTTACTATATTATGTTCTACTGTTACTGATTGATGACGTTGCAATAACTGCAAAAAAAGTGTTTTTCAAATTAGTCCCAGAAGGCGTAAAAAGAGTGTCATTAAACGGTTTGGCAACTTTGCGTTATGCTAATAATTATTGACCAAGTTTAAATGAACAATAACTTATTATAAACTACATTTTGAGCTACTGGGTCTTGAAGTATATATGCTACTTGTTTATTGCACTAAATTCAGATCTAAATTAAAGTATTATATTATATGTTTGATGCACTTATAAAATGTCAAAAAGTATTGTCGTCTAATTACATTGACTTTTTGTGTTAAAAACGACAAGACTTCTTAATATAATAGTTTAGCATTAAAGGTTAAACTAAAAGCCTTGATAGCTTACGCTTAACCTTAGGCTTATACTTAGACTTAAGCTTAGGTTTAACCTTAAGCTTAAGCTTAGGCTTTGGCTCAGGCTTTGGTGTAAGTTTAGGTTTAAAATATAAAGTTGACAAACTTATTAGTTTAGACTACTTGCTAATATAATAAAAAATGATGTTTTATTACGTAGTTACGTACTTTAGACTTATATTAATATTTACCTTTGTTATCAAAACTTAGTAACATTACTAGTCATTGCAAATTCTGGTTCCTGGTTTGGCAATGTTCGTATATTGTGTGATTTATAAACATGATTAATGAAAACCTTGTTACTTTAGTATACAGTAGACTCTGAAAGACTATGAAGAGTAGAGCTAACGCTAGGGCTTTGGACTAGGGCTCTGCGTTAGGGCTCTGAACTAGAACTTTGGACTAGGACTCTGGGCTAAGGGTCTGGGGTTGGGGTTTTTAGGTTAGGGCTCTGGGCTCTGGACTAGGGCTTTGGGCTAGGGCGTCGGGCTAGGTAAATTCAACCAGAACTTTGGGATAGGGCTTGCAGGGCCCTGGGCTAAGTGGAAAAACATGAATGTATTTGAGTTTGTATAGTTTCTTTGTTAGCGCTTCGGCAGTTGTAACAAATGCAAACGTCTTTTGTAGCAGAACGTGTTTTTTTATGAGAAACAAGCTTAAGCTTTACGGGTTTAACATAAATATTTGTAGTTAATCGTAATTGCAACAGCAGTTTAAAGTTACTTTTAGATTTTAAAGTTTCATTTTTAATTGGCCAGCAGTTTAGGCTTAAACTTATCTTTGTGGTTAGGCTTAGACATAGAAACAGACTTAGCTTTAAGTTTAATCTTAGATTTAGGCATAGACTCTTTAAGATTAGGCTTAAACTTAAACTTAGCTTTGAGGTTAGACTTAGACTTAATTTTGGGTTTCAGTTTGTGCTTGAAGTTAGGCTTTAGCTTACACTCAGACTTAAGTTTAGGTTTAGACTAGAACTATGAAGTATGAGTTGGTCAGGGATAGGGCATTAGCTATTTTTTGCCTCTATCTTATCGCCTACCCTTCCCTCTTCTTCTATCTTACCCTACCTTTCGCTATCGCGTGTATCTTATTTACATTATCATAAAGTTATATTTAACAAAATATATTTAAGATGCCAAATCTAGTTGACCATGTAGATCATTTAATTCATTACTTCCACATAACAATGGAAGTCATTTATGGCGTTGTGTCAATTTTACTCAATGGCGCAGTACTTATTGTAGCCACTCAAAAACATAAAGGGATCTTCAATTCGTACTCTACATTAGTGATATGTACAACCTTTACTGACCTGTGTTTTAGTATCATCAACTTGATTGTGATGGAAGTAAGTTTAGTTTTATTAAGAGTGCCTTAAGGGGTACGGCTAGGGCTCTGGGCTAGGGCTCTGGGCTAGGGCTCTGGGCTAGGGCTCTGGGCTAGGGCTCTGGGCTAGGGCTCTGGGCTAGGGCTCTGGGCTAGGGCTCTGGGCTAGGGCTCTGGGCTAGGGCTCTGGGCTAGGGCTCTGGGCTAGGGCTCTGGGCTAGGGCTCTGGGCTAGGGCTCTGGGCTAGGGCTCTGGGCTAGGGCTCTGGGCTAGGGCTCTGGGCTAGGGCTCTGGGCTTGGGCTGTGGGCTAGGCCTCCGGGCTAGGGCTCTGGGCTAGGGCACTTGGTAGGGATCTAGGCTAGGGCTCTGGGCTAAGGCTCTAAACTAGAACTCTGGGCTAGGGCTCCGGGCTAGGGCACCTGGTAGGGATCTAGGTTAGGGCTCTGGGCTAAGGCTCTGGGCTAGGGCTCTGGGCTAAAGCTCTAGGCTAGGGTTTTAGATTAGAGCTAGGGCTAGCTTATTATAGTAGTAGTAATGCTATTTTACAGTTATTTTTACTATAAAAAAGTAATTTTAAAATGGCAAAAAAGTCTTGTTGTCAACTTACATTAGGTTTCACTGTGAAAAACGACAAAACTTTTCATGTGTTTTGTAATTTTAAAATTTTTGAAAGTCTAGATTTGAAATTGAAAAAAGGAAAGTTTTGTTACCTAAAAAGATTAAAAAAATAATTTTTGTTACCTAAAACTAAGAAAAAAGTCATTTTTTGACCTGGAAAGTATAATAATTTTCAGGTTCCAGAATGCCGAGATTCCGGCATCTTCTTCTTCAACGACAACCCCCTCATATCAGGCGCTTCCAGTGCCACCGCCCTAAAGCTGACCTCATTATGGCTGCTGGGGGTCTACACTTCAATAATGAACATTGGCTTCCAGTTCTACCATAGATACAAAGTCATTGCCAAGGGCTGTCCCGGCTCTCGGAAAGAGGTCTTCATTAGTTTTGGCATTTGTTTAAGCATCAGTTTTGTTTTGTCTTTCTCCGAGATTTTCACATTGATACCTGGAAGAGAAAATGAAAATTATGTTAAGGAACTTGAGGATGACATTATGTTCGATGGAAAAGTTGTCTCATTTTCTGTTTCGGATCCGGTAAGAATTTGGTATACCCTACCCTACCCTACCTTACCCTACCCTACCCTACCCTACCTTACCTTAAATTACCATATCGAACCTTACCGTGCCCAATCGTACCTTAGATGGCCCTACTTTACTCTATCTTGCCAAATTCTACCGTACCCTACCCCTCGATATTTTACTTTACCCTACTCTGTCCTATTGTAGCATATCCTACCCTACGCTATCAAACTCTAAATTTTCTCTCTACTCTACCCTATCCTACTTTACTTTACCTTAAATTACCATATCGAACCTTACCGTGCCCTATCGTACCCTACTCTACGTTTCGCAAGACCCTTTAAACCCTTGTTTTACATTTGGCAAACCCTTCGCAAGACCTTTACTACCACACCCTTACCCTGCTCTTCCCCCCCCCCTCCCCCCCCACCCAAAAAAAAATCTCGAAAAAGTTGAACTTGGTCCCCCCCTCTGGCTACAGCCATATCTTTTCTTCAAATCAAAAAATTTAAAAAATTTAATTTTCAGAAAAACCCAAAATGTCTGTTCCACCTAATGTTATCACAAATCTTCATTACTGCCGTATATGGAACCGTGATTTACTGCTCCGTGTCCATAATGAAGGCGTTGGGTAGTGCGGGTTCAAAAATGTCAAAGAACACGATTCAAGGCAACAGAACATTGAATCGCGCCATGTTTATTCAGGTGAGTGATATACAGGGTGTCTCAAGAAATTTGCAAGATTTGAAAAATTTTTTATTCAGCGATAAAGATCGCTATAGGTACCAAATTTGGTACAGCGATAGTAGAGCAAATATATATTTTTTATAAAAAATTTTGAATTTTAAAAGTGCATTTTAAATTTTTTATGATTTTTTAAAAATAGGCATTTTTCACCAAAAATACACATATTTTTGGTTGAAAATGCTTTTTTCTCCGAAATTTGCGAGAGGATTATAAAATTTATCTATTTTCGAATGAAAAGACAGATTTTCATTACTTATATAATCTAATTTCTACGTTATTACCGCCGCCCTTAATACAACGACGCAGCTGAGAGACAAACAAATCGATAGCATCGTTAACCATTTGTTGTGGAATGCTATCGATCACAAACTTAATACGCTGCTCCAACTCAGCAATCGACGAAAAAGGCTGTTTATACACCTGCGCCTTCACGTGGCCCCAGAAGAAGTATCGTCGTCGTCGTTGAAATCGAAATCGTCGTTGAACTTCAACTGCAGAATCACATTCTATGGCCAAACAAACACACTTTATCTTGACATCTTCATTCCACTTCATAATGACCGAATAGACACAAATAAGAAAAAAATAATAGTGGTTTTAATTTGCAATTATTTTATATTTTATATTATTCTATTTTTATTGAAAATCAATTAACAATTTTTATTAAAAAATTTTGAGTGTTTTTGTGTTAAAATTTGTATCTACAATTGTTGACTTAATGACTTCAAATGAAATAATTTTTGTTTCATAATTTTACGGCAATTTTGAAGCGAGTTATAGCCTTCGCCGATATCTGAACGCGTCCGCCGGCCTTCGCCGAGCCTGCGCCGACATTGAAAATCTGTCTTTTCATTCGAAAATAGATAAATTTTATAATCCTCTCGCAAATTTCGGAGAAAAAAGCATTTTCAACCAAAAATATGTGTATTTTTGGTGAAAAATGCCTATTTTTAAAAAATCATAAAAAATTTAAAATGCACTTTTAAAATTCAAAATTTTTTATAAAAAATATATATTTGCTCTACTATTGCTGTACTAAATTTGGTACCTATAGCGATCTTTATCGCTGAATAAAAAAAATTTTTCAAATCCTGCAAATTTCTTGAGACACCCTGTAGTAATATGTTAGCTGAATATTATACATCGTTTCAAGGCGGTAAGACTTTACTAAAAAGTCAAATTGGTACTGTTTTAATAGTTTTTGGTGCTAAATAGTACAAAAGTCCAATTTGGACGTTTAATACCATTTAGTACCAAAAAATGTTAAAAATGTACTAATTTACAGTTTTAGTACCAAACATTATTTAAACTGTACCAATTTGAACTTTTAGTACCATTTAGTATCAAAAATTATTTAAACAGTACCAAGCTGACCCTTTAATAATAACAGCCATAAACACCTCAAATCCCCTCATTTTCAGGCCGTGTTCCCCTTCGTCCTGATCGGTATCCCTTATGTTTTCGGCCTGCTCGGCACCTTTCTCCACATAAAACTGCCGGTGGTGGCGTTGGTCGGCTCCCTATTAATGGCTTTTTTGCCAATAGCCAATGCTTTGACATTACTCACCACCATACCCAGTTATCGACGCAAATTCTTCGAAATCTTGGGGATTAAAGGCTCGAAGATTCAGAGTTCTACGACTCAAATCAGCCGGACCAAGGTGTCCGATACGAATGAAGCATTATAAAAGGGCATTTTTCGAATTTTTTTAAATTTTTAAATATCAAAAATGAAAATTTTAATTTCTCATTGATTTTTCTTTTCTTTTATCCATGTTTCCAACCAATTTTTTAAAAATTTTTTATAAAAATCGACCTTAATTTAGGTAACAAGGCCTATATTATACTTAATATCCTGTTTATTTCTACAAAATTATAAAAAAATCAACGAAGAATGAAAAAAAAGAACAACTTTGAATAAAAATTCAACAAAAATTTGAGAAACAACTTTACATTTTGATCATTTAGTGATGAACAAGGACAAGAATACCCTCAAAAGCTTGATTCAAAGACAACAACATCAACTTGTTTTACTATTTAGACGCACAAAATTTCAAGGTCTGTTACCTAAACATGCAAACAATCCAAAATCTTTTTTAAAACGTTACCTAAAATACTAAAAAAATGTTCGATAAAGTAGAAAAATCAAATCGAAAACTAAAAAATTTAGTGAAAACTGCCATTTCTAATCGTTACTTTTCTACATTTTCTGCCATTTTATAATCGACAAACCTGTCAAATCAAAACTACAGACTTTTGCAACAGTATTAGACATCCATTAGTACCATTTTAAGCATCAACAACATAAAAAAGTGAAGTAAACATAAGCGCGCCAAAAAGAATTGGACGCTTTTCTTAAGAATTCCTTAGTTAAAAAGAGCAATTCTTTTTGACGCGGTCGGTTTTCGATGACCAAAACATGTAAAACAACTCTTTAACTACTGTAACATATTTTTTAAAGCTCTGAGTACCAGTACTACTCGTAACATTATATTTTTTTAAAAATTTTTACAGAAATAGTACTAGTGGTACTGAAATCAAAAAATAGTATTACTAATACCGTAACTCGTAATACAGTACTATAACAATTCCATCCCGACCAAAGACTACTCGTACTATCAGTTCTTTACCCTATATAGTACTATCCGTATCAAAACTCAATGCTCCAACCTCCAATTAGTACCACTAGTACCGCCTACAGCCGACCTAGTACCTTCTCCAGTTGGGCGGGTATTGTTGCCATTGTTGTGGTGGTAGTTGTCGATACATTTCCATGTGGTTCGGGTGGCGGTACATCATCGGGTTGGGATGGTATGGCATTCGGTGTGGGCGTGGGTATGGGTTTATGATTACACGGTTGCGGGGTAGAGGTTGGTATTGGACCGGGTTGGGGTAGTTTTGCGGGGTGGAGTAGGTTCGGATTGGCGGTGGGTACTGAAAATATGACAAAATTAGGGTAAGTTTGAGAAAATGTTACCTAAATTTTGAAAAAAAAATGAATTTAAAAAAATGTTACCTGAATTTCAAAAAAAAAAATCAAATTTAAAAAAAATGTTACCTAAATATCAAAAAATTTTCAAAAAAATTAAAATTAAAAAAAAATGTTACCTAAAATTCAAAAAATTTAAAAAAAAACCCACCTGAGGATAGTACTTGTTAGCAGTTCTCCGCTCCGTCTGACTGTACACTGCCTTTGGATTTGGCACAACCACCTTCTTATTGATCACGACCTCTCTGCCCTTTGGCGTCTGAATCTGACTAGTCGTTGGCGTAGTATTCCTCAAAACTAGTGGCGTTGGTACAGTTTTTGGTAATTCTACTTGAATTTCGGGTTCGTCGTCGTCGATTGTGATCAGTTTCTGCTCCCTCTTCCTTTTCCACACCTCTTCCGTGTCGGTTGTGGATCTGACATTGGAGGCTTCTGGAGTGCACGCTGGTGGGTCCACAATCACAGGGCATTGTTGGAGTAGGAGGCCGGTTCCGATTTCTGTTGGATCACGAGGAATCACGCGGAGGTCAGGGCCCAACTGCTCGGGCGTGCCGTTCGTTTGACTTAGGTTCAGGACCATCTTCTGAAAACGCTACAACTTTTTTATGTTTTTTCGGTAATATTAAGAGTTTTTTTAAGTGTTACTTTAGGCAATTTAAAAATTTTTTTCTGAATATTATTTTAGGTATAAAATGAAGAAAAAACTCACTAATTTGCTTCGACATAGTTCTTTCGCTTCGTCTGGGAATCGTTTACACCATTCTAGGTCGGAAATCTGAAAATAGGCACATAAAATCGTCAAAAACGAGCTTAACATAATAATATAATAGCTACATTGTTCATGACTAAAAACTTTTGTATAACAAAACTCTTTTATAACAAACAAATTTGAAATCCCGTAGCTTTATAGTGTTAACCTTTAACTTCACTTCCCCCAACTTACCGGTGTGCAACAGCCCTGACAAGTCAGGAGCGGGCCGCCTTGAGCGAACAGTGCAAACGAGTGTTCGCAGCGATGTTTCGGAGCGAACTTCACATGATCGGCCGTTACTTTCTCCAAGAAGTCCGCGTTCGGAAGACGTCTGATCAAGGCGGATGATGCTAGACAGTAGCCCAGCGCCATTCTGGCTCTGGTCAGAGGTTCGCCGAGTTTGAAGCGTTTGGTTGTGCACTTGTCAATGTGGGTCATGACTTGACGGACGGAGGTGTTGGCGAAGCCACACATTTTGCAGAACTTGAGCACCTGTTTACCGTGCTTTTCGAGGTGAACATAGTAGTTAAAGGGCTGAAAATAGTAAGATTTAAAAATTTGTATAATTCAAAAAAAATTTTTTTTTCAAACTTTTAAAAAATTTTTCAAAATTTGTTTTTTTTTTTCAGATTCAAATTTCATAAAAATTCATTTTTCACCAAATTTTCAAATCGACAATTTTTCAAAATTCAAAAATTTTAATTTTTTTTTTAAATTTCAAAAACGGCCTAAACCGAAACATAAACCTACTTCATCGTATGCCTCCAAATGCTGCGTACAAATAAATGTGACTTTTTTCTGTTTATGCGCAAAACTGTGCAGTTCGTATTCTTCCAAGCTTTTGCACATCAATGTGCACTGGACGCACCAATGGTAGTCTTGGCGGAAGTTTTCGTCCGTTTTCATGTTCTCATGACCTGCCAAATGGATTTCGAACTCGCCTTCGTCCGTTACTCCAGACATACAGATAGGGCAGAAGTAGATGTTCATATCTAGTGGAATTGGGTGCTGAAACTAGTGTGTATAGTTTAAACTATGCCATTTTAAATATTACCACCTATCTTATATTAAAGACAAGACTCTTGTGCGTCTTTTAAGCCCATATTCATTGTAATATAAGATCAATTTAACTTTCAAACGACCTAAAATCTCAAAAATCATCAATAATATTGACCTACCTTTGAATATAACCCATGTTCTTTGTAGAAATGCTCTTGTACGTCATTGAACGTGTCGTATACAAGCTTACAGCCCTCTGTATCAGTTTCGTACATGCATTTGAAGGTCTTTTTCTCTGGTACAGCTTCGACTTGAGGTGGGTCTTTCATCATTTGTCTGAAATCCAACGGCGCTATCCTTGACACGCTGGCTGGCCGATTCAGCTGGCCTAGCTGCTTGCCTTGCCATTCCAAGCCTAAAATTTTAAGTTTTATAAAAACAAGGTTTAAAATAGCACAAAATATATCAATTTATAAAGAAAGTTAGCAAAAATCAAGATTCTATAGGCAAAGTTATATTAACCATGAGATCAAATAAGACCGTAGATGGTTAAAGCCTCATAGATTACTAAAGCTACATTTTTAAAAGCTGTGAACTCAGCTTTCAAATTGAAAAAGATATTCTTCTTGATTTTAAACTAGAGAAAAATCAAAATTTTATCAAAATTTCCCAAAAAATCAATTTTTATATTAACCATGCCATCAAATCTAGTTCCAAAACAAAATGATCTCAAAGTCAGCTAAAACAACATCTTTTTGGGCTATAAACTTATTTTTTATTTAGAATAACATCTTTTTTATATTGCTCATAAAAAAGTTTAAAAAATTTGTAGAAATTTATCTAAAACGAGCTTATATTAACCATGACCCCTTTAAAACAAATCTAAATTAACATTATTCTAAATTTAGCTCCTTTTATGGCTCTAGATTACTCATAATTTCTTTCTACTGCCATTTTCTATTGTTCTAACGTATGTTACAAACTTTGTTAACAAATACCTCCTTCTAAAACCATATAAACCTCAACCTACCACTCGCTGCAGCCATGAATTTGTCACAAACTGTGGCCATGAGGTCTTCCACAACATCCACCACGTCTTCATTTTCTACTCCCAACTCTTCAGCCTTGCCTTTCACATCCATCATGCATATTTGTCTTGATCTCTGGTTGAATAACATGACTTGTTGTAGTTGATACGGTGAATACTTCCTCTTCCTAAGGTCCGGCTCTTCTATTTCTGGTTGTTTTGGTTGTGTTCTTCTTCTCTTCACGCCTTTCTTCTCCTCTTTCTTGTCTTTCGAGTCGTAGATCTCGGTCGATGAGGATCGTTTCAGCTTTTGAAGTTCTTGGAGGCTCTTGTTGACGGCTATGACAGATACTGGTCTGGGTTCGTCGTTCGTTGGGGTATCTTCTCCGTTGTATTGGTCGATGATTTGGGGTTTTTGTTGAGTACTAAGCCTGGTTGAAGGTCGAGGCGCTGATACCGTGATGACTTCAGTTGATTTGCCTACTAGCTTGAAGCCGGATGTGCATGGTTGAGCTGATGAAGCTAAAGCAATATCAAATTTTAAAATATCTATTAAATATTATCTAAAAGCCAAAATAGTATATAAATTTTACCTAAAAACCAAAAAAAATCCAGAAAACGTACCATCCACAAAATTCCTGTTCAGCGCTACCTTCCTCTTAACATCAACCTCATCTCCAACCATATCCTCGTGTTTCGTTGGCTTCCTCAAGAAGGCGTACTTCTTCAGAAAGGCATAGACATCATCAGACTTGCTATTCACTGGCTGCTTCCTGGTGTTCATGATCACGTTCAGGTCTTGTTGCGGTCTTGTTGGCAACAAATTGTGCGCTTTGAATACGTTCTCATCCAGATGTTGTTGTAGTGAGGTTTGGTCACGGTACTCGACCCAGGGGTCGCAGCAACAACGGAACGCTACTGACGTGCACTTGTGGACCTTGTACTGGTCGACGTTGTGCATTCCGTGCAGGCAGCGACTGCAGTAGAATCTGAAAATGATATTTTTGTATTTGATTTGAAATTTCGAAATTTTAAAAATAGAGTTTTAAAAATTTTAAAAAAATTGAAAAAAGCTCAATTTAATATTTAAATCAAGTTTTCTACCATACCAAAGATCTATAAAAAACAATGACACATTTACAAGTTCAATCTCGCCAATAATAATATAAATCACAATATTATCATGGCGTGTCGCGCAAAACCATAGAAACATGGGCTTTACTATCCGTTTTTGTAAATAATTGACGCGCAAATGATTATTACACAACATTTTTTAAACAGATTGAGGGACTGAGGAAAGACAGAAGAGAATAGTAAAGAGGAAGATTGGAGGAGTAAAAGAAGGCAAGAAGAGAGAAGATAGGGCAGTAGTGGTCACTAAAATCCAAAAAATTTTTTTTAAAAAGCTCATAATTCCGATAATTATTTCAAATTTTCATCCATTTTTTAAAATTTTTTATGTCTTTTTAATGGTTTTTTTTCAAATAGACCCCTTTTGTAAACGTAAGATAAGGTAATAAACACCTGTAACACTAGCGGACTACCCCACCCTACTCTACTTTACTCATCCTACCTTACACTAGCCTGTTATACCTATCCTACCCTACCTTACACTAGCCTACTCTACCTTACTCTACCCTACCTTACACCACCCTGCTACACCTATCCTACCCTACCTTATTCCATGCTCTGCTATACCATACCTACCTTACCCTAACTTATTGTGTGCCGCGCCCTACAGTACTCAATCTTCACCTGCCATGCCCTGCCACATTATACGCCCAAGCCCTACCCTACCATACCTTACTTTTCATCATCTTATTCCAACCTACTCTACCCTACTTTACTGTACCCTAACCTACCTTATTTTATCAGGTACTACCGTAACCTACCTTGGCCTAGCATGCCCTATCAAATTATATGCCCAAGCCCTACTGTACTTCATATCGTCTACCCTTCAACACCTACAATATATTTTACTATTTACATAATCCTATCTCCTTTTACCGTATGCCCTAGTTAGTAATGTTTCATAGCTTTAAGTTGTTCAAATAATTCTGTGCCTCTAGCCTCAAAAATTTTCTTTGAAAGGATTACCTGTTGTAGACCTTCTTGTGTTCATGAATCCTATGAATTTTGTGTGGTTCCACCATTCGTTTAGCGCCATTGGTAGTGCATGCACATAGAATACAAACTTTGGGGGTGGTACATTCATATAAGATATGACTGATAGCAAATCGGATTCCTCTGCGACTTCTTACGTCCTTCGAACACAACATATCACACCACGGGCACTGAATGCAATTCGGATTCTGAGTAAAGTGCTCCACGAACAAGTGGTCGAAGAAGCCGAAAATGCTGCCAAAACTAGTGGTTTTGTTGTTGAGGGCGCAGATCGGACAACAATCAATTTGCTCAATGTGCCTTAGGCAATGCAGCTCAAAGGCGGCCGTGCTCTTCTGTTCTGAGCCACATAGTAGGCAGTCGATTCGATCGTTGAGTTCTGGTGCTGCATCGCCGAGATAGGTAATGTCTTCGTCTTCTTTGATGGCTGTGGAGGAATGTCGTGGCTAAAAAATTAATGATAAAACAAGTATGTTACATCATGGATAACATAACAAAATAAGCTTGAAAGAAATTTTGAATATCCAGATCATTAAAGGTTAAAACTATCCCTACTATGCCCTACCTTACTCTACCCTGAAATACCCTATCGTACTCTAATTTACTCTACTGTACCATACTGTACTCTAACCTACCTTACCTTATCATGCCCTACCGTATCATGTTAACCTGCCATGCCTTATCATATCATATTCCCAAGTCTTACTCTACCATGAAGGCACACCTCATTACCTACAAGATATCCTACCATATACGCAATCCTACCTCCTCTACCGTATGCTCTGCCCAATACCGTTCCATCGCTTTTTCTATATCCAGTTCTACAACCAACCTGTCCCCCCCCCCTCCCAAGCCCTAAACCTTGATTTAGCTGATCCCTACCCACTCCGCCTTACCCTACTCTTCATACCTATTCTCCCCTACCCTACTCCACCGTTCCTTAATTTATAATGTCCTACCGTCCCTACCATAACCTGCCATACGCTACCAAATAATATTCCTAAGCCCTACTCTACCTTTACCATATGCCCTTTCCATACTATTTCTGGCTCCCTAGCGTAACCAGTCCTTCCTCTACCTAGCTCCAAACCTCAATCTCAAATATTAAAGTATATCTTACCGTAACACTCTCCCCACTGCTAGGTCGTTCGCTTATCGCATCAACCTCCATAGCCTCAGCCTCAACCTGTTTCCCCTCTCTCTTCTTTTCCTTCTCATTCTCGGCCATAATCTTTTCTATGACCCGGTCCATTTGACTGTCCAGATCCATGTCCTCATCCAGTACCAGATGGTCCGCCTTACTGGTCGATGGCTGAGAAGTTTTAAATTTGTCCGCTGAAGTTGTTGCCAGCTTCTGAATCGGCTGATTCGTGGATCTCGAAGTTACTACAGTCTTCGGTGACTTTGAGCTTAATGGTGATTTTGGTACCAATAGTCGTTTTGGGCTGGTTTTGGTGGGTGTAGTCTTTATGTTAGCTTTAGGAGTAACCAAGGTTGAGTTCTTCGACTGCGACAAGTTTTGGGCCTTAGGGGACAAGAAAGATTTGACTGGTGACAAGTGTTGGCTTTTTAAATCAGGAGTTGCTTTGGCTACTGAGGAGCGTGTAGCCCGTGCTTCTGGAGGGTTTGGCGACAAATTGGTCTTTTGAGTTCTTCGCCGAGTTTTGGTGCCGGATTCCTGACTTTGTAGTACTTCTTGTACTACTGGTGGTTGTTGAGGTAGGCGATTGTGACGTCTTTTCCGGAAAACAAATGGAGTTTGGATGATTTGAGGGCTCGAATCGACCGGTTTTTGTGGTTCTTCACGAACTGGTGCTATGAGATCCTTGTTGTTCTCTTTTGTGGATTGTTTTAGGATTCGGATATCTGAAATAAAGTCAAGAATTGAGGAAGTTTGATAGAAAATGAAAGCAAATATGCTATTAAAATCACTATTTCATTAATTTTTTCCATTTTTAAGTAACAAAAATCAAAATAAAATTTCAACTTACACTCATTTAGAATCCTTTCGAGTTCAACGTCAAACACTGTCCTGGCTTGGTGGTCCAGCATCATTTGATACACCGAATCTAATGAATCTGAAAGAACGTTTATATAACTTTGTCATTTTAAGCTTTGTAAAGAAAGTTCTTGCTACATAAATCCCTGCAAAGAAAGTTCTTGCCATTTTATAATCTGTAAAGAAAGTTATTGCCATTTCATATTTTGTAAACAAAGTTCTTGTCATTTTAAGCTTTGTAATGAAAGTCTTGGCAATTATATGTACTGTAAATAAAGTTCTTGCCATTTAGAACCCTGTAAACTAAGTTATTGCCCTTTCACATTTCGTAAACAAAGTTCTTGTCGCTTTAAGCTTTGTAAAGAAAGTTCTTGCCATTTTTTGTTTTGTAAAAAAAGTTCTTGCCATTTTTAGCTTTGTAAATAAAGTTCTTTAAAAATCAAATTCCCTCTACAAAACCTACATTCATGTGCCTTCACGGTGATCTTCTGCTTGTGCATCATGGCGAAATGGACTGCCAATCCTTGAATCGAGCAATGTTTGGTTTTGCATTTGAAACAGGTAAGAGGTGAGTTCCTTGGCTCGTTATCACAATGAATCTTCATTGCTGACGTCTTCTGGCTGCTTCTACAGCTAACCAAATGTCGGGAAAATGATTTCTCATCAAACTCTAGGTAATTGCACCTGTGGCAGTGGTAGAGGCTAAAAAACGAAATTTAATAAAAATTGTTACCTAAAGTATTTTTTTTTCGTTTTTTTTGTCTTTAACTCAATAAAGGGTCATTTTAAGCCAAGATGCAAGATTAAAATCAGAAAAAAATTAAATTTTCCAAAAATTTCAAAATTTTAAAATTTTCAAAAAAACGTTACCTAAAGCTAGATTTTTTCATTTTTGGCCTTTTAATGGCTTTAAAACAACAAACAATAACTTTTGATCGAAGTTCAAAACTAAATTTTGACAAAAATTCAAATTTTGCAAGAATTTCAAACTTTTTAAATTTGCAAAAAATTGTTACCTAAAATAATTTTTTTTCAGTTTTTAGCTTCTTAATGCCTTCAAAACAAAAAAATTCCAATAAAGCATCATTTTAGGTCAACATTCTAATTTAAAAATAAAAAAACCAAATTTTTTAAAATTTAAAATTTTTAAATTTAAAAAAAAAATTCTAATTTTTAAAATTTTCAAAAATTCAAATTCTTACTCCTGCGTCAAATTCAATCCATCCAATTCGAAGCCAAATCCAAAACTGCCATTATTTGCAGCTGATTCGAAGTCTATCGAAGTGAAGAGGTCCTCGATCCTCCTGCCATTTACCGTTTCTTCCTTTATCAAATCACACACTTCGTATCGATATACTTCTTTGTCTTCGTATTTCGTGCTCTGAAAATGACATTTTTGTAAACCAAAGCATAAAATGACAATATTTTTATTTTTCTGTTTACCTCATTCACATACGACAGTCCTCGTTGTCTTGCTCGTCGCTCGCCTTTGACACCGACTTTTAATGCCTTCAGAAGCTGAATCCTTGCAATATTGGCTTCCAAATCAACTTCTCTCATCGCAGCTTGAGTTTGAATGTTGAAACTGAAATTTTGATTTATTTCAAATAATTATAAAAATCCATCATATTGTTGTAAGAACTTTTTTTATAATCCAAAAAATGGCAAGAACTTTCTTTACAAAAGATAAAATGGCAAAAACTTTCTTTACAAAACAAAAAGTGACAAGAACTTTCTTTACAAATTACAAAATTAATTTTTGAAAACCTACGTTTTTACGGTTGATTTCGTTTTGACCAGATACTGATTCAACCAATATGATGTAAATGCCGGTGGTATTTTTTCGTGATAATTGAATTGAACTGGATGAAGCTTTGACCTAGCGTGATGTAGCTGAAATTTTGGTTCATTTTAATGTTTTTTAAGACATCATTTGTCCATTACTTATTAAAAATAGTAATTTAGGTAGGTAGTTTAGACAAATCATCTAATTTTAGGTGCACTTACAACATATTACAACACAAAAACCAAACTTTAAGTACCTTTCGCATATAAAAACCCCATTTTTAATCTAAACCAACACTTTAACCCCCAAAACTCCAAACAAACATACGATAAACTTCATATACTCATCTCCAAAGCTTTTGTCTTGATCTGGCTTCAAAACAAACTCTCCACCACAATCTTCACACATCAGCGTCAATGTTGTGGCATTCTTGAAGACCTTTTGTCCATGTGTTCGTACGTGAGATCGGTATGCGGTTTGATCAAAAAATCCATGATAACAAAGGTGACAAACATACAAGTCGGTTATGATGTGTTTTTCATTTATATGACTCTGAAAATGTGGTTTATTATATTGTTTTAGGTTGTTTTGGTCATAGCTTTATGTTTTGGTCATTTTCAAGCTAATTTAAGTATAAAATAAGCAAAATTTTATATCATTTTGAGCGCAAAACTCCAGAGCATATAAAGAAATTAATTCCAAAACTAAAAACAGTTTTAGACTCAAGTTATGATTCAAAACATCCTCAAAAACGATATTATCCATGAGCATCTCGCCTAAAAAACCGAAAATCCAAAGAAAAAACACAAACTTACCAAAAAAACGTCTATGTTACAAAATCTACCAGTCGTATCTTTGCATAATATGCACGGAATGCACTGTGAATCAAGCGGTTTATCCTCGAAAATCAATGGAACATCGGTTGTGTCGTCGAAATCTCCATTTTCGTAATTTGCCCTTGTTCCAAACGGTAACAAATTCCACTGAAATTAATAATTATTCTTTATCTCACTCATCTACATATTTTTATAACAATATTAGTCCAAAAAACCTTGGCATTTTCAAGTTTTGCTACAAAAAGCCTATTTTCTGTTTGCACGGTGCAGTTTTGCAAGATAAACTGCACCGTGCAAACTTTAAAAACCAGTTTAAACTCACTTCATCTCGTAAAATAGTTAGCAATTCTAGTTTGTACAATTCTTCATCTTCAATCTTTCTATGTTTAGCTCTGAAAATCGTATCAAAAATCATTTTTGTAAAAATTTAAAATTTAGGTAACAATCCAATATAAAACATTAAAAATTGAAATCAAAAATGACAAAAATCAAACCTACCTTTTTGGCAAAGTTTTCTTGCCAACAGACAACTGTTTAATGTAGTTCTTGAAGCCATTTCCAAAGTTAAAATCAGTTCCTTGAATCACTTCCATCTGGAGCACTTCATTGATAAGTCTTTTCCTTTTTGATGTGTCAATATCCTAAAAAATCAAATTAAACTTGATATCTTTATTGAATAGGTTTCTTTACAGTATTTTACAACAATATTTTGTAGCTTTAGAGCATTTTATCACCAAAAAACCATTCAAAACTATGTTATACTAGACCAAACACCTGTTTTTGATCCCAAAACTTAATCAACACCACAAATGAACTCATTTTCAATTAAAAAAAGTCTTACATTAGAGTCACTGTCCTCAGAGCGGACAGAGTAAGCCGTTGAAACGTTGGCCATGATGATTATATTGACATGAAAGTATGTCCAACCTCAAAAACAATGTCTAAAATAATCTAAAATTGAAGAAATTATAATATTCAAGCAAATGTATACAAAGCGAACGCGTTATGTAATCAATCCACACAAAAAAACATGTTAACAAAGTGATTGACGATAATTTAACGAAAAAAAGCAAACATTCGCGGTAAAATAGAGAAATCAATAAATTGTGTGGCGATTCGTCCAATCCGTTAGAAGACCCTCGGAAATGGATCGTTTTCGCGCCTTAAACATTGCGGCACAAGTGACGTAGAATGTTAGAGAAGATTACTCACGTATTTTTAAAATTCAAACATTAAAAGACCCGCCAGACATCAAATATAGTTTTAGGAGAAGTTGTAGTAGGTACAACCTTGCGTTTTTGACGAATAATCAAAATAGTAATTGATAAATTTGCTTGTTTTGGTGTAACATAAGCAAAACTTGTAGTTGCAAACAAAAAATAACCAAAAGCAAGTAGAATCAAAGGGGTAAGAGCTTCAGAAGTTGAGTTTAGTGACGGCAGGCATAGACAGTATAAATCATCATGAAAAACAAAATACAAGCCAAACATTTTAATTAAAGCAATTTTTATATGGTGTGCCAAAACAAGAAGAACCCAAAACAAAATATATCTGAAAGAATCATGGCGTTATTGCACACAGAATTTCAAAAATTAAAGTAATTTACTGTAAACTAGCATATTTAAGCCCGGCTCGCTGTTTAAGGCCCTGCTGGGAAGGCGAGACTGTTTCCCCAACATTTTTTTTGAGTAATATATTACAAAAGACATGCAGCTTATCCATATCAATTTTATTTTGTCACCCTTCCCCTACCCCAAAATCAACCGCCAAATTTATCAGTACATTAACGTACTGGCGTTTTTTTGTTTTTATGTAGTTTTTTAGTTAACCTACCTCTGGAAACATTAATCCTGCCCTTACTATAGAAAAAAACCTTTCTGTACTTCCAATGTTCCATTGGATAGGCAAAAGAATTGACCCTACTAAAAAAAACTCTCTCTAAAAGCAACACTACCTATAGTAAACATAAAAACTAAACCTTTTAGACTGTTTTTGAAGCGTTTGTTGACAAGCCTTTTTTCATCAACCGGTCGGTTGTGGCATATACGCAAAAGTAGCTTACTACTACAAGACATTTTTAGTTTTATGTCAACTTACAGAAGATGACAGCTCAAAAAATGACAATAGCTTGTTTTCTTTTATCCATTCAATCACATATATAGAATTGTAAGCCGAGCCTATTAACGAGGTTTCACAATATAAGAAAAAAAAGTTTCCTTATAACAACTGTAAAGTAAACGCTTTTTACACCTAAATTTATATACTTAACAACTAAATTTTAGCTCTTTAGAACCTACATTTCCCTCCAGAAGCAAAAAAAACGCATCCTCTAATTACTTTCCCCACACCGAGTCATTAGTCATACACAACTTCCATAGTAACACATTATACCTTATATTAAAATGCAACAACCAGTACGTACTGAAATGCATTAATGGTTGAGCTTTTTGCGTATTACACTTATGTGAAGATTTTCTTGGTTACAATTGAAGTCTTTTTTCTATTTTGTTATGATTACATAACAAAAAGACGCTGGGAGACAGACTTGACACCTTCTGCGTTTTTGGGTCAAGTTTCGCTTTTGAGTTAGATCGTTACTATTAGCATGTAAAAGTAACTATAACTAACAAAAAACATAATAATAAGGTTAGAAAAGGCTCTGAAATGATACTTTAACAAAATTTTAGCTTAAAATACGAAAAAAATACAACTTAACAAAGTGTTCTAACACCTAGGAGAGCTATGATTATATTGGCCAGAAGCCAAGGTAAACCGCAAAAGTTTGGTGTAAAATGTAATGGATAATGTTAAACATAAACCATAAAACGTTTTTAATCCAAAAATACCATCATTTCCTCCCGTTGGACATACGAAAACATACGAAATGTTCAAATAAAGAAAACGAAAAATTAATTTTTGGATGAAAAATTCGTTTGCGACGAAATGCCACAAAAACAGCCCTAATTCAACGCTATTGATTATCTAACGCATGGGAAACGTTAATGAAAACGTAAATAAAGAGGTTTTAAATAAGTTATTTGCTAACCGAATTTAAATTAGGGGTGGATGCTTGATGAAACATATGATTTTCAGAAATTTGAGCAATTTTGAGCGCGTTTTGAAGCAAATTTGAAGGTATTGGAAGCGTCTGAAGCTTGAAAACTACTGTTATAAAGGTTTGCAATGACAATACGAGTATTCGAAAGTATCTTATAATAGTGTTGTTTATAGTACTGCATTAAAAACTGGCATAAGTACCATTAGACCGAAGAAAATAACCTTATAAATCTGAACAATATGAGTTTTTCGCTTTAAAAAAACCCAAGAGCAATCGAATTACTCCAATATTACTTGATTGCAAATGTAAAATACGTCCTTCTTAGCGTTTTACTTCACCTCCAACTCAACAATCATACCAAATAAAGCTTAAAAAATTAAAATCCATCTTGTAAAACATCAATTTAAAGCTTAAAACATTGAAACACACCAATAAATCGTGCCTAAAACGTTAAAATACAGCCCTAAACCATACAAAAAAGCCCTAAAACCTTAAAATGCATCATCACAACCGTAAGGTAATGCCCAAAACACCTAAATAAAGCCCGAAATCATAAAATTTAAAACAGCCCATTCCCAAACCCTTAATTTTCATCTTTTATTAATCAAAAAAAAATAACAAATAACAATAATCCTCATTAACAGTCCTAAATTGCGCTCAAACAACGATTGTCCTCAAGATATTCTGTAGTACACTCTCGTTTAAGCCTGGCTTTTCGTTGCCTTCTGAATCCTTGTGTGTGAATTGTCCATTCTCAATACTTTCAAACAAATTCAATGGTTCATCTACAGTAACATAATTGACCTTATCATTGATGAATCCATTGCATTCGACATTAATGGCCAAGGTGTTGAGTTGGCCAACGGCAAAACTGAATTCTTTGCCATTTGAGAGTACTAGTTGGGAAGTGAATGGTTTTTTCAGATCGTTGTACTGTGTGAACCCTTGGCAATGAGCTTGGCCATTGTTCCAATTAAAAAGACTTGTGATGGCCATGGACTTGTAAAGATCTTTATGGGTTTCTTCTTGTTCATCTTGATCCATTTCCCACATTTCGAAGCGTTTTCGCATGTCTAACGTGTTCTTGAAGGCTACTTGAGCTAGACGATGGGTTTCACCTAAAACAATATTGGCATTACTTCAAGCTATTCATAAAATAGAAGATAACTCTATTTAATCTCTTCAATAGTATATTTTAAGCTTCCAAAGCATAACTTTTTAACGTTTGAATATCGAAAATTAACTAGAACATCCACTTAAGTTACTTCAAATTTGTTTTACACTTAAATCCTTCCATTTTACATCAATACCAGCAATCCTATCACATAAATATTACCTAAAATCGCCAAAAAATCAAAGAAACCTTACCCGATTCTGGTTCATAATTTGGACATTGCCATAGTGGTTCTTCATCAGGCCACAAGTTGTAAACCATTGGATTTAATGGTTCATTAAGCAAATGTAACGGTACTGTTTCCTTTTCCGATGGCACTGACTTTACCAATGGTTTTAGTGGGGTCTTTGATCGCACATTAACCGCAAACTCATCTCGACATGTAAAGGCGAGTTCTCCTAGCTTTTGCCTGAAATTTTTTGTATTTCTTACATTGGAATTATCTTACTTTTGACTTGGGTCAATCTACTACAATATATATGCCTTTTTTGCCCATCTACTACAATATATTAGACTTTTCTGCCCAAAAAGGTACTCTCTGCCCCCAATAAAATACACGATCGTAGAAACATCACGCCTTATAAAACAGACTTAGCAACATTCCAAGATCATTAAATTGTGATATTATGTTAGCCTAAAAGATAAAAAATATTAAAAGTCTAACCTATGATCTCCAGGGATCTTTCTCATCAATCTTCTATTGGTTACAACTTCATCTATTTTTTGAACCTTGTACAGATGCCCAAATCCGGCTTTTATCCAAAATGATTCACATCGCGGGTTGTGAGATACCTAAAAATGATTTTTAATGCAAACCATGAAAATTATAACGCAAAATCCTATTTTAAGTTTTAAAACAAAAAAAAACATAACGAAATTGAAAAGATAAAGCCAATTTTTTAACTATATAAAACCATTTTTTAATACAAAAAACCAAAAAAAAAACCCTTAGCTATCCTTAAATCCATATCAAAGCACCCTACCCTCAATTCAGCAAACTTGTGCTTCTGTTCTGGCAATGAACTCAAAGCATCGTCCAGAATCCTTTTCAATAGACGATCGATCGCATCTTTGTTCAGCTTTTCAAAACTCTCAACGTCTTCCTCCTTTAAAACCGTCAAAATACTATTCTTGACCTTCTCTTCGAAATTTGTCGTTGGGAGATGAATGTCTTTGTAATATTGAGCTGTTCCTCCTTTTAACAAATCCGTTTTTGTAATATAGCCATAGAAATCAAGTGTGTCAAAGTATTTCGGCAACACTGGGACGCTGTAGGCTTTTCGAGGAGCGTGCAAAGGGCTCATGAATTCTCTGGAAGCAAAAGATATGTAAAACAAGATCAGTTAGTAATTAAAATGTATAAAAGTAATAATGATACCAAATAATAACAAAGTCATTGTAATATCTAATCCAAAAACATTCTCCAAACAGCTTTTAAACATTTAAAAGCATTTTCCCAAACCTAAAATCGAGAAATAAAAAAAACAAGCAAAGTCTTACCTATGCCACTTCTTCTCGTCCCTCTTCCAAGGCCTTTCGTATGGATTTACAAAAGCAATCTTTTCCTCCAACGACGGCAAACTGTCTACAATTTCACCTATTTTGTAGTAATCATAAAGCCGATTGTACGAATAATCCGCCACTCCAGGCAACTGAAAAAATAATTTGTTACTTATAATACATCAATCAAAGCGTTTACTATATTTACCTTTGAGTTCTTTTAAAATAATTAATTCCTTTCAAAATTAAAAAACTGTTCGTAATACTATAAAAGGCTACTTTAAAACATAAATTAAATTATAAATCAAGTTATCTTACCACAAACTTCTCCTGACGTTTGAAGTCATATGGATCACCTCGAAGTCGATGGTCCAGTGGTTTTGGAATGGATTTTGGATCGTAATGCCTAAAAGTATCAAAAGATTAAAAACACAAAATCCATTTTGTAAAAATATCAAAATCCAATGTTTTAATACCTGCTGATAAACCTAAACCACAAAAATAATTTTGAAATAAGCTTACACTTTCTTCTCTTCAACTTTCTTTTCTTCAAAAACATCTTCTTCAGGCTTCGGTTCAGTGGAATACAATTTTTGAACCGAAACAACTCGACATCGGCTGAAAATATATCATTATACCTTTAACACCTCTATATTAAACGCTTTAAAAGTCAAAACTACTCCAAATGTAAAAAATCTGCCAACTTACCATGTTGTTGAAGAAAACAACGACCTTATCGACAACATCAACTCCAATATACAGTTGCTTGGCCGCGCAAAAACTTTTGGCCGAAAAACCCGAAAAATATTAATTTTCGTTCAATAGTGGCATTTCGCAACAACGAAGTGTCACACAATTTATCAGAAATGAAAAGGAGTAAACACAAATTAGTAAGAACAACATTTTATGCTTTTTTTGAGTAACAGTTGCGAAATGTAACTGGTATTGACCTTGAATGAAGGCTAAAACAACATTCTTTATATTTTTGAGGATTTTGCTTGGTTTTGTATAAGGTGGAGCGGATAATTGGGCAGGGTAAAGTGTTACAAAGGCTGGGAAAATTCTCTATGCAACATTTTGTTGTTTTTTCTATTTTTTTGACAAAGTTTGATGTTATCGGCGAGCTGTTTTTGTTATTAGCATAGTTTTTCTTGGTTAATGTTATGCTATAATTCCAGAACGAGGTTTTTTCGGGATAAATTGATACTTTTTGTTATTTTACAGCCTGTTTATCACCTCAAAATAGTTCAGCTTTTGTAACATGTTGTTTTTTATGCAATTGTAAACAATATTAACATCTTTAAGTTGTTTCTTAATGAAAACCTTGATTTTTGCTCGAAATTGCAGGTTTGTTATTGCGACTTTTGCAACGATCTTGTGAAAGGTCCTCGTTAATAATATGTGTTTACAAAACGTGCTTTCAGGAGATCGATCACTATCATGTTGTCCTTGCGAAGCTCGGCTCCATTATTGCGAAGGTAAACACATTTATTTACAATTGTTTTTTTTTGGTTTAGTTACAGTCTATCAAACATCAAAGTATTGTTTCAAAATTTGGGGCGTATCAAGTTGTACGATGCGTTTGGACTTGAATTTGTTTACAAAAAGTCGAAGAGGATATTAAAGATTGTTTTAGTTGTGCTAAAGATATATTGGGGTTTAAAAGCGTATTTTTTGGGATCAAATTATATTGCACTACATTTATTTCTACCGGAATATAGAAAAACAAGCTTTACTAAATTTTATTGCCCATACTTACTTTATATTGATCTAAAAAGAATTATTAGATACAAATCGACGATATAATTTGCTAAAAAGGCTTATAAAACCTAAAAATATTATATTAGATCAAAAATTGTGAATTTACTTATAACAAAATGAAAAGAATATCTGTTTGCAGCGCCAGCCGTTTGGTGACCGCTAGCCGCGAGAAGCATGTTCTACCGGACTTGCCATACGATTATGGAGCTCTGGAGCCGGTGATCTCGGCTGAAATCATGCAATTGCATCACCAAAAGCATCACGCAACTTATGTTAATAACCTTAACCAAGCCGAAGAGAAGTCCCACGAAGCTCTGTCGAAGGGAGATCTTCGCAATGCCATTGCTTTGCAAGTAAGTGTACTTTATAATTTTGTTAGGGCTGTTATAGTCTTATAGAATGGCATTTTGATTTACTTCATTCTTTTAGGGAGCTCTGAAGTTTAACGGTGGTGGCCACATTAACCACAGCATTTTCTGGACCAACTTGAGCAAAGATGGAGGTGAGCCGGCTGGAGAGCTTTTGCAACAGATCAAAAAAGACTTTGGATCAGTTGAGAAGTTGCAAGAGAAGTTGTCAGCCGCCACCGTAGCCGTTCAAGGATCCGGATGGGGTTGGTTGGGCTACAACAAGGAGAGCAAGAGGCTTCAGATCGCTACATGTGCCAATCAGGACCCATTGGAGCCTACTACTGGTAAGCGGAAGGGTTAAAAATGGAAAACAAAGATTAGAAATTGAAACTTAAGAATTTTTTTTTATTTTTAAGTAAAGTTAACGTTTAAAATGGTTTTTTATTAACCAGTAGCTTACAATATTAACAATGATAACCTTTAAATCTAGTACAATATTATAGTAGCATATAAATCATGCCTAATATTACTCTAAACTCAAAATGAAGTCTGCTATTATACTAAACTCAACATGAAGTCCAATATTATACTAAAATCTCGTCTTCAGGCCTTGTACCACTCTTCGGTATCGACGTTTGGGAACACGCCTACTACCTTCAATACAAGAACGTCAGGCCGGACTATGTGAAAGAGATTTGGAAGGTGGCCAACTGGAAGAACGTGGACGAACGCTACCAAAACGCCCGCAAGGAATAAGATTCCACGCCTGCAATTTAGAGGACTTATTGTATTATTTGTTACGGAAGTTTTATCCCGTTGTAAATTTTCGCCATAAAACGCCTTAATAAACATTTGCGAAGTGAAGGTTGATATTGGAGTTGACCGTTATTCACTACTTATTACATATTAACTATATATTCCCTTATTTTACAATAAGTTTAAGTTGACATTGATATTAGTCTCTTAAATACTATCCTACATCAATATTTATTTGATCAGATTCCAAGTGGGCCATGTTGTTGTTGAGCTCTTGGACTCCAGTACGTAGGGAGGCAGTCGTTTCTCAAGGAAAAGGCGAGGAAACACGTTTTCGACCGTTTTCCTGCTTATTCTCGACAAACGCTCGGGTTCGAATGGGTTGCGGATTCTGGAGATTCTGAATTCAGTACATTGTGGTGATGCTTCGGTCAACAGAACGTCGCCACGAGGAGTACAGTCGATTAGGATTTGCCCTTGTGTGCTCATCGTTGACTTTAGCACCTGAATGTAAAAATTAGGGCTAAAAGTATAGCAATATCAACAACCAGAGTTCCCAACGGAGACCTGGCGTTTTTAATCGTGCAAGTCAATGAAAAGGGACGACAAGACTTTTTAAACACTCTAAATTTGAGTTTGGTACCAATACCCACTCTAACTTAAAGTTTGTTACTAACAAGTAGTCTAAATTTGAGTTTAGTACTAATAAACACGTGGGTACGATACAAACTTTTAGGCTCTCACTCATACAAAACTTGCCTCGACATGGGCCGCACACAATTTAAATTGCTCCAAATCCACCGCAACCATCTTCAATGTAGGTAGCGGCTCAAACTGTGGCAATACATACGGACTCATAATCCATAAGTAAAACTTCATCAAATTTTTGGCGATAAAACCCTTGTCGTAGGGCTTGAATCGAAGGAAGAAGGGATGTAGAACGTCGATGCAAAAGCTACAATGAGGATCATGAGTAAGGTCACAAAAGTTTTGTCGCTTTTTAAACGTGGAAAGCGTTGTAAATTGACGATAAGAGCTTTGTGAAAATTTATATCTCAATACGGGGGGGAGGGTCTATTACCATTTGTTTCTAAACATCCAAAAAGGGGACCACGTTCAACGTTTTTAAAATTTTTAATGCTGGACCCCCCCCCCCTGAAATATTCATAGTAGGTAGACCTGAAAGTAGGCCCACTGCCACATTCGAAGCAAAACTGAACTTACATACAAGCGGCCATAGCCAGCTGCTCAAGTTTCTGCCGCCAAAAACTCTTCGTGTTCGACTGGGCCGGGGCTGGACCAATCATGGTCATCCACATGGTACTTCCATTTTGTGTCGTCTTACTTTCAAAGACGTGTACCTTGCCATCCGATTCCGTCAGTCTAAAACAATATTCGGTAGGGTATGGTACGGTGGGGTAAGGTAGGGTAGGGTGGAGTAGTGTAGGGTAGGGTATACATAATTACTTTGGTATGGAATAAAATAGAAACATACGACGACCTTACCTATCAAGACTTGAACTATCCACGTGCTGGATTTTTGTGACAAACTCTTTGGTCATATGGTCATATGTTATTACACCAAGATATGAAAACGAGAATTTTCTATCCATGGACATCCAAAAGGACAAGGATTCCTTGTACATCAAGGGCACAAAGCCTAACATCAATTCCAGTTGTTCTGTATGCATGCGAGCTGCTCTATCTAGCTCTGTCATCTACAATATTAGGATGTTCGAATAATTCTGTGCTCTATAACATTGAAGCGTTTTGAGAAGGGGCACAGAATTATTTGAAAAACTGAATAATATGCGTTACAGGGGCGCTGCTAGAGAGGGGGGGGAGATTGTCGAAACGTAAGTTGCATAGCACTGTCTGCCCCCCCCTCTAAATGTTTGACAAATTTCGAGTATAATACACAATAACGTACTTGATCTTCCAAATCAAAATCAGGAAACTGTTCGCTGTGATACGGGTCCGAAGCGATCATCTTCACCGTACACTCACTCCCCAACTCAACTGACGTCCTGCCTATTAGAAGAATGTAGCCTTGTGACACCGCTCCAAACCCCACTTTGGTATCACGTTCACCATGAAAGGTGGTCCTTCTTACTCCATCACATTCCACCGTTTTGTTGAGTCGGTCGATTTTCAGTCGATATTGTAATACCTTTTGTTCATCCCAATCGAACGTCAACAAGATGGCCAGATCTTGGGCCAAAAAGTAGAGATGAGACACAACCCCAACAATCTCATCAATGTTTACCGAGTAGTAACTGACGTTTTTGACCCCTAAATCGATTGCCATGAGAAAGAACCTATGTGCCAGCAGGCCATCTGTGACATGTGGCTGAGAACTTCCAAATAAGTATACTCTCTGAAATGATAGAGTTTTTTTTTACCAACCAACAAAAAGCCATACCTTTCCGGAAAGAGAAGTACTGTAAGTAGAGAAGGTCAGTGGACTATCTGGTATGTTGGGAATCTGGACGGTAATAGGCTTTCCGACTCTTCGCCATTGGTCAGTCATGATATCGACCGGTCGATACAAAATAAAAAGCTGTAAGAACGACCGGTCGATAAGCAATTACTTACAAAGCGGGCCACATTCAAAAGACCTTTTCGCAGCCTGCGGTTACTGAGCGCGCCGTGCGCCCTTATTCAAAAAAGATCTTATTTTTTCGCCGAAAAAGGAAGTCGTAGAGTAAATTCATTGTATGAGTAATCTTTCTACACAGTAAAAGGAGTTTCTTTCAAGTTTCAAAGGTGGCGGCCGAACAGTTCAACGATAAAAACGAGGACTTTGAGGAGGAAGGTCCCAGAAAATGCGAATTTCTTTATTCTTTCTTTCAGTGCTGGCAGGAGTTGTTTCAGGTATGGATAAAACTCTTATTTTAAGGACGCTAAGGCTCTTACACATGTTTTTAATAAGTTATTGCTTATGTTTTTAGTGTTCAGTACGTTAGATTACTTATTTTTAGTGTTGTCTGCAATAAGAGTCAAGGATAATATTCATATCAAGCTAACCAGCATTGCCAATCCGTGTATTCGCTTGTTGAATGGCACAAAAACCTTTGGATGCCAATGTAAGTTATGTTTTGTTTAAAATGTATTCGAAATTTAGCTGAACGAGGTGGAAATGTTGGAGTTGTTGTTGAAGTGGTCAAACCAGAAGATATCGAAAGTGCTGTTAAGAGCCTGCCATGGGGATTTAATGAAATCATTGCTCTAGTTGCTGTTAACGATTTAACAAGGTAAAATACGTTTGGAACAATAGAATACTGTAATTCAAGCTTAAATTCCGTGGTCATTTCTAATATTTGGATGTTTAGTGATCTTCTGTCATCATTGGTGGAATCAGAAGGCGTTAGTGGGGTTTTATTGGTGAAAGATCAGTCAAGGGCTTTTGAAGGGTTTTCCGAAGATGGCTACACACCAAATAAGGAGTATTGTAAGCTTTTATGATTTATTCATGAGTTCAACTTTAGTAAGGTCATGTTTTTGGTAAATAATATTAAAATTTAAAGGTTTTACATGAATTATATGATGATCTGTTTTTAAATATTGATGTTTAAGCTTTGTATGGTGAAGATTCACAAGAATGGAACAAAATTGGAGCACTATCAGTTGAAGGATTATTAAAATCTAATATTCCAAAGCCAATATTCTTCATCAGGAATTCTACTGAAGTGCAACTGCTTTATAAGAATGTAAGTGGGATTTTTGAAATAAAATACGTATATTACAACATGGAAAAACATTAAATTTAAAATGTTTTAGTGTTATCACGCGTTCAATACAAAACAAAGTCTGTACCGTGAAAGATGTGTAGCCCGACTTCAAAGTTTCATGCAAGCTGCTGGAGATGCCAGATTGTGTAAATTGAAAGAGAGTAGCTTCAGCATGACTAGTGGAGAGTAAGTTGTCTATCGTTGGCTTGTTTTTATATTGTTTTAGCTTTTCTTTCGAAAAAATTTGCAATAAGATCTCAAATAAGGTTTTTTTGGTAAAAAATCTTTGATATTGTACTTAAATTAATAAAAATAACATGTTTGACGAATGTAAAATAGGTATTAATACATTGTGAACATTTTCATATGGGTTTGTTTTTTATAGCAGTGGAATCTGTGACGCTATGGGCGATTACAATGTGTTCTCCATGATTCCACCGGTTAGTGCGGCTCAAGAAGAAGCGAATTTACTGGTTGTTTCTACTAGGGTAAGTTGTTGTATTTATGGCAAAGGTGGTTTTTTTTAAATTTATAATCTGAGTATCTTATGACTTGCTGTCATTTTTGGTTTTGGACAGGATTTTTGATATTATAGTAGACATCAAGGGTATAAAAATAGGTTTTTTGGTGCTTTAAGCTTTTCTTGCCAATTTTGTAGGTGATAATGTAATATAATGAGGAATCTATGTATTTTTAGTGTTTTTTTTCTATATTTTTCACGTTATTTCAGATGGATTCAGCGTCTATCTTCGGCGATTCACCAGGCGGAGACGTCTCAGTCCTGGTATCCTTAATATCCCACTTGGCAGCCGCCAAAGCCATTGGATCAAATCGTTTCAAGTTCGAATCGTTAGCCCAGAAGACAAAGAAACAAGTCTTGTTTTCATTCTTTCACGGTGAAGCATTCGGCTACATTGGTAGCTCGAGATGGGTGTACGATATGGAACAGAACGTTCATAACAAGTCGAAACTGGTCAAACCGGAAAAGTTTAGACAAAATTTGGTTTTGAATGATCTTAAGATGATGGTAGAAGCGAATTTGTTTGGAGAATCAAGTGAGATCTACGCTCATGCTGATGTTAATGTGGTCAAAAAGCATAAAAATGAGGTAAATTTGGTGAAATTCTGAATTTAGATTTATAAAAAAGGGAAAAACGGTTAGTTTTATGAATAAAAATGGACAAAAAGACTTTGTTTTACATTTCAAAATTACTATTCTTTGTTTTCAGATAGACCAAATGACCGAAATCCTAAAGAAATCATCTCAAAACGTCAATATCCTCTACAATAACATGGACAAACAGCTCCCACCAAGTTCGATCTACTCGGTGTTGAAACGAAAGTCAATCCCAAGTGTACTATTAGCACCATTCAAGGATGAATACAATGTAAAAACGTTGGATTCCTTCTTTGATACTCAATTGTACGAACACCCAGGGAAGAGGGATACTGTAGTTACTGTAGCTCATAATGTAGCACAAGTACTCAGAGACGTCGTGGTAGAGTACGTGGGTGGACCGGAGGGGAAGAAGGAGGAGTTTGAAGTTGATAGGGAATATGTAAGTTGTTTTTGGTACTAAAATTGGGGTTTTGGTACTATTGGTAGGCTTTTGGGAATTTTAGTACCATCTGTAGATCTATAATACTATTTTTCGAACTATAGTGCTATTTTTAGAATTTTAGTATTGTTTTTACAATTTTGGTACTATTTTTAGAAATTATTAGTAGTATGTTCTTTAGTACTATGTTCAATCATGGTATCATACCAATTTCAGGTCGAAAAACTGGTCGACTGCCTGGTATTCGACCCGTTCTGGAACTGCACGTTCATTCAACAAATCTTCACCAACGATTCAACAATCCACTTCATCAACGGCCACAATACGTATATTAGAGTAGGCGGAATGTCGACGATCCGAGCCATCGTCAATGCCATGATGGTCGAAGCGACTGGCGACACCCAAACTGCCACTAATATTAAACATGAAGACGAATGCTTGGCCAAAAATAAGGATCAAAATGTAGGCGGAGTTATTGGTGCTATTTAGCACTAAGATGGTTTTTTGGTACTGTATAGTACTAGTATGATTTTTGGTACTATATAGTACTAAAAAAATTTTATCCTCCAATCATTAGTTACATATTATTTATTGTCCGAGTAACTACAACAACTAAACTATGTCATAACTAACTAACATAAAACTACTGATTCATTTCCATCCTTGTCTCCTTCCGACCATGCTTGGGGGCGTGTCTTCATTCTACTCCTCCATGGCCAACTTGGTCTCCTGGCTGTTCTGGTTGCTCTACTTTAATATTTACGTATTTTTAGTTGTACACTTACTACTGGCAGTACAATCCATCAGCTTCCCACTTCACATGCTACAAAACGTCAGTTTACAACTCTCAAGCCAAATCACCGGCTTTTTTGATGGAAGGTAAGCCATTTTTGCGTTTTTTAACTAATAAAAGCTTAAAAATTAAAAAAAAAATTTAGTTGGTTCAAAGTGTAAAGATTAGGCCTAAAAACGTTGGTAAACCTAAAGTAATGTCTTGACGATAGTAATCTGACCTTATTTTACCCTTTTGCTCGTTGTGTTTGAATAGCTCAGTGGTAGTGGGTATGACTTTTGACCCGGAACCATGCGGGTTCGGTTCCGGTCGGTGCATCTTCTTATCAGCCTTTGGTTTTGTGGCCAGAAGGTTCATTACAAGGTGCAAAAGCGAAAGGACTTCGCAGTGCTGGTACTAATGGTGCAGTATAGTACTAGTTCTAGTAAGATCACACATTTTTTGAGGATTAAAAGGTTGTTTTAGGTAGCAATAGGGGATTTTTTGAGGAAAAATGTCTGGTTGGGGGGGAATGGTAATTTTTAAAATGGAACGGAGAGTTTTAGGTAACAAATGTATTACAAACGGTACCATAGGTATATTTTACTAGTGAATACTAATTCTATATCATTTTAGACTACGATCTGGCTAATTCCACCTACTCCACCTTCATGGAATCTCGATGGGAACAACTTGAACTCGAGCTGTACCTAAAAGCCGACAATCATCTGCTTATCGAGGCATCAGTAGCCGCTTTAGTGACGATACTAATTAGTATTGGACTGGTGGTCGTTCTCAATGATTCCTGGTTTGTGGACCGGGCTGAGGCTGGTCCTACGGCTGTTTGAAGGCTCCAAGGGAGTATTTGAAGGCCCTCAGGGTGTGTTTAAAAGTCCTAAGGGGTGTTCAAAGACCCTTTGCACTAGGCTGTTCAAATAATTCTGCGCCTCCTAACTCCGCAAATTTGCTTTGAGAGGGAGCTCTGAATTATTTGAACAACCTGACTTTTTGAGGGAGCTCAGGATTATCTGAAAAACCTATTATAACTTAACTTATGGGTATTTAAAGGCATTTTTCTGTTCTTTTTCAACTTATCATTCTTAAAAATATTCGATTACTTATCAATTCCTAATTATACGATCTATGTTAACTATTCTACATTGTGTTATGATCTCTATTTGTCAATAACGGCCTTAAATTTAAATTATTGTTGGTTATTGGTACTTAATAAACCTTTTTTTATCAGTTGGAGGCATATGTGATGATTTATTTTCAAAAGGTGACTTAAAAATGTTTAGCAATTACAATATGACATGTATTTACTGTGGAGATCCAAATATTTCAAAAAAAAATCAAATTTGAATTTTAAAAATTTCAAAAAATTGAAAAATTTTTCAAATTAAAAGTCGAAAATCGGAGCATTTGGGATGAATCACAACCCTACCATCATGATTCGTCATATCCGACCCACCAATGGTCAACAACCCTCGTTTGGCACATTCTCCAACATAGTCATGGATGGGTCTACAATAACATGGCTCCATTACCTTCGAATTCTGTCGTTTTCTTCGTCGATTCAGCTCCTCACACTTACACACTGATATTGTACATTGTTTGAGGAAGTCAGAGTAGGGTAGAGTGGTGCGGCAGGCGGAGAGTAAAGAAAGTTTCTTCATTTTTCGACAATTTTTCGAGAATTTGCGACGTTCCGCTCGCTTTGAGGGGGAAAACAGCTTGGAACAACTAAAATATTAAGGGTTTTAGGAGATGTTAGCCCTAGTCCATGCCTATTCTCTATCCATTTCAAGTCCAAAACCTACTGATCATCCACATCATCCTGATCTTCCATTTCGATTTCATCCACATCCCTCTCGCTTTGACCATAAATGTCTTCTAATCCGCATTCTGAATCCGTTTTCCAGGATTCAACGAATTCGAAGATAGAGGCGGCCGGGCCAAGGCCGAATTGTGGCCAATGGTCGTCACTTGGATGACCATTGAAGTTGCCACACAAACCACAAAGAATGTTGGCGTTTGACGACCTGTCGGCCTAAAAATGGCAAAAACTTTCTTTACAAAGCTTAAAATGACAAGAACTTTGTTTCCAAATTATAAAATGTCATAAACTTTCTTTAAAAACCATGAAATGGCAATAACTTTCTTTACAAATCTTAAAAAAGCAAGAACTTTAGTTATAAGTCTTAAAATGTTATTCATCGTATAAAATGTGACGCGCAGGCTGCCATACGCAACGTTTGATCTTTTTAATTAAAAACGGCAAGAACTTTCTTTACAAAGCTTAAAAGAGCAAGAACTTTCTTTACAAAACATAAACTGGCAAAAACTTTCTTTACAAATCAATAAATGGCAGGAACTTTCTTTACAGAAGACGAAATAGCAAAAACGTTCTTTACAAAACATAATATAGCAAGAACTTTCTTTACAAACCGTAAAATGGAATTCATCGTATAATATGTCACGCACAGGCTGCCAAGCGCAACTTTAGGGTTATTTCAACTTAGAAATGGCAATTACTTTCTTTACAAAGCTTACGATAGCAAGAACTTTCTTTACAGATCATAAAATAGCAAGAACTTTGTTTACAAATTACAAATGGCAAGAACTTGCTTTACAGAACAAAAAAATAGCAAAAACTTTCTTTACAAATCAAACAAATAAGTTTCATCGTATAACGTGTTACGCACAGGCTGCCAAGCGCAACTTTGGGTTTTTTCAACTTAAAAATGGCAAGAACTTTCTTTACAAAACATAAAATAGCAAGAACTTTCTTTCCAATTAAAAAAATCGTCCTTACCCCAATCTTAATGTCACTATGAGGTCCCCATTTGATGATGACTCCAGTGCCATGTAACTTGACATTCATTTCATTATTCGAGTCGATAAAAGCTCGGAAACGGTCCGTATCCCTAGGCAATTTGATCCGACGGTTTCGGTATTTTAGCTCCTAAAATCAGAAAATTACTGTATTATATTATGCTTTCTTGTCATCTCTTATAGTCAACATCATGTCCCTTAAGTTGCCGTATCCTATCAAGAGCAGGCCTTGAACTAAGTTAGAGAAAACGGGTCGTTTTATAGGTAAAGCTACTTACTTTGCCATGAATCAGATACATCTTCCCCAGTTTGTAGCCATTATGAATCGCCAATTCAACTCCAATCTTCTTCGGAGTCCCATTTGGTGCCATTTTTATGGTTATTATAAAAGGTGATGCATTTCTGAAAGGTAGAGTATGATAAGAGTAGAGTAGAGTAAGTACGATAGGTTAGGACAGGGTACTGTAAAAGGAAATAAATTACAGTAGCGTAGGACAGGATGCTATGCAAAAGAACGGGGATAAAGTAGGGTAAGTTACGGTAAGGGGAAGTACTGTCGAAGAAAAGAAAATACCGTAGGGTAGGGTACGTTAGGGAAGGGTAGAGTATATTAAAGTAGGGTGAGCAAGGCAAGGCGAGGCAAGGCAAGGCACTTACCCATCCAAAGCGCATCTCTGAGTCAAAACAAATTCGCAAGATCCAGAATCCAGTCGGAAGAATTCACCATCGAACGTGCCAACCAAACCATTCTTGCTCAATGAACAATGAAGTTCTCTTCTCAAGCTTGGCAAATTTAAACCTGGCCTAGTAGCTGGCTCTTTGCACATTTTACAGCATTTGTCATCTGGATTGGCAATAGTTACTGGGCAGTTTAACATTGGGCAAGTCTTGGTTTTACATGATATTTCACCGTTCTCACAGCGACAAATTGAACAAGGCTCTGGGGACCATTGCTCGGATTGCTAAAAGTGAAGATCTTGAAAAAAATTAGAAGTAGTGAGGTAACAATATAGTCTTAATAGTAATGTAAGATATCAGTTCTTACTTTAAAATCTAAAAAAGTATAGAAAAGTACCCAAAGATATAGCTTATGAACCAAAAAGTACTAAAGTAAGGCTTCAAGTTCTAAACCACAAAGAAGAAAATACGCAATAACTTTATTTCCAATCTAAAATTTAGAAATCGTTTTTTATGAAAATATGTAAAATTAAATTGTTAATACGTTTAAACATACTTTGAATGCAAAAACTTTCTTTACAGATTTATATTTCAGCTAAAACCCTAAAATATTACTCAAAAAAAAGCAAAAAGCGGACAAAACGCGCAATAAATATATTTCCAATCTAAAATTTAAAAATCGGTTTGAATAGAAAAATGTCAAATTTAAATGTAAATTAGAGTTAATACATTTTTCTTGCAAAAACTTTCTTTACAAACTTTTATTTTAGCTAAAATCATAAAATTTCTCCTAAAAACAGGCTAGAATTGGACAAAACGGGCAATAACTTTTAGACCAGTAAATAAAAAAACTAAAATAACGTTAAAAAGATGTATTCTAGCCTGCCTTTTAATATTCGTTATAAATTTTCTACAAAAACTTTCTTTACGACCCTATTTTTGTAGTTTACATTCAAGCGGAATCGAACTTTTCGGTAATCAAGCGCACCGATGCTTAACTTGTTGAATTTAATAAAAAAGCATTAGAAAATTATTTTAGGCTCTGAAAAACTGACTTTTTGTTACCTAAACATCAAACAAATAAGATAATCTTTTCAAAATTCAAAAGTAAAAACCCACCTTATACTTGGTGACATTGTTATTGATCTGAACATAGCACAACCGCTCACTCGGATCCTCTGCCTCTTTCGACCGGTCGCAAAACGGACAACACACCTGTGGCATATACCTGGGATGCCGGCAGTTTGGTGGACATACGAATCTCTTACATACGACGCCATATACAGTGCATTCACATCTTGAACAAACATCTGGTCGAAAAGCATAGCCAAGCTTCAAATATTGACCACGGAACTCGCAATAATGGTCGATTTTGTGAATCTGACGTTGTTGACCACATTCTGGACAACATTGACCTGGCTTCTGAATTTGAGTGGAGATGGGGCAGTTGAGGACAGGGCAGGCGAGTTTGAAACATTGCTCGTAGAGACCAACTAAAACAATATAAATTAGTGTTGAGTGTGAAAAATATAAAAACTGCTACAACTAAAAAGTGCAATAAACCTGTATGTAACTTTTGAAGAAATTTATAAAACAAATTTTATGCAAAAACTTTTTTTACAGCGCAAAAATGACCTTTGCATCCAAGCAGATTCGAACTTTTGTAGATTTGGAAGCCAAAAATTGAGCAAAACTGCCAAAATTTAACGTGTATACGTAATGAAATTAAAATTTTAAACACAAAAAATATTCTTCATGCTTTCAACATTAGCTAAATTTAACATTTTTTACCAAAATCGAAAAAAGAATGGCAAAAACGCCCTTTGCATCCAAGAGGATTCGAACTTTTCTAAATTTGAAAGTCGAAAATTGAGTAAAACTGCCACAATTAAACGTGTATACGTCATGAAATTAAGATTCTAAGTACACACAAATAATTTATATTAATTTTGAAATAATTCACAACAAGTTTATGATGCGAAAACTTGTTTTACAGCGCAAAACTGATCTTTGCATCCAAGCAGATTCGAACTTTTTTGAACTTGGAAGCCAAAAATTGAGAAAAACTACCAAAATATAACGTGTATATGATATGAAATTGACGTGTTAGGTACAAAACAATGTTCTTTATGCTTTTGGCATTATCTAAACTTAAAAAGTTTCAAGATAATCCAAAAAAGAATGGCAAAACGACTCAAAAACAAGCAAAAAATCAAAAAATTGGCGGTTTTGGCCGATGAAATTTTAAAATTTAAATTTTTTGAAATTTCTGACAAAAAACTTACAAATGACTTCACATCTGACGCATGGGTCAAAATGTAATCGTTTTGTCTTTTTTACCGGACATAATGGACAACAAGTTTTGGCCATATAAACTGGGTTGTCACAGTCACTTAAGCAGTGCATTTTACTATAGGTGGTTACTCCGGTCTAAAAATTGATTTTTATATATTACCAGTGAGTATATAGGTACAAGCATGTCATGATAGCAACAATTTTTTAAAACATTTTGATTTTATTGTAATTCACGCAATTTTAGGTAACACTTGACCTTATGGTAGCTATAATTGGCGTGTGCCAGGTCAATTACCGTGTCCAACATAATCGATTCCATATCATAATCTGATTGATTATGTAAGATTACCGTAATTAACACAAAGTGGTAGGTAAACAAATTGGTTTTTGAAAAATGGCAATAATTTTTTTTACAAAACTTAAAATTGCAAGAACTTTTATCACAGATCTTAAAATAGCAAAAACTTTCTTTAAAAACCATAAAACGGCAAGAACTTTCTTTACAGATTTAAAAAATGGCAAAACTAACCTGACACATCTCTCTAGTACAACGATCACTATTACTAGCCCAAATAGCACCATGTTGTTTCGATCGACCGGTCTTGATTTTACATTTACTACACTCTGGACAACAGGCATTGTCTTCAGAAGGCTCAACCAGAGGGCAAATTGGGCTGATTGATGGACATTCTTTTTTAGTACAGAGCAAGTTTTCGTGCTGAAAATTGATTTTTTATATTTTAGCCTAGCCCAGCCCAGCACAGAATCCTAGCCCAGAGCCCTAGCCCAGAGCCCTAGCCCAGAGCCCTACTAGCCCAGAGCCCTAGCCCAGAGCCCTAGCCCAGAGCCTCAGCCCAGAGCCCTAGCCCAGAGCCCGAGCCTAGAGCCCTAGCCCAGCCTTAGTCCCAAATCTATACCTAGTCCAAACCCCAGCTTGGCCTATCTCAACTCACGCCAGTCCACCATAGCTTATTTCAGCTTACGTCAGCCTAGCCTCAGCCTAATCCTGCCTAGCTCGTTCCAAGTCAACCCAGACCAGGCCAGTCCACCTAATTCAAAATCAGCTCATCTGAGTCCAGTTTAACGCAGTTCAGCCCAGCAGAGACCAGTCCACACCAGCTTAAGTCAACCTATCCGAATCTGATAAAAAAACATTGCCCTAGGTCTAGCCCTAGAAGAAGAAACTTACTTTACAAACACAGTTGTAGCAATTGGCGTCAGTTCGACCGTTCGAAACTTGATCCAAGTCCAGTCTTTGGCCATCAAACATGCATTTTACTTCTAAAACCAATTAAAGTTTTTTCACAGAAAAGCAAACTTAGTGTAAAGAAAGTTCTTGCAATTAAAATTTTTTTGTAAATTTTTTTGATAAGCCATAAAATGGCAAAAACTTTCTTTACAAACCAAGAAATGACAAAAACTTTTTTTACAAAACAAAAAATGGCAAGAACTTTCTTTACAAAACAAAAAGTGGCAAGAACTTTCTTTACAAATTACAAAATAGCAAGAACTTTCTCTACAAACCAAGAAATGGCAAGAACTTTCTTTACAAATTAAAAAATGGCAATAACTTTCTTTACAGAGCTTAAAATGGCAAGAACTTTTTTTACAAATTAAAAAATGGCAAAAACTTTCTTTGAAAATAAAAAAATGACACAAATTTTCTTTACAAACCAAAAAATGGCAAGAAATTTCTTTTTTTAAAAAAAATTATAAACCAACTTACTTTTACCGCTCCTTTCATTACTACCAGCACTGATATTGTAATAGTTGTAGTCATGAATAGTATACTCAATTTGGCTACTTTTGACAACGAAAATAACCAAAATATAGAGAAAAATCAACAGTTTAGGTAATATGAGACTAGTTGACCACATTTTTGGTCGATTACTGGCTTTTAAGAGCTTTATTAGTCTAGCCAAGAGCTATGTAAGTCTATGAACTAAATTATTTTAAGGGCTATATTGACTTCAGTAGTTATTGTAAGACTACCTTTCGTACTGTAATAAAATGTAGGACTGCTTTTCTTACTGTAAGAATTTGTAAAATACGTTTGGAGGATTGCCGAATATAAAAGTAGATCAAATGCTATCGAAATTAGGTCAGAAAGAACTAATTTATACCTAAAATACCAGCAAAGGCAACAATTTAACAATGCCAAACTCTAAAACAATGTTTGGACTAGAGTTTTGGCTAATTTTTAGTAAACTAGAAACTAAAGTTTAGGCAAATTTTACACTGGACTAGAGTTTAGGCTAATTTCTAATGAACTAGAGTTTAGGCTAACTTCTAGTGAACTAGAGTTTAAGCTAATTTGTAGTAGTACAATTGAGTACGAGACCAAATGAAGAGCTAATGAAAGTTGGCCTTTCCCAATTCAGGCATAATTAAAGTGGGATGGACAAGTTTGAGCGACAGTTGCGCCAAAACAAGGTGTTGCGCAACAAATTAAGGCAATTAGATAGGTGATATAGAGGCTGGAGGGGGGGGGATAGAAGGTAAGAGTGGGATATGATTTGGGGAGGGGGTGATAGATGGGGATAGAAGTTGGGGAGGGAAGATTGAAGTTGAGAGTGGGATAGTAGCTGGTGGTGGGGGATAGAAGGTGAGCGTGAGATACAAGCTGAGGGTGAGGAATAGAAGGTAAGGTGATACAATGTGTAGGCTTAAAGATACGATATGCAGGTTTAAACTAGGAGTTAAAGCTAAAAATACAAGATGAATGATACAATTTGTAGGCTTATAGATACGATACAATTCCTGAAGTACAATAGGCAAAGGCTAGGATTAGAGCTATAGGTATGACGCGCTACAGAGGCTGGGGATGGGATAAAAGGCAAGATGGTACAATATGTAGGCTTAAATATACAATATGCAACCTTCGGCTAGGAACTAGAGCTATGAATACAAGATGACGTGAGGGATACAATATGTAGACCGATTGATACGATATCAAAGTTTAGGCTAAAGCTAGAAAAAAATCTGAATAGGTTTACGAGTTCAAGACGTTTATGTCCCGAGCCCCCCTATAACACAACATTATAATTGATTTGTGTTTGTTCTCGGATGATGTATTACGCTTTGCAAGAGACTTCCGATCCCCCAGTGTAATACGCTGGGATTTGAGTAAATATGCGTGAAAATTTAGGAATTAAAAGAAAAAAATAATTTGATTTTTAAAAATTTTAAGCCAGTCTTAGTCTAAACAAATATTTACATTAGCATTATAATGACTCGCATTTTGTCTTGTTTTTTAGCTTAAGTCCAGCGAAAAACTAAACATTTTTGAATTTGATTTTTCCCGCCGAAATTTAAATTTTTAGTAGACTTAAACGGGGCCTTACTAAGCCTGTCGTGCTGGGCCGGACCAAAGCAACTTCAAAAAACGACGTACCGAATCGTAACGACCCGACGACTGGGCCTAATTTTTACCCATCCCAAATCTTTGTCACGTATTTTACCTATATACACTTCAAAGAGAACCAGCAAGGCTCAGCTAGCCAGACAGACCAAATCAATTTTGAAATTCTTCTCTACATTTTGCTTATTTTTGTTGTCAAAAGCAGTCAAATTGAGCATACTATTCATGACCACAACTACTACAATATCAGTGCTGATAGTAATGAAAGGAGCGGTAAAAGTAAGTTGGTTTATAAATTTGTTTTTACAATATATTAGTGCTTGTAATGAAAAATATTTAAAAAAATAATTTTTTAATTGCACAAACTTTCTTTACACAAATTTACAAGGAAAGTAAAATTTACTAACGTATTTTAAACACAAATTTCAAAAATTTTCAAAAAAATTTTAAATTCAAACTTGTTTAAAACACCCTTTTTGTAAGGGTCGAGCACCCCTGTCGACACCAAAATTTTTTTTGCTTCAAATTGCTTCAAACCCTCACCAATGGGTATTAAGGTACTCATAAATTGTTTAAACAGAAAAATTTTTTTTAAAGATACAGTAGTCAGGTGTACTGTAACTTCACTACAATTTTTATATCTCTGGAACGAATAACGCTAGAACGATGCGGTTTTTACTATAATGTAGAGCATACAAAATAATGTTAATTTGTAGTTTACACCAAGTTTCTATTCCTTTTGAAAGTTATTTTAAAAAATGAAAATGTAGCAAAAGTTACAGTAATCCAATCATACCTCAAAACTGAAGCACCTATGTAGTTCTTTTTTTATTGATGATTTTTAAAACTGCATTTTTTTGCGGTTCTAATGCACCTAAAAACGTTTCAAAAAAGTGTTGTTCTGGGGTGCAAAAGTGCATTTGAAGTTTGCACATTGCAATTTTTTTTTTCAAAAATTAAAAAAAAATTTTTTTGACGTTGCAAAAATGTAGAGCATAAAAAACAACGTTACTTTGTACATTACACCAAATTTCCATCTTGTCTACAAACATTGCATTGAAGTTCGCACATTGAAAAATTTTTTTTTCAAAAATAAAAAAAAATTGTTTCGACTTTTATATCTCAAAATAAAAGCACTTTGTTCGCTTATTTTTATTTGTTATTATTAAACTGCATTTTCGTGCGGTTTGAGTGCACAATAAACACAATGCACAAAAGTGTCGAAATGGGGTGCAAAAGTGCATTTGAAGTTGGCACACTGCAAAAAAATTTTTTTCAAAAACAAGAAATTATTCCCAAAACCCTTGAAAACTATAATTTGCTAATTTTCTACATTTTTGCAAAGTCGAAACAATTTTTTTTTAATTTTTTGAAAAAAAAATTTTCTATGTGCCAACTTCAAATGCAATGTTTGTAGACAAGATAGAAATTTGGTGTAATGTACAAAGTAACGTTGTTTTTTATGCTCTACATTTTTGCAACGTCAAAAAAAATTTTTTTTTAATTTTTTGAAAAAAAAATTGCAATGTGCAAACTTCAAATGCACTTTTGCACCCCAGAACAACACTTTTTTGAAACGTTTTTAGGTGCATTAGAACCGCAAAAAAATGCAGTTTTAAAATCACCAATAAAAAAGAACTACACAGGTGCTTCAGTTTTGAGGTATGATTGGATTACTGTAACTTTTGCTACATTTTCATTTTTTAAAATAACTTTCAAAAGGAATAGAAACTTGGTGTAAACTACAAATTAACATTATTTTGTATGCTCTACATTATAGTAAAAACCGCATCGTTCTAGCGTTATTCGTTCCAGAGATATAAAAATTGTAGTGAAGTTACAGTACACCTGACTACTGTATCTTTGAAAAAAAATTTTTTCTGTTTAAACGATTTATGAGTACCTTAATACCCATTGGTGAAGGTTTGAAACAATTTGAAGCAAAAAAAATTTTGGTGTTGACAGGGGGTCAGACCCCGCTCGAGCCTTACAAAAAGTGTGTTTTAAACAATTTTGAATGAGGTCAAGGCGGCTCTAAAGGCCGAGGTTTAAACTTAAGGTTTATATGCCCAGTTTAGTTACCTAAACGAAAGATTTGACATAAGAAACGTGTGAAACGAATTGATTGGGCACATCTATTATATTCAGTGTTTTGCCAGCCCGGTCCGGTCCGGATTTTCAAAAACTGCAAACTTGAAAATAACTTTTTAGCTTATGTTTTGAAGTTTTAAAAAATAAATAACTTTTGTGAAGGTCCGTCTTTGGCTTTTAAGTTACTACCGAAATGGACCACCCGGACCGGCAAGACCGATTCGGTCCGGCCGGTCCGAATGTTTAGCGAGGAACTTGTATGAGACGGACCTTCACAAAAGTTATTTATTTTTTAAAGCTTCAAATTATAAGCTCAAAAGTTGTTTTCAATTTTGCAATTTTTGAAAATCCGGACCGGACCGGACCCGGTCCGGCAAAACACTGATTATATTAGAGTCATAGAATATCCAAAACTTAGGTTTACTAAACTCTTAGGACAAAAACTTTCGTTGTGATAACTTTTGAAGGGAAGGAACTTTAGAATTTGTTTTACACTTTATTTCAGTCAAATATTTTGTTGCAAGGAATAAACTGTATTCAAAAATGCCTTCGTTTAGGCTCCGGCCTCCTGACTAACGTGTGTTGACCCTATTTGACGCAGCCCGGTTTGAGTCAGGACAGAATTAAGGTCTGGCTAAGCTTTTCAAGTCTACTAACAATCTTATACTTTAAAATTTTTTTAGCTGATGGCTTTACTGATTTATTATTATAAATTTATAAACTTTCCATAAGCTTGTGCTAAAGTCTTACACGATGTCAGTAAAACAAGTTATGTAGCTTATCATGAAGATTCTTATTCTTATGTTAGTCCAACCATAAAAATCAGAAGTGCAATTTTGATTGATTTTATAATCAAACAGTTTTTGAACATTTGTAGACAAGTAAATAACGTTAAGTTTGTTATCAATCAGCGCAATAATCAAATTATTATGCTGACAATGCGCAGTAACAAATGCACTCCATATAAAGTTAACGACTATTGGTATTGGAATGTAAAGTCTGCTGACATTACAAGGTCTTAGTTGTGTTTATTACAGCGTAGATCTTCAAAAGTTGTATGTTACAGTGTGAAGGGGGTAGAGAGAGGTGTATGTTACAGCAAGGGGAGGGCAGTGAGAGATGTATTTTACAGCGAGAGAGTGTAGATAGAGGTGTATATTACAACGAAGATCTTCAAGAGTAATGTATTGTAGCACCGCGATGATCTTTCGAAAGTATTTTTGACTTTTAAAAAGTAATTAAAAGTGTAATAAAATGATGATTAAACGTAGCTTTGCAAGTAATGATGACTTATTACAACCTTACAATGTTGGAGCTGCTACAAGAGAAAAAGTAACGTGGTCTAGTTGTAACAAGTCTTATTGCTAAGAAGTTCTTTGTGTAATTTTTTTATTGTAAAGGAAGTTATGTACCTTATTTAATCAG